TTAAAATATTAAATTAAATTACTTCCTTCTTTACATTCTCCATTAATTAAATCAAATCCTTAACCACATGATGTACAATCAGATTTAGCAGGTCCAGTACAACCTGAACAACCTTTGAAACATTAAGCAGCAAACAATTAGAAATCTCTTACACCCCATGATTCATTTTCAGGTGGTTCATCTAAAGTTGATTTCATTAACACTTTAACTTCAGGGAATTTATGTGGAACATTAATTTCAATATTAACAATCTTTTCAGCCCATCCTTCACCTTATTTTGCACCTGTATCAACACCACAAAGATCTACTCCTTCATTATAAGCAAAAGCTTATCTAAATTTCTCTTAATCATCAATTTCCATTAAAAATAATTCATTATCCCAAGAATCTATTTTCCACATTTAAACTTTCACTTTCACTTAATAATGAGGAGGTAAATTTGTAAATCTTTTCCATAAATTAGCTTTTCTACCTAATTTACCATATCCACCAAAAAGTTATACTCCTGCACATTCATTTGATTCTGCTTTTCCTTCTCCATCTAGAGTCCAACCTTCTAATGATATTTATTTATTCCAATTAGTAGCTACATTTGTCCAAAAGAAACAATTATCTGGTTTATTATCACTACATACTGAACATTCTGGATGACATCTCTAAAATGATAATTTGAAATCTCTAAATGCCCATGATTCCTATTATAATTTATGAATTAATATTTATACATTCAATGCATCTTCATCTAAATTTGATGTCAATACTATGCTAACTGTTGGTGAATTATGTGGAACCTCAAATTCTATATTATAAAAAGCTTCTTTCCAATCATTTGCTGCTCCACATAAATTTGCTCCTTCAGAATAATGCCATTTTGCTTGCCATATGAAACCATCAACTAATACATACATTATTTCATTATCCCAACTATCTATTCTATTATTTTAATTATTTAATAATATTACTTCCATAACTATATATTGATCTTTAATTTATAATGAGGTGGAAGTGTTAATTATTTTAATGCTGTAGCTCCTTTACCAAATGCACCATATCCACCAACCAAACTTATTTTATCACATTTACTAAATGTATTTCCCTTAAATGCTTTCTTCACAACCCAACCTAATCATTACACTTTTATCATTACCATCTAAATCATTTATTTCAGCTGATGTAAATGCTGTGTAATGGGTTACCCAAGGATCTTATGCTAATAAGATCTACACACTCAACAATACCAATAGGATTGTCTTCATAATATATTAATATTAATCCAAATCTATAATTCTCTTAAAAACGAATACTTTTTATTATTTATATATATCTAATAATATATTAATTCTATTCCATTTTCACTCTTCTTCTAATCCTTCTCCACGAAAACTATTCTCACATCCTTACTAAATTTATTAGCAATTTAATTTAATATGATTTCTATTTATTATAATGTCATTTGACACTCAACACATTTCAAAACTCAAATATATCTGAATTACTCACTCCCAATTCTTATAAGTTTGTTCTTGCTAACTTATTCATCATTGGAGGACCACAAGTCAAAGCCAATGTCTAATTATCTAATTTACCAAATGCTTATTCAGTCATCTCTTTTGTAACAAATCCAGTAAAACCTACCCATTAAGGTGGTGGCTAATATTATTTAAAAATTAAAATTTACATTATCTAAAGTCAAGTTCAAAGCTAACCTTTTCATATCTGAAAATGCTTTTAACTGTTAGTATAATAAAATGTCTTACTAACAGTGTTTAATAATAAATAAATACTTCTGTTTTATTAGCAAAAAGCAATGCTAATTGAGTTCTATCATCATTATTACTTATGACTGCTTGAATTATTTAATACATAGGGGTAATTCCTGATCCACCAGCAATCATCACTATTTTCTTATATTTTTGCCTATAAATTTATGGCATTTTGTTTATTTAAACATTTCCATAACCTAAATATATTAATCTTCCTCCAGGACCTGTAATATGAATTGATTCTCCTGGCTTTTTTTATAGAGTAAATTTTACATTCATATTTTCTATCCAAGAAGTTAATTTACCTCCATCAGGAAATTTAGGATGTTCATTAGCTCTATAGATCTTAATTAATAAATCGAAATTGCCTTTCTAATCAATTGGACTAGTAGGAGTGTATTTTCTTTCCACTAATTCTCCTTCTGGAAATTAACTTGTTTTAATTTATTCACTAAATATAAAATTTTATTACTGTAAAATAATATGTTAACCCACTTCAATTCCTAAGACATCCGTCTTTGATGGAAGAGCAAATTTAAAATTATAGGTGTCATGACTCAATTTAGTTTTCTCAATTAATTAGCATACTAAATATTAATCTTTCTTGTGCTTAGGTTACAAAGCACTAGGTCCTTTTGGATTAATGAGGTTGTTCCAAATAAATTTAATTATGGCTACCACAAGAAGGGCAGCAAATATATAAATATAAATCATTTTAATAATATTTAAGTTGTCAAATATAAGATTTAATTTTTGCTTATAATTAAGGAACACTGTATGGTGAAACCTTCGAATTTGATTGTTAAGCTACACTAGATTAATTATACTAAGAGTATGATTATTATTGATAAGGTTGATGGGTTTATCTTGTCTTATTTTCATTATTGTCTTATCTCCTTTAAAGATCTTGGTATTTATTTTCAATATCAGCCATTTCATGACGATGTCTTATTACCATTTCATTTATTTCTTTATCTTTGTGAAATACTTTCTCTTCTAGAAATGACCTTTCTCTATCAAACATAGATTTAACTTCTTGAACATATAACTCAGTCTATTAAATCTATTTAATTAATTATTTATTTTCTGCAGATAATCTAAAATTTAATTAATCATTTCTACCTATTATTCTCTTCCTACAATTATCTAACCTAATTGTCTAACTTCGATAATTATTCCATTGATACTTTAGCATTTGGATCTTCTGCTTGCAATTTCATTATTTTAAGATCAGATAAAATACCATTAGGATCCTTCCTTACTTTCCATTTAAGTTTATCATTCTCACATTATAATTATTCATTTTCTACTTCCCTAAGTTTTAATCTCTTTCTCAATTCCTCAGATTCTGAACATAATACTTTCATCTACTCATATTATAATTTAAATTAATCTCTTTCTACCTTAGCATCCTAAGTAACTTATTACATTTTTGCCATTTCTTCATCATATATAGTCTTTTAATTTGTTAATTTTTGTATCTTCTCTTTTAAACTACTTAAGTGATCTTATTAATCCTTTTTCCTAAACTCTAAATCATTCTCTATTGTTATTTTCTGATTCTCTAAACTGTTATAAGCAGCTAATAAACTCTTATGCTTTTCATTTACTTCCTTATACAATGTATTTATTTGATTTAAATCTACACTTAGTTGATGATTCAACTTTTGTAATCTTTCTATTGTACCATCTTTTTCTAAAATAGCCAACTTATCTTAAGCTGCTACTTAAGTTTATTGAAGATTAACTTTTTATAATCTTCCAACCTCTGCTTCAAACTATTTCAAATTTTATTCAAATGTATCTTTAGCTTTATTTAAATAACTATTTCTATTTTCTAATTCAGCACATTAAAACTTTTACTCCTATAATTAATCTTTTATGATCAACAATTCAGATCTAGATGTTTATTTTAAATCATATAATTATTTATCCAAAGATTCAATTTATTATTTAGATTAACTCAGCTATTTATTCAAATTTCTTATTTCTTATTAAAGCATATCATTAAGACTACTAAGTTTTGTATTTTCAGTTATTAATTTTGTTTTTTCAATATTCTACTCATTCAATTAAATTTATAATTATTATGCCGATTCTTAATTTTTCACTATTATTTCTTCATATTTATTAGCTATCTCTCTCTCTTTAGAGTGTTTTCTACATGAATGACTATGATTTCCCTTCTCTCTTCTCATTTCATCATATCCACTTGATGATTCACTCTCAGATAATACTTATTTCTGACTTTAATTTATTTTCTCTCTCTCTTATATTTATTGTTAATTCATTGTTGTTTATTGTTTTTAAGGTTATTCTTATTGTTAATTACTTTTCTTTTAATCTTAATTCTCCTTTGTTTATTGTTTTCTTTCTGGTATTGCTGTTGTAGATTTCTCTTATTTTTGGTTTGTTTTTTAAATTGGCTTTTCTTACTTATTTTCCTTCTTTTAAACTTTAATCTAACGTTCAGGTATAATTACTTTAGATTCATTTTACTTAAATTATTATTATAAGATGGGCTTTTCATCTTTTTTATTTTCAACTGATTTTGATCTATCTATTTCTGTTGATGATTTTATGGTATCAGCAAATTAGACATTCTTTTTTGATGAACCTCTCTACTTTAACATCTCATCATCTAGTGGTTTTTTAAGAGCAGATTCAAATTATTTAAAGGTTTCATTTGCATTCTAAACTAATTTAAATGCTTCTTTCTAAGGGTCTTAGGTATTTTACACATCTCTACTAACTTATTCTAATAACTCCTTTTTTAATTTCTCTTGATTCTTTGACATAAGATTAACGAATATGTTTAATATTAATATGAACTAATATAATTTAAGCAATTTTATTAAGTATTTATCATTTAATCAACCTTCTTAAAGAAATCTACGAATTTATCGAGATTCTTTAGTAAACAAATTGTATTCAATCATCTTATCAAAATCTATATAGTATTTAGAAGTATTTCTTATTACATTTAAAGTGTTAGCTTTTTATGAGTTTTTACAGTATTTTTAATATGCTTTTTCTAAACCATCTTTATTTTGTTCATCATAATTATTCCATTCATATGATTTTGGTTATAATTAGTATTACCACACAATTTCTTTTAAGGCTCCTCTACTAATAGGTTTTTTAGGAATCTCTTAATAAGGTTTCTTAATATTTCTCCTTTAAATATGATTGATTTTTAATGTATTTGTATTTTCTAGAGTATTTTATTTAAAATCGACAATGAATCTATGTTATTACTAAGTGAATTCATAAATACATCTACTAGTCTAGCAATAAGTTTGATATAAATTTTCAATGATATCACTAATACATGGTTGCAAAAGTTTAAATTTGGAGTTGTCCTTTTCAAACCAATAAAATTATGTATAAATTAGTTTAGAATTGGAAATTTATGGTGAAATTTAAGCTTTATGATTTAATCTTATCAATTTTCTTCCTTAAGGTACTTCATAATAAATCTGTCTAGATTTTCCATTAAGAGTATTAATTAAGCGCATATTTATAAGATCAATGCAATGACCGCCAATATCAGCAAAACGAACATAAATGAGATCTTTTTCTTGATCTATTCCTTGTAAAATAGATAAGCTTAATTCATTAGTTACTTATTAAACAGTTGTAGGTGTAATTTCAATGTAAAATTCTTAAAATTAATGAGGATTAATAGTTTTTTGAGTTGAAGCCGATTTCTTAGATTGTAAATTATTTTATTGATCATCTTTAGTAAATTCAAATTAATTTTAAGGATAGGGATCTATTTTTCTCATAACAATAAAAATTTGTTAATAATGTAAAATTTATAATAAATGTTGTATAAAATATCATTAATAGTATACATCTCAAATTTGGACTAAATTAGTAAATATAGATGGAACATTAATTTGAATAATAATTGATTGAACATTATAATAGAACTAATAAAAAGATATTGGATAATAAAAGGAAAACTTTTAGATAGATGGAGGAACAGTATCATTTCTGATTTGTGAATAATGCACATATAATTTGAAATATTAAAATGAAAAAAAGTAAAGATTCATAAATCATTTATGGTAAAAGAATTCCTTTTGATTAAAAATAGAGTTTATTTAAATATAAGATAAGCATTAGGTAATTTGGCTTACTTTTAGTTATATATCATATTTAATAGATTTTTTGTTGTGAAATAAAATCATTCTAGATATAGTAATAAGAGGATTATACCTAGATGTAATGGTTGCTTGATATAAACAGAATTTCCAAAATTTGAAGTTAATTACAACTGAATGCATTAAAATCAGATTTAGGATTAAGAATACGTTGATACTTAAAAGTAATGAATTAATAAGAAGGAGATAATTTAGAAAGTTTGAGAATAAGATTTATAGCCGATATTTTACAAATTCTAAAGTAGATAAAAATGTTTTGTATAAGCAGATTATGTAATGATTTAATGGGAAAAACAACAGAAGAATAGATAGATTATTATAGAGAGAGTATTGATTGAAGATAATTCAGAACCATATGGATCATATTATTTAATAGATGATATTTATGAGATCTTCAAAATAATGGATTTATTAAAGTTGTGTAGAAGTTGGATGGCGATACATAGCATATTTTTAAGATTCTTTAAGATCAAAAAGATTATATATAGAATTTTATGAATAATATTGTAGAGATATTTTTGGTGATGATTTAAAATTATGGCCTGATGAAGATAATATTAATGCATATTAATTTAATATTATTTTTAGTAATGAAGATTTTGGAAATAGGTTAGTATTATTGAAACAAAAAGGACATTTTAATTTTTATCATATTAATTATGATAATGGTGAAAATTGTGTTGATCCTATTGATCATGATTGTTATGAACAAAATTAAGTAAGAATTGATATCTATTCAATATTCGATAATTAGATTAGATAACATTATTAAACATTAGAATTATGAGTATTTATATCAATCTAACAGTATTAAAATTAAATAATTTGTATTTTCTATTCCAATATTATCATGAATTCCAAAGATTACAGTATATATTTCATATAAGAAATAGTTCATAGAATGCTTTACTTAAGTCAACTAAAAAAAGATTATTTAGAATAATGTCTTTCCAAAGAATAAGAACCTGATTATGAATTAATCCATGTTCTATCCATCATTGAATCAAATCAAAACTCTAATTTAGATTTAACACTAGTTAAAGCAACATCCCTTTAATTGATTTTTCCATTACTTAAGGTAAAATTATGCTATTATCCGGTCAAGGCAGTGTCAAAATCATATTGACTAAATTACCATCACATCCCAATAAGCCCAATAATTGAAAGATATCCTGCCTATTTTCATTGAAGAAAGCAATCTCGATATACAAATACGCAAAAAAATTCCTTAATTAGATCTTAATTAAATTAATTCTTCCTCCACTACAAATATGATTTAATCTTCATAAAGACAAAATAAATTATAAAAATCACCATCCCAATATTAATTTAATACAGATCGACTCTAAAACCCACAAAGCACTACTAGAATCAAAAAATAATTATTACCAACTCCAATTAATAATCAATAATCTTAACCCAAATCACCAAATACAAAAATTGTTAATGTTAAATTAAAAAAATAACATACTGAAATTGTAGGAAAATCATTAACACATAAAAAAAGATTATAATTATAATCACATGAAGATTTAAATAGAAAAAATAGTTCACATAGTTTTACGAAACATAAAAATACTAGCAGTTCACCAATTAATGAAACTAATAACATTTAAAGACAAATTAGTCAATATGCCACTAATTAAACATAATTAAAAACTAATTCTTCTAATGCAAATATTTAAATTAAAGCATTGTTAGAATCTTCACAAACCTCAAAAACATAAAATACTACTACTATTGTCAATCCTAATGATTAAAATGCTGATATTTCAATCCATTTGAAAAATCTTATTAGCTTTTGTAATCAATCAATTTTAAAAAAGAATTAAGAATGTTACAGTTCTAAAAAAGATTTATCTACACAATAAACAAATTCAAGTATCCATTAATTCAAAGAAAACAAAGAAAATACTTAACCAATTAAAAAATCTACTCCTTTATTAAAACCAACTGAACATACCATGATTAAATTAACTGAATTGACAGAAGAAGATAATCCAGAAACTGCTAGATTTAATTCAGAAGATGATGTTAGAAAACTTACAAATTTCAATAGTAAAGGATTACAAAAATTGCTCCAATCAAAAACAAATTAATTATCAGAATAGAGCTCCACATAATCGTTACTTTCATTATTTTAAAGAAAATGATTATTTTTATAAATTAACATTTCATAATTAAATCTTAACTAAATTATTTGTCCAATCAATTTAATTTCCTTAAATTTAAATCACTTTTTTTGAGCTATAAGTTAAGTAAATGAAAATCATTCTTTGTTTAATTTCATTCATAAGGATTATTTGAATATCCATTAAAATTATAGATAAATTAATTCTTTTTTAATTAATGCAAAAATATAAAGTAGATTTTTTTAAAAACATCCCCAGGTATGGCTAATATCAAAAGAGTTAAAATTTGTATTTTTAGCATTTTATGATTTTAATATATTTAATTATTTATAATAATTTGATATGATCATCTTTTAAGCTGTTTTAAAATGCTAGATTATTCTAGAATATGATAATAAGTGGAGAGTGGAAAGTTTTATAAAAATCTCTAAAAATATTCTTTGAATAAGAAGTATTATACTGACACAATGTTTGTCAATTAAATATTAGTTTTTGAGTAGATATCTATAATTTTCTGTAATATTTCAAATAATTTGCTTTGTTAAGAATTATCTTAATTTGAAGATGATAAATTTATTAAAGTATATCATAAAGCAAAAGAGTAAAAATAAGAATTACAAAAAAAAACAACTTGATTTAGATAGATAGAAAAATAAAATTTGAAGTGGAGATAAAAGACTATGGAAAGCAATTAAATCAATTTAAAATATGTGATTGATTAGGAAAATTTAAAATATTAAAAAAGGATAATTAAAATAATTATATATATATTATATAAAAAAAATGCAATAATAAACAGCAGAAGAATAAGCAGAGAAAGAAGCAGAGATTAAAGAGGCTTTTGAGATATTTGATAAAAATAAATCGAAAAGTATATCCGGTAAGAAATCAAATGTTATAAATTGAATATAGTATAGGAACTGACTTCAGTTTTTCGTTCTTTAGGTTACAACTTTTCATAGGATGAAATATAATCGATGGTGAAAGAATTGAGATAAACCTAGAAAGCAGAAGGAGCAGAAGACAAGGAATTAGACTTTGATGATTTTAAGAATTTATTATTAATGTAAGAGGAGAAGGCAAAGAGTGGAGAAGATGATTTGAGAGATGCATTTGAGGTTTTTGATAGAGATGCAAATGGTTATATAGGAATAGAAGAATTAATGATGGTAGCTAAAAGTCTTGGTGAAAATATTTCTGAAGATGATTTGAAAGGGATGTTGTAATATGCAGCAAATACATCAAATTAAAAAGATGATGATAAAGATAAAGTGCCTTAAATAACTTTACAATAATTTGTAGAAGCTTATTTAAAATGAAATGATATTAATTATTCTATTCATTAAATTTATAAATGAAAAGTATATAAAATTATGAATAATTCAAATAAGTCAAATAGAATCCTTTAAATAATTCAAAAAGTAAATAGTTATACAGTTTTACAAAATCTCCAAGATTTAATTATAATGGATAAAGAGAGTAAATATTTTTAAAAGTATAAGTAATTCACCTTCATTTTATTCAATAAAAACTGATATAGCTTCTCCAAATAAAGGAGTGTCATTTGGATCTGGTTCAAAAGTAGATTTTTCTAAGTTAGGAACAAAAACACCAGGTCCTGGACATTATTAACTATAATACTAAAAGACTAATTAGATTGTTAATTTAAAAAAACATACTATGGGAACTGGTAGAATATAAACAAAACTAAAGACGGAAGTACCACCTGTTGGAATTTATGAGATTAGTAATAGTATGGTTTAAATTAATAAAGCACCTCATTTTGGATTGAAATTATTACCAAGTATATGATTATAATTAGATTAGAGAATGAAACATGTTCTCCTGGACCTGGAAAATATGATATTTAAATAAAAGAACATTCTAAATCATTTATTTCTGGATTTGGTTCTGGAAGATAAGGTTTTATAATAGATGAAACACCTGGACCTTAAGAATATAAACCAAAAAGTGACATGTCTCCAAAATATATAAATTCTAATTGGAATAATTGTCAAATAACTAAGTTTTCAAAAGTGAAACGTTTTGGAAGTAATGAAACTATTACACCTGGACCTGGAAAATATTAAATAGCAGGAGAATTTGGAATATACTGATTTATATGAATAATTATAAAGTTTATTTAAGAGTAAGACCAATTGATTATGATTAATCCATGTTGAATATAGATCACAATCTCATTTCTATTAAAGTATTTCTTCTAAAGCACTTAGGATCCCACTAATAAATAAGCTGAATGGTAATAATACTCTTATGATAAAATATTTCCATCTATTTCTACACAAAAAGAGCTTTTTGATGAAGTGTTTAATTTTGACTATTTAAACAAAAATGCTTGTATTCTATCATATGGTTAGTCAGGAAGTGGAAAAAGCTATTCATTATTTGGTAATGTTCAGAATCCAGGAATAGTTCCATTATTTGTATAAACAATGTTAGAAAAAGGTTAAGTAGTTGAAGCTTCATTTTAAGAAATATATGTTGATTAGATTAAGGATCTTAATACAAATCTAGTTACAGAGGATTTCACAAGAAGAAATATTATGTTAATTAACGATTTATGGGATATGATTAAGATTGTCAGAAATATTGATATTAAAAGATAGGTGAGAACTCATGTTATAATTACATTGTATTTGAATTCAAATACTAAAGTTTAATTTGTGGATTTGGCAGGATCTGAAAGAGTTGCTAAAAATATAACAGAAGGAGAAAAGTATTAAGAAGCAATTATGATAACATCAAGTCATTAAGTTTTGAATAGATGTTTGAACTAATTTAATCAAAAAAAAGTTGTACAAAAAAGAGAGTCAAAATTAACTTAGGCTCTAATTATCGAAAATAATACTTAAGTTATTTTAATTGGAACAATTAATCCAAGTTAATCAAATTATGAAGAATGTTTGCTTACCTTATAATATATGGATAGGACAAAGAATGTATAAGTTTCAATTCGGAATTAATAATAGTCTCTTTTAGGATCAGAAACTTAAAATAATATACAATAAGATAAAGTCATTAAAAAATTGTAAGAAGAAATATAAGAATATAAATAAAAAATTGAATAAATGAATTTAGATAGGAAAAAGAAATTTATAGATTTATAAAAACTACTTGGTTTAGATATTGATTTAGAAAGATTATCAGCAAAAAATGCAAAAGATATTACAATTTTTAGAAATTAATAGGAAGCACTCCAAAAGAATGTTAGTCTATAATAATAATTAGAACAATAATAATATGAATTAGCTGAATCATTAAAAAAAAATGAAGAATTAAAATAAGATTTTCATTAAAAATTGGAAAGATATTAATAATAATTATTAGAATAAAGAGAAATAAATAAGAAATTAAAAGATTAAATTAATATGACAAAAATGAGTGGAGATGATGCTTTAAGATAATTAAATTCAGAAAGAGATCACTTTATTAGAAAATTGTAGGATGAATCCAAAAATCTATTGGAAGATAAAGTAACTTCAATAATTAATCTTCCTTAAGCTGCATAAACTAAACTCTCAGAAAATCAAAAATTATAAGATTTAAGAAAGTAAGTTAGAAATGAAGCTGAAAAAGATTTTAATAAGTAATTGGAATAGATAAAACTAGAATATTCAAAATGGTTAGATACATGCAAATAATAATATGAATATCACTTAAATGAAAAAAATAAGGAAATTGAAAATTTTCTTACCTCTTTCAAATAGTATAGAGATAAAAAAAAGTAAAATTTGAATATAAGCATATATAGATAATAAATCAATGAAATAGTTGATGAACTTCTTGATCTTAATGATATAATCCAAAAATAAAGTAAAGTTATCGATAAAATTGAAACGGGTGGTTATAGTGGAGGATTGAAATCTTTTAGTATCCCTAAATAAGATAAGCCTAATCTTCCTAATAAAATTAAACATAAAAAGTAATTAATCTCTAATATTTAGTTTATTTTTCTATTTAGATACAAAAAGTGTTTCAGCTACAATTACTAAGAAAGGTTCTAATATTGAAAAAACTATAAAAACAACAACTAAATAATTCAAATAATCTTAAAGTTAAATCATTATCGAAATAGATTGCAACTAACTAGATTAAATTAACTTTTTATCAATGGACTTTAGTACATTAAGATCTTATGCAAATAAATTGAGAGATATGATTAAAGAGTTATAGGACTAAATGGTTATAATTTAAGATAAATGTAAATAGCAAGTTGCATAAATGCAAAGAGGTAAATTATTCTTTATTATTTTATTCTTAAGAACGCGATGAAGCCATTTAGAAGTTTAATATGGAAAATAGAAGATATAATTAAAACAGAGTTGTGATTGAATCTTAAAACAGAATTTTATAAAAAATAAGACCAATTAGTTCGATCCAAAGAAAATCATGATTTAAATATTTATTAAGTCATTTAATTTACAAACACACATTTAATAAAAATGAAAAAAATAAGAATAGAGTTTCATTATATAGCTTTTAATTTTATATATGGTCATACAAATTTAATTTACTTTGCGTATTCTTTTTTCTACAATTTCTAAATTAAAATGCTATATTTGAATATTTACATGAAGTCTAAATGTGTATTCATCATGAATTTTTTCTTTTTAGATGATTGTTTCTATACGTAATTTTTATTTATCTTTATGTTCTTATTCTCTCATATTCTTGATTCTCTCTGCTCTATCAATCTTTTATTCATATTTTTTCAACTTTTCTGTTTCTATTCTTCTTAATTACTTTTTTTAATAAGAAATCCATCTATCATAAGCATCTTATTCCAACTCTATTTTAGGTCTGAAAATGTTAAAAACTCTATTACCTAGTATGAATTGTATCACTCTCTAATGATTTAAATCTATGTTCATTTTATTAATGTTTAACTGCAGATAATTAACTTTATTTCAATTTTTGTAATTTTCTATCAGTAATTAATGACATCCTTTCACAGGATTTTAACACTAGTTAACTTTTTTAAAGTTCTTTTTAACGAATTTATCTTTCATATAAAAGAGCCTATTATATTTCTTTTTATTGCTTCTTCTTAAATAAAGATAAAGAATCCATAATTTTATAATTATATAATAAAAAAATAAAAAAATTGCAAATAATAAAATTGCATAAATTTATTTTAGAATGTGAATAAATAAAAATAAGACCTATAATTATACTATTAATTATATTATAAATAAATAAATCATTAAAATGTGAACAATGAATAAAATAAAAATAATAAGTAAAATTATTGAATGCTAAATAATAAATATGAATTAATCATACTTTTATAAAAGTTTATAAATATAAAAATTAAATTTAGGCAAATGTCTATAATTAATGAAATTGAGCTTGAAATAAGAATAAAAATAGTTTTATTATGTGATGATAATTAAATTTGTAAAAATGAGTAAAATTTTATATAAATTGATATAAATATTAAAACAGAACAAATATAATACAAATCTACTTCAATCAAGTATTTCTTCTAAATACTAATTACAATTGTATTCATTATAGCAATTGCTTTCATAATTAGAATTACAACAAAAGTTTTGTAACTAAGGACGAGAGTCTTCATAGTTGGATAAGTAATCGAAGTGACAAGGATCTAATATAATAATTAATTGATACTTATTTGAGATTTAATCTCAGGGGTGAAATATTCTTAGACTTGGATGGCAAATTCATTGTTTTCGTCATCTAAATTAATGAACATGATAATTACTGATTCTCTTCTTATTTTTCTTATTTCTCTTTTATCCAGCAGGTGTGAAAGGATTAAATTTTTAATGATGTGATCTTTATATCTAAATTCTAAATACCTGCATTAAGATGGAGATCTTGTCCCTATAGTCATTGACATGAGTTTGAAGATTTTGTTATTTTTTCTGTTTTGTTGATTTTGCATAGTTGTATTATGGTGTTGTTTTAGGAACTCAACATATATTTGATGTTCTTTAGTAGTCCAATGTCCTTAATTTTTTTTTATATTTTAAGGCAAGTCTTTGCTGATTTTCTTTTTAGTTGCTAAAGACTTCTTGCTTTATTCCTATTCATAGTAAGTATGTTTATTACGTTTTAAGTAAATGACATTTCACCCTAATTATTAGTTCCTTAACTGCTTAATGAGTCACTTAGTTCATTTTATCTTGAAAATTAATTTTCAATAGAAAGAGATGTTTATGGTAGCAAGTGTAAGACACATCTGTTCTCCATTATAGGTATTAAAATTAATAATATATTTACCCTCTACATTTTACCGTCATAAGCCGTATTATAATATTATAATAATTTTTAATCTCCCCCCTATAAATTGTAAATTTTTATATTAAAAATGATCCTCTTTTTTTAGTATGCTCATTTGTCAAAACTCATTTAGTTCAAGTATTTTAAGAGTTTAAAAATAAAATAGAATTTTTGTTTATTCATTTTAATTACTAAATTAATTAATGTTTAATTGTTTTTCATCAGTTTATCTTACATAATTTATGTAACTGATACTTCAAATATAGTAATTCATAGTCACAATCATTTAAGAACTTTTAGTCTTAGTAAAACAATTATAAAAATCTGTATTTAATAACAAAAAGATAAGTTTTTATTAGATTTTTAACATTATCATTTTTAGAAATAAATTAGTTTATATATTTATCTTTATCATTATAATTTTAATTCATTAAGTTCCTCTTTATCATAAGTAGAATTATAAAATTTGCTGATATATTTAAGATGATTTTTAACATCTTATATTTTTTCACTTATCATAAGATCATGAATTATTTAGAATCCTGAGAAGTATTCTCTTGATATTGCTGCTGCATTTTCATCATTGAAGAGTTTAGTAAAATCTTCTCTTGAAAAGTTCTTTTTATTCTCTCCATTTTTTAAAAATGATTTAATTGCTTGGTTTTCTATATTTTTAGTGCCTATCATTATAATAATTGAGTTTAAATAGAATACATAAATATTTTTTCAACAACACTCCAAAATTTTTTGGAATGTTTTTTGTTTCTGATTTATAAGTGTGATTCTTAAGTTTTTTCTTTTGAATCTTACTTCTTTTTTATATTTTATTTATTTAGGAGGATTCTTAAAAATCTTCTGTTGATAATTATGAACGATGAGTTTCCTCAATTTTTAATTATATTTCATCTTCAACCTTAATCTCTTATTTTATGTATTTTTTAAAAGAAGAATTGGGATTAGTGTAATTCTTAGTGGAGAATTTATATTTTTGATTTTCTTGATAAATCATTTTGAATTAATATTTTGCAATAATATTTATCAAATAAACAATTCTATGAATTCCAAATATATATAATAACAGAACTTTATATTACATAATATTAAAATATTGAAATCATATTCATTTTTACTAAAAAATTTATATTCCTAATTTTATTTCTTCTTAGATTTCTGATGATAGATTCTCTATCAATTTTATATAATTTTCATGATCTTTTTCAGAAATCTACTTAATATTTTGTGTTTGATTTTTTAGAGCAATATTCTTGATTTATAATTCATGAAGCTCTTTTTTTTTTTATTCAATCATCTTCATTAATTGAATTATTTATAAATTTTATTCATTCTAAAAATTAAAGATAAAATTATCTTCAACTTTAATTTCTCTTTAAGAATTTTATTATGTCATGATTTATGGTATATTATCAATAAAACTACCATTATCAATACTACAAACAGAATTGCGCTTTCTAATCATACTACCTTTAGGACTTGAAAAAGTAAGTTAAGAATTTCCAAGCTTTTAATCCAATAGGGTTTTAATTTATGTGATAGCTCAAATATAATTGAATAAATAAGATACATTTATAATCAGTTTTAGTAAGAATTTGTTTGCCTATAGTTTTATAATCAAAACCAAATTATCCAAAGGATTTTAGACAACTTTTAGCAACTACTATCAAATATTTTTATATGACTTCAAAATTCATCTATGAAACAAATTCTAAAAATATAATATGAAAACAAGAGAAATTTAATCCTTTTATGAATAAACTCTATGTATTTGGAGTCGAAAAGTATTCCATAAACTTTTTAATTTAAGAAATTTGTGTAGAATCAATTTTGAAGGCAAGTTGAAAATCTTAGACTAATGTCTATAAATTTGGTTCTTAAGTAGAAGTAGGCCAATATTCATAAGGCATTAATTCATATAATTATTCTAATAATTGTAAAGCAGCATAATCTTTGATTAAAGTCAGTAGAACAATTGAAATTTATAATAATTCGCAGGAATATCCCACTTCTGAATTTCTATACAAAAATACAACTAATAAATTTTCTATGTCATCAAAAATTTGATTGACCTTCATTTAATTAGTTGAATGACATATCCAATCCTAGAAAGAATAATTAAACATTTCTTAGGTAATAAAACACTAGATTAGATTAAATGGAATACTTTGATCAAATCAGATTTAATTTACTCAAGATTTTGTTTATAAGAGTCTTGAGCTTTGGCATTTTTAATGTGCTATTTGTATTATTCTGGATTAAGGGATGATTGATAAAGATTAAATTATAATTCTGTTTCTTTGTTCCATGATTATTATAATTTATCTGTCTATTCTTCCATATACAAACAATCTGTTTTGCATTGTAGACACACTTTTTCTCTTTTGAGTGGTTTTAACATCGAGGTAGAAATCTAGGAAGTAGAATGAAGAAGATTGCTACTTTAAATTCATTTTTATTGCAATCAAGACATACTACAAGTCCACACCTTTTACATTTTGATTTGTTTTGTTTGATAAAGGAGAATTCTTTATTACAAATCGAACACTGTTTATCCATTAATTAATATAATATTAAATACACAAAACTTTAAAAAGCAATCTAAATTTATATCATTTCTCATTTTTTATTGTTCCAATACAATTACCCATTGATTTTGATATAATCATTAAATTCCAAAATTTTATTCATTCTTATTTATTTAACATTATTAAACTCAAAGAATATACATAACTTAAATATTTCATTTTTTATTTTTTTTCAGTTCCTAAACATAATTTTATTATTTTTCCAAGTATCTTTGAACTTTCTTGATTAAATCCCATTTCCTTAAGTGTTTAAATATAAATGTGTTCTCAAAATATTTCAACCTAATTTTCAAATTTTAAAATATATTTCAACATAAAATAAAATGGAATATCAATTATTTTCTTATTATGATCCAAAAGGTATCCACTAATAATATTAAGGTAATTAATAGTTTAATAAAAAAAAAAAATTTAAAGAATTAAAAATTAAAAAATAGACTTCTTTTATATTATTAGATTTGACTAGATAAAATATTATGCAAAATTATCATCTAATTCTATTTCTCCTTAAATGTTATAATTAAATTTTAATATTTCAGTAGATACAATTTTATTTTTTAAAGTTATCAATGTATAAATATTTTTGTATACTAATGGTAATAAATTCAAAGTAATATCAAGATATTTAATGTTATAATTTCTTTACTTTCTCTTTATATTTTATTATCTTGAAAGATTCAGAATTTTTTTAATTTTTGCAAGAGTTATAAATAATAAAACAGAAAGATACCAATTATCCCTCAGAAGAGAAGAGAGAATGAATAATTGATATTGTTTAAATTTAATTGAAATTCATTGTATTTATAAATGAAAATAAAATCAAAAAAAGTTCACATTAGTATTCTTATTGATTAATTTTTAATTTAAAATCAATAAATTAAATACAAATGACAACACTTGGATAAGAATTTTAAACAATATTACAAGAGATTGACAATGCTAGATTAGATGCAAGTAATTTGGAGATAGCATTAATGAAATTATTAAGATTTGGTATATTTTAATAATGATAGATAAAGATTCAAAATCAGAAGAGCATTTGAAACACAAAGAAAGTGCATATAATAAATTATCATAATTATACTGCAAACAAAGCAAACCATAAATGATATTTGAGATAATGAAATCACATGATTTTTCTGGATTCAATTAAACAAGGGCTGCAAAAATAATGAGATAAATGATTGATTAGGTAGCATAATTAGAAAACACAATTGATTTATAAGTTGATATGTGTTAATTTTTGATTGATTAATGTGCAAGAGATAAGAAGAATTACTTGAAGCATAAGATGTAAATAAGATTAGCAACATTATATAATGAATAAGAGAAATTCACTTAAGGAATTGAAATAATAGATAAAATTGTAGGTGAAGTGAGAAAAGCTGATGATAAACATTTATTATTAGAAATTTATTTAATTGAGAGTAAATTACATTTTGGATAAACAAACCTTGCTAAAGCTAAAGCATCTTTAACTGCAGCTAGAGCATGTTCTAATACTATCTATTGTCCACCTCATGTTTAAGCTGAAATTGATATGATGGCTGGTGTATTATATGCAGAAGAAAGAGATTATAGAACATCTTATTCATATTTTTATGAAGCATTTGAAGCATTCAATAATCTAGAAGATAAAAGAGCACTAGGAACACTTAAATATATGTTGTTATGTAAAATTATGATTGGAGCTACTGATGAAGTTAAATAAATTCTAACAGGAAAACATGGACTTAAATATGCAGGCAGAGTAATTATTTTATTTATTATTTATTATAGCATTTAGAGGCTATGAAAGCTATTTCTAATAGCAATTAAAAAAAATCACTTATTGAATTTACTAAAGTTTTAGATGAATTCAAAGAAGAAATTGAAGGTGACAAAGTCATCAGATTACATATCAAATAGTTATATGAAGTTTTATTGGAAATGAATCTATTTCAAGTCATCTAACCATACTCTAAAGTTCAGATTGATTATATTACATAAAGAATGTAAATTGATGTAGAAATCATTTAAAGAAAGTATCATATCATTTCTAATCTTAGGTTATCAGAGTTAATTTTAGATAAAAAAATTGATGGTACTCTAGATTAAGGAAATGATTGTTTGATTTTGTTTGACACAGTTAAACATGATAATTTATATCAACATTCACTTAATTTGATTAATAATTTGAATGGTGTAGTTGATAAGCTTTTTGATAGAGTCAAAGTCAAATGAACATTAAATATATATATTATTATAAATAAAATTAATTGTTTATTTAATATGATATAAGAATTTATAATATACTTTTATGAGAAAGAGATATTTGACATAACTGATTCTATTCATTTGCTTAATTACTAAACATAAGCTTAACATCTATTTTAAAATATTCAATTTCATATTATTAAATAATATACAAAAATTAATTCTTTATAAATTTCAATATAACAATATTATTTAGTTATATAAAAAAAAGAATAATTTTTAAATCTAAAAATAGATCAAAATCTCTGTTTTTTTTGAAATTAAAATCTTATTAAATTTTTTTCAATAAATCTTAGTTTTAGATTATTTTAATTGAATAGAATTGATACTCTTGAATCGTAAAGAAAATATAAATAAATTTTTATAATAAAGAGAATACTATATTATATATAAAAATAATTAAGCGATGAGAAATGAAAATAATTAAGGATAAATATAAAATAAAAAGGGTTTAAAAAGACATACATATTATGACAGTATAATCAATCAATACAATTAAGGGCGTGTTTGGATGAGGTTTATTAAGTTCTAGTGAAAAGATTGATAGGTATTGTATGCATTTTGTTTGGGTGCAGAAATCTTTTGTTAAGAGAGATACTATATGCAGATTTGTATGATTGATGTGTTTTAATAGTTTTAATGATAGTTTATTTGGTTCTTTTAGAAGTGATAGTTATTTCATCAGGTTCAGTAATTTATTATCGACTAGTTTGAATTAATTAATTTAAGTTGTTATCTATTCTTGTCATCTATGTTTTTAGATGATTTAAAAAGTAGGTATTGGATTATTTGGAATTTACATGGTGGGAATATTTTGGGGATTATTTCTTATCTTAAGAATCATTTTTGATTTCATCTTATGAGGATGGAGATGGAGATTAATGATTGGAATTGTGAAGTAATTATTATTTATTACGAGTGAAGATTTGAAAATTTCTGTATTTGTGTTTGGATCTCAAATGTTTATGAGAATTTTATAAATTATCTAGAAGTAAATTAGCAAGTCTAGTTTTTCTATGCATTTCAATTTCATATTGTTAATTAGGTAATGTGATTTATTTTATATTTGAAGTAGCACAATAGGAACAATGACAACTATTTCGACGAAGTTAGTTCTGAGGAGGTATGTAGGAAATTTAATGAAAGGAAAATGAATGAAAAGATCTTATCATCATAAAATATTAATAATAATATAAAGTTAACTAGTAAATGTCATCATCATCCACACATAAATTATTTAGTACCAATAAGTTTTGTACATTTTGAACATCTATGAATAGCATCTTTACAATTATCAAGAAGACATGGAAGGAATGCAAATAGGGCTGTAATAATACCAATAATTAGGATAATCATAACTATATAACTACATCTTCCCATTTAATATTGAACATCAGATTCTACAACTTAATTACATTTAGTGCATAGTAACTTTTCTGTTTTTCTTGACTGTGGAACTTTGGGATATTCTATTTCTTGTTCTATTAGTTTATTTCTCACTGAAAGTTCAATTTAATTTGGGTTTACCATCTAATAAGTCCCTTAAGACTATCCACTTCTTGTTTGTTAATTGTTCTAATCAGATTCAAGCATAGGATTAGATATCATTTTTATTAATATTTTAATTTTATATATTGATTATCTATTGTTATTGAAAAGTGAAAAATTAAGTATTTTTATCACTATATTTATTTATTGTTTTCTTCTATTACTGAATCTTTTTCACTTTCCTTCTCTTTTATTATAATATTCTCTATTCTTGAAGATTTACTTGAATTTGAAGAATTCCCTCCTTCACTTTCAAAAGAATTCATCATACAAAAAGAAGGATAATAAAATTGATAATCTGCATATTTCCTAGGACTTCTAGTTCTTTTTCTTTATTCTATTCTAACACGATATTATGTAGGTGGACATCTCTTAATTTATGCAGCTTAACTCTCATTAGGAACTGAATTACTTTCATTATGTTCTTCTAAAATAATCAATTTATAAATATCAATACTTGTGAATCCTGAACAACCTGTTACTTTATCAAGTATTTCCTATATTATTCTTATATCTTCTAATTAACAACTGAAATATGGATGATCTAAACATTAAGAAGCTGTTGGTCTATTATTTGGATTTGGTTCTAACATAGATTTTAATAGACTAAGAGCTTCTTTTTAAACAGTTTATTCTAATTCATTTAAATGAATATCACATTTAGTATTTGCTTTCATTATTTCACCAGTATTATCAGCACGAAATAATGTTCTTTTTGTCAACCTATTCAGTAAGTATACTAATTATTACAATTTATAAAATATAACTCCTGCACTAAAAATATCGCATTTTGTTGTAAAATACTATTCATTTGATTTATTTTCAACTTGCAATATTTCAGGTGCAATATATCCTGGTGTTCCACATACAGATAATTTTGTATATGTATTTTCATATATTGCTAATCCAAAATCTATTATCTTTAATGATTTTATCTCATTTTGTTTTGCAAGTAAAATATTTTCAAGCTTAATATCTCGATGTATCAAACCCAAAGACTCCAAATATTGAAGACCAAGCAATAAGGTCTAAAATAATATAAACTATTAAGTATAACTTTAATTCCATCCCTTACTATGTAACTTGGTAGAGTATCAGCTTGAATACTTCTAATAAAATTGTAAAGCGTATCACCTTCATAATAATCAGTTATAAGATAATAAGAATTGTCTCCTTCATAAATTTCCAGTAATTTGACAAATATTGGATGGTCAATCTTTTATAAAATTTCAATCTCAGATTGTAATCTAACCTAAACAAATATTTAGATGTAAATACAATACGATCATTGGATTTCTTACCAGTGAGATACTTCTTTGAGATACATTTAGCTGCATAGAACAAAACATCAGTGTTCCGCTTCACGAGACACACCTGAGAGTGAGGGAAAGCAGAATTACCTTGGAGGATGCACCAGAACCAATAATCTGAGTAGATTCATAGAAAATCGATATGTTGCCAAAAAATACTCTATTGGAGAGGTACATTTTCAGATTGTTTAATTCTGTATGGTCTCCCCAGAACCATTTTATTCGTTTCTTGTAGAGTATACCAAAACAACAAAGCTACTCATGTTCCGATTTCTTCCACATTACACGTGACTCAAACTTAAATTGGACTACATATTTTGGATTTTGCATAGTCTTGTGCTACCAAATTTACTTAAAGATTTACTTCTGATAAAATCATTTGATCTTAAAGAACTTGCAAATAGTATGTTTTGCTCTTTAATAGATGTTTGCGCAAACAATTCATTTTAAACTACACTAACATTATTTATTATAATTAAATCATTTCCAATGCTCAGAATATGAAATGCATTTTTAACATTATTAATCTTTGAATGTATGTCCAATCATAGAGTTGCACAAAGCTTTATGTAATGTTTAAGTTTGTATTTGTTCACATTTATCATTATTTTCATAACATACTAAGACTTTTCCTTAATGATCAACATATTCTCCATTACAATCTTTAATACTTCTACTATTGCAATTAATCTCTTTACACTAATCATTCTCATATTAACATCCTCCCTATAAACAAACATCTTAATCTTAGATTGATTCACAATCTTTGATAAATGAAGTTCTTGTTTTACAGCTTTTATCCCAATAACAAATAGAATCAATTTATAAAGGATTACTTTTAGCAATTAAGAAACTATCACATGTATATTGATCATAAATTTCATCACATTTTTCTGGTTTAAAACAATATCCAGTGACTAAATCAAGTGCACATTAATAAAGTTAACATTATTCTCTTGCTTTTTGAACATTTTTTAAACTAATTTAAATATCTTCACATGAGTTTAACTTTTCACATCTTTGATTATTTATATAACAATAATGAGGAGTTTAACTTAAGAATTAAGATGCATTAATGCAGTTATCTAATGATCTCTAATTACATTCAGCCACTTTACATTTTTCTTCCTACCATAAACAATAATGACTTTCACAACTTGTTTAATTTACATGTTCTTAGCAATCACATGCTGTTGGATAATCTAATGCTCCATTTATACAATATAGAAATCCTAATATATAATAAATTATCATTATTTTTAATCATAATTCTAAATTCTAAATTCAAAATTCTTCTATTTCACATTTATCATTCAAATATAATCCTGTCCCTTTTATTTCATTATTTATAACATATAAACTAGTTATTATACCATCTTCAGGTTCTTTTGGAGCTAAAGGTCCTCCCATATCTGTCTTTAACCATCCTGGATGAATACAGAAAACTTATTATTTTACTTCTTTTGATAAAACATGTCTATAATATGCATTTATTAATGCTTTTGAAGCAGAGTATATACCTTTATATTCCTTATATATACCTTTATATTCCTTATACCATTCTCCAAAATCATTTCTTTCATCTATATTCTTTATGAATTCTTCAACTATCATCTATAATTCATCCTTATTACATTTATTCAATTTCTATTGAATCACATCCTTTTGAATACTAAGTTTACCCAAATTTGATGATATAACAATTATCTAAATAACATTAACATTTTTATAACCTTTCCATCTTATCTTATGTAGGGCAATACTGCTTATGTTAGATTTATCACTCCATAGTAATTCACTTTAAATACTTATTCTGCCATTTTATTTTTATCACTTAATTGTGTTTCTATTATTCCTGCATTATTTACAAGAATATCAATTGGTTGTTTTATAGTTTTTATAAATTATTTTATGCTTTCACCATTACTAACATCTAATTATTACAAATCACAATGCTTTTAATCATTTAATGATTATTTTAATTTATTTATATCTCTTGCTGTTGCTATAACATGATGATTTCTTAATTCTTTAGCTAATAACATTCCTAATCCACGATTACAACCTGTTATTAATATATTCATTTATTTATTTACTCGAATATATATATAATCAATCCATTTATTAAATTATTAAAATTATTAACGTTATGGATTAAGAAATAAAGAAGCTAGAATAACTCAAATAATAAGAAATACTGTTAATGTAACAAATTTATGAAAAGAAAGTAAAATATGTTTTTTGAATTAGATTAATTACTTGAATACTAAAATATAATTATTAACAGAAGAATCAAAGTAAAAAGATTTTGATTTATTAAATCTAAAGAAGAATGATTTATCGTCAGATATTTTGTTTTAAAAACCAATCAAAATATAAAAGGCTCAAATTTAGATTTTGAAAAATAAAAATTGAATGAAGAAAAAGATAAAGAATTATAAAACATTAAAACTCTTTATTAAACAGATTTATAAAATATACATCAACAAATGAGAAAAAGAGATTTTATAATCGAATAAATGNATAATTCTAAATTCTAAATTCAAAATTCTTCTATTTCACATTTATCATTCAAATATAATCCTGTCCCTTTTATTTCATTATTTATAACATATAAACTAGTTATTATACCATCTTCAGGTTCTTTTGGAGCTAAAGGTCCTCCCATATCTGTCTTTAACCATCCTGGATGAATACAGAAAACTTATTATTTTACTTCTTTTGATAAAACATGTCTATAATATGCATTTATTAATGCTTTTGAAGCAGAGTATATACCTTTATATTCCTTATATATACCTTTATATTCCTTATACCATTCTCCAAAATCATTTCTTTCATCTATATTCTTTATGAATTCTTCAACTATCATCTATAATTCATCCTTATTACATTTATTCAATTTCTATTGAATCACATCCTTTTGAATACTAAGTTTACCCAAATTTGATGATATAACAATTATCTAAATAACATTAACATTTTTATAACCTTTCCATCTTATCTTATGTAGGGCAATACTGCTTATGTTAGATTTATCACTCCATAGTAATTCACTTTAAATACTTATTCTGCCATTTTATTTTTATCACTTAATTGTGTTTCTATTATTCCTGCATTATTTACAAGAATATCAATTGGTTGTTTTATAGTTTTTATAAATTATTTTATGCTTTCACCATTACTAACATCTAATTATTACAAATCACAATGCTTTTAATCATTTAATGATTATTTTAATTTATTTATATCTCTTGCTGTTGCTATAACATGATGATTTCTTAATTCTTTAGCTAATAACATTCCTAATCCACGATTACAACCTGTTATTAATATATTCATTTATTTATTTACTCGAATATATATATAATCAATCCATTTATTAAATTATTAAAATTATTAACGTTATGGATTAAGAAATAAAGAAGCTAGAATAACTCAAATAATAAGAAATACTGTTAATGTAACAAATTTATGAAAAGAAAGTAAAATATGTTTTTTGAATTAGATTAATTACTTGAATACTAAAATATAATTATTAACAGAAGAATCAAAGTAAAAAGATTTTGATTTATTAAATCTAAAGAAGAATGATTTATCGTCAGATATTTTGTTTTAAAAACCAATCAAAATATAAAAGGCTCAAATTTAGATTTTGAAAAATAAAAATTGAATGAAGAAAAAGATAAAGAATTATAAAACATTAAAACTCTTTATTAAACAGATTTATAAAATATACATCAACAAATGAGAAAAAGAGATTTTATAATCGAATAAATGAAATAAGAGATTAAAATGTTTGAATAAATATCGTAATCAAATTTGGATAATTAAAAAGTACAATATCTATCTTAAATTATTGATGTTACTAATGAATTGTTAGTTTAATTATGATTTAATCCTATTTATTAATTTCTATATAATTATTATTGTAAATAAGTAGAGTTTAAGAACATTTATATTTAAATGATAACTAATTTTATACTCTAATAATAGTTCAAAGTGGAAAATAATTCTTATCAGAACTTTCAGTAAGATTCAAAATGTATTAAAAAAATATGATTAAAAATGAAATTTAAAATAAAGTTAAAATTGATCTGAATCATATTTAAAATAGTATTGATATATTTAATAAATAACAGATAATCACAAATATATAAATATTGAAATAAAATGTAGTATACAATAGTATTTGTGATTTTTGAAATATTCTTTGTCGCAACTCAACAGTGCAATGAAAATAATGCAATATTTAGCTATGTGTTTAAAGCAAATATCCCTAACAGTTAGAATAAAGAATGGAATTATGAGAATATAGGAGGTTTTAATTAATAATATAATAATAGCATTTGAATAATGTAATTAGGGAGTGACAACAGATGCAAAGAATTTCGATGTTTCTTAGGTGAGTTTACTAAATTCAAAGATCAGTTTAGATGTTGAAGAGTTTATTTAATTAGCGATGAATAGTACTTCAGGTCCATATGCCTAATACAAAACAGACTAAATAAAGTTGACATTTTAGGGAATTGAGAATATAGCAAGATATCAATCTGTTTATTTTACAATTAGACCTGCAGAACATAATTTTGATTTTTGGTCGTAAGTTCCTGATGCTGAAATTCAAGTGTATTTCATTTAGGATTAAATATACTAATAATGTTAAAGTGAACCACTTTATACTATTTTATCAATACCAATTTATGCCTTATAAGAGACATAGAATATTAGATATTCAATAAATATAAATGTTACAAAAAATTCAGAGGTAATTACTAATTTCAATTTCAAATAAAATATACTCGGAACTTATGATTCAGATATGACTAGTTTTGTATCTTATAAAGCACCACTTAATATTCCGTAATGATTTAAGTCATATAATATCATAGACCATGTGAAATTACAAATTGGTTTGTTTTGACATAGCCATAATTCATTAAAGTTTAATTGTTGTAGACTTTATTAGGATTTAATACATAGAGTAATATGTAAAGAACTTAATTATAAGGAGAATATGTTAATTTCATTAAAGGAGTATTATTGTTTTATAATAAATTTTAGAGATTTATTTATGAAGGTTAAGATAATTTAAAGGATTATGATGATACTGTTGAATGGGCTGCTACATGGGTAGCTTCTATTATTCCATGTTTATTTTTTGCATTGATAGTTTGTGTATATGGACAATATGAAATTTCTAATATTGGAAGATTTAGGAGATAAGAAATTAAATATCATGAAGGTGTTGAATAAGAAGCTTTACATTAAGATGATGCAATAGAAAAGAAATTAGCATGAAATTATTTTGTATTCATTATAAAATTTATCAATATTTATTTTTTATTACAAATCCTCTAAACGAATGGATTAATCAAAAAAGACTCTCGTAAACCCAGAGACTAATGTTTATAATTTAAGTGGAAAGACTCTTCCAAAAACATCAGTGTTTGTTACCAAAATATATTTGAAGAGATTTGATGTTGTAGAGATTCATGCATTGGGTGATACAATCTCAAAGGCAGTAAGAATGGCTGAATACCTTCAAAGATAGGGTAACACTTATCACCTAACTCTTAGATTATGTGACTATTGAAAAAATTAATACATTCACTTAGAAATTTGAAGATAACAGATCCAAAGTCAAGATTGTGGTTACCTTAAAAGTGACTGCTAATGGAAAAAAGAGAGTTAATGAGGAAATAAAATAATGATATTCAATAAATATATAAATAAAAAGTCTATCTTTGATTTCTTCTTCATTTAATGATTTACTGAGATAAAAGATTATTAATTAAATATGAACCCAAATCATTTAGATCTAGATGAAATAGAAGATAACATTAAGCAAATGTTTACCATACAAAAATTATTAGGTAAAGGATCTTATGGTTGTGTATTTTCAGCTATAGATGTTCAAACTAAAGAATAAGTAGCCATAAAAAAAGTAAAAATATAAAATAAAAATTTCTCAGATATTTAGGGCATTTCGAAATTAAACCGATGCTCAAAGAACCTTTAGAGAAGTATGTTTTCTTCATTAATTATTTGATCATGATAATATCATTCGATTAAGAAAGGTTATAAAATCGTAAAATCCAAACGATCTCTACTTGATTTTTGATTTTATGGAAGCAGATCTTTATATGGTAATTATAAAAAATATTTAGGCAATTCGTAAGAAAGTTTTGTAACCTATACATTTCTAATATATAATTTACTAAATTTTGATTGCTCTCAAATATTTACATTCTGGAGGACTAATACACCGTGATCTTAAACCTTCAAATATTCTTATAAACAGGCATAGCATAATAAAATTAACCGATTTTGGATTAGCTCGTTCTGTTTAAGAATTAGATGAGAGTATAATTTTTTAAATCTTTTTAAAGCCATTTAAATTATGACCGAAAATGTTGCTACAAAATCATATAGAGCTCCAGAAGTTCTTTTAGGTTCTAGAAACTATTCCTATCCAGTAGACATGTGGAGTGTAGGTTGTATTTTATGGGAGATGATTAATAATAAAGTTTTATTCTAAAGAGGAAACTAAAACATAATAAAAAATATCATTGAATTTCTGGGAATCCCTAATGAAAATGATATCCTATCTTTTTAAACTTAACATTCTAATGATATAAAAAGATATATTTCTTAAATTTCAGAAGATTAAACTAATTAATTTTAAAAAATATTTGATTAAATTGATCCACAAGATCCATTAGCATCAGCTTATGATTTTATATAGTAATTTTTATATTAATTGTTTATTAGAAAATGTTTAAGATACAATCCTAACATGAGAATGACTGCTGAAGAAGCTTTAGAACATCCATATATATTACCTATGAGATAAATGTGTAAAGAGTAATATAATGGTAATTATAGTTATCAATATATATTTAGATGTTTAATTTATTACTTTAAAGAATGATAATATTAAATATTCAGTTAAAGAATACATAGATACTTTAGATGATTTTCTTAATTATCAAGATGGTGATATTTACAAATACTATGAATAAATGTAAAGGAGACTTATCAAATCTGTTGATGAAGTTTAATAAGAAGTTTCCGAACCTTAATAATAAAATAATTAGAAAATTAATACGTAGTAGTATGGACCTCATATGTAAATTTTAAGTGTTAAAATTGCTTAATATAATAATCTATGCTTATTTTAACCTGTTAATAACAAAAAAAAATCGTTTTGTTTAAAAGAAGATGATAATAATAAGTTTAATAAGCTTATTGCTGATAGTCCTTATTAATAAGATTAGAAAGATAAAAGTAGAAGATAATCTCTTTTAACTAATATATCCTAATGTTCTAGTCCTTATATTTAATATCCAAATAAGTTGAATTAATAGTTTCAGTTCTAGTAATTATGATTAATAATAGTGAACAATTGATTTAATAAATAAATAAATACATTAATAACAAAATATTATTCAATTATATTTATGAATTTAACATAATTAGAGTGCATATTCTAATCATTAAATTCTATTAAAACTCCTCCATCATAATGGACATTGGATTAAATTCGTAGTTTTTGTGATCATTACAAACTTGAATGGGCTAAAGAAATTCTAAGAGTATAAATTTAATACATATGATTATTTTAGATTCATCAGAATAAATAATTAAATGTAGATCATCTACTTTTAAATAATGTACTTGGAGGAAAATAAAAAAAGCATAATGAAAAGGTCTAAGATAAAATATCAATTTTAGAAGCTTAAGGATTAGAGAATGATGTAATTAAAGAAATTTGTTTGGCTAATCAATTCTTCTATAGAAATTTTAGTGATAAAAACATTCATTATCAAATTGTTAAATTGAAAATCTGGTCTTTTATACTTTATATATATGAAACTAATCGTTTATCACTTAAAAGATTATAAGGATTGCATAGAAGCAAAATTTATACAAGAGGTAAATGTTGTAGATGTTCTGGACCAGAAGGAAAATGTACTTGTGAATTGTTATAAGAAATACTTTAACAAATCAATTGTTATGTTAAGTCTATATTTATGGCTGATAAAGTAATTGAACATAGAAGAAATAGCAATATCTACATCAAATCAAATCTAATCAAACTTTTATTCACTAATACATAATATTTACCAAAAGAATCCCCACTTTTTTGGGATGTTGATTAAGTAACTGTCCTTTTAAAAATTGTTAAATTAGATTGTTTAGATGAGCTTTTTAAATAAAATCTAGTTGATGGATTTATTATTTCTGTTTTAGGAAAATGTCCATTTACTGAAACTAGTTCATTACTTAAACTTTTTGATTTTAATTTATAATCTAATATTAAAATTCAAAATGTTAGACTTTAAACTCATTCTAAACTTACATAAATGTAAAAATATACATATATACAAAATGTATTTTTAATGCTCTTTTACTTAACCAATACATTAAATTAAACTATATATAATTGTTTAGAAATTGATTAATTTTAAACAGAAGGTCAATAAATTAATTAATTTGATTACTTTGATTTATTTTATTTTAATGTTAAATGTCCATAAGTTTGGAAGAAATTTCCAGATAAAAAAGCATAAACATCCGATAACTTAGAAACTTTTAAAGTATTTAATTTAGATGATGGTCGTCATGAATCAATTGCTATGGAGACATTTAGATCAAATTCTGTCAATATGCAAAATTACAATAAAACTAATATTGATTTATAGAAAATACAAAAAGCTAATTCAGGAATTGATAGCAGTGTTCGTTAAAGATAGGATCTTGTTTATTGTTAAAAAGAATTAGCATAAAAAGCTAATCAAATTTTAGCTATAGATAATACTATTACTACTACTTCTGAGAAAACTCCTTTAATTGATTCAGCTAATAAATTAATTGATAATTAATCTAATAAATAAATTGATAATAAACAATCTATGTAAGAATCTGTTTATTTTCCATCAAGTTAATAAATGTAAGAGAGTGTATATTTCCCTACACCCTAATAATAATAATTATAAGAATCTGTTTATTTTTAATAATAAGATAATAAACCTATGCAAGAATCAGTCTATTTTCCTAAAACACAAAATAATCAATAACAAATGTAAGAATCTGTAATCTTCCCTTAAAAAGAATAAAAATAAATGTAAGAATCAGTATATTTTATTCCTCCAAAGTAAGGAATGTAAGAGTCAGTATATTTTCCTTAATAAGAAAAGAATGAATAATAGATAGAAGGATCAGTTTATTTTACTAATTAAATTTAAAACTCAGTAGCATTTCCTCAAACACAAAATTAATAAATGTAATAATCAGTAATTTATTAAGAACCTAAAAATAACGATTTAGGTTAATCAGAAATAGTAGGATAATCAATAATGATGGGAGAATCAACAATTATTAATAATAATAATACTATTGTGAATTAGAATAACTAAAATTTTAAAGATCAATTTAAAAATATAGATAAAACTATAAATAAAGTATAAGATGATTAGGATAAAAGAAAATAATAAAAGAATGGAAAATTATAAGTTTCTTTTTAATAATAAAATGATAAAGAAATTTAAAATAGAACACCAACAAGATAGAAAAGAATAAAATTAATTAATTCTATTGAATACGCCAGTCTTTAGAGTGTTTTTAATAATCCATTTATTCTAAATGTAAGTCATCAAATGAAAATAAAATCCGAATAATTTCATAAGGTATTAAATTATTAAATAAAATAGATTTTATTAATAAATTTGATTGGTGCGACTTTTGGTAGAAGTTAGGATAATCAATATGTCTTATAAGATTAATCTAAGATTTCCTCAAAACATGCGAGGATAATTATTGTGAAGGGTATATTTATGAAATAAAAAAGATAGATTTCATTTATAGGATTTGGGATCTAAAAGAGGAACCTTTTTAAATGCATATAAAATGAGGATTACTAAAAACATGGTATTTTATGTTGGAGACAAATAAGCTTTTTAAGTTTTAGATGTTAATGAAAATGAAGGAGTATTGACACTTGCTTTTGATAAAGAATTAATTGATACTAAATAAATTAATCTTAAAATAGGTGAAACTTGGTGTATAGGAAGAGATTTAAAGAGAACTAATTATTAATTTATTGGATATCCTATTCATTAATTATTATCATAAATTCATTGCATAATTTCTTACATTTAAAAAGATGGTGAAGTTAAATTTATAATAGATGATCAAATATCTAAAAATGGAACATGGTTAAGATTAAGCGATAAGAAAATACTAAGTCAACCTTAGCTATTATGTAGGAATAGCAAGTTTAATTTGGCCTTTGAGATACAATATGAAGTGATTGATGTTTATTATTAAAATAATTAATGAATATTAAAGAAAAATAAAGCATATGGATATAAAAAGAAGGACATGAAAATTTAGAAAACAGCATATTAGTTAATGTTAATTCTGGAGAAAATAGTTAACCAACCTTTTGTATTAAAACAAAGAAAAATAAGAATAAGTAAGCATGCCATTGTGAGATTTTTTGATAGTAAAAGATTCCTAAAACTTGATTATAAATGATATTAACTACAAGAACTGAATTAATATTAACATTTCTGTAATCTTTCTTGCAATAAGATCTTATAGAAGAAGAAAAGAACTTGAAAAGTCTTTCTATCATTAATTTATGATTTCTAATCATTATTGTTATTTTCAATATTATAATAGATCTGATATTTCAAATACTTTAATACTATATTAGTAGCTTACAATTTTCTATTTTTATAACCTTTTTGAAGCATCATTAAAAACTACTACAAGATAATTATTAAAAATTTAAAATGACTGAAGTTTTTTAAATTTTTAATCACAACTTATAATAAGGTTTATTAGTATAAATATTCTTTATTTAACGTGTACATATAAGATCATCAACAATAAATTAAATGAAAAAAAAAAATTAAATAAATAAAGAAAGCTACTAATTAAATTTAAAGTATTCGATAATAATATCTAATAATAGGAATTATTAAAAATTATCAGACCTAAATTTAATTTTTTTAATATGATTCAGAAAAAACCACCAGACTTAATTTCAGTTTGAACTGGATTAGATTTTTGAGATTGTGTAACAGATTTTGGAGCAGATTTTTGTGATTTCTCACTTGGTTATTTTAAAACTTATGGGAATCTAACTCTTCCTTATAAATTATGATTAGGTGAATTTCCATGATTTGAGAATTCAATACCCTCAGGTATAGTGATTTCTTTAAGTGGAGCATCAGAAGGTGATTTAGTCATTTATACTTTATCCCAAGAATTTAAAGGAGGTTTTGCAGGTAAAGCTTTAACTATATGATCAATTTCTGGTTTTTATTAAGTAATAATATCGAATTCTAATTTTTATTAGATAGAAAAAAATACCTTTATCATATTTTTAAATCATATCTTCATATTTGTGTCTTTTAATTAATCTATCTTAAGCTCTAATTTAATTTTAAACATCTTAATCTCTATATTCATTATCTAAAACATGTTTAATTTCGAATCTTTTTTTATGATTTCTATTAATTTCATCAATCATTTTAATTTCTTCTGGTATTTCTTTAGTTTGATCTAAATATACAGATTCTCTAAATTTCCAAGAAGGAGGAAATCTTTCATTAAAATGTTTGCCATGTTATTATTGATCTTATTTTAATTTCCTCATTTTTATGCGATTAAATACTATTAATATTGTTCTTCCTTTTATTCATCATAATAAACTCCTTAAACTATATCATAATTTCTAACTTTTTAGCATTTCTCATTAATTTCATTGACAATAGCATGTTCTTTTTCTAATTATTTACTTTCATGATTTTCAAGATATCTATAATAAAAAATATATTTGATCTTTTATACTTATTTGTAATAATATTAAAGTCTCTTTTATTTCTATTGATAACAGGTTTTTCATGTACTTTCTTTTAAACAATAACTTTCATATTTTTATAATGTTCTTCACTTTTTTTTTCATTGGTAATAATATTATAATCATTAAAATTGGGTGGTAACTATTATAATTAAATTAAAATTACAAGACATTATTTAGTTTTATCTCTTTCATCTGGTCTTTCTATACCTTTTACTGGTTCTAAGTTTACTAAATCATATTCATGTAAATATTTTTTCACCATTTCCTATAAATATAAAAATTATTTTTAGTTACCATTTTTTTTTATGCTAAAGTAGACGCTTTCTAAAAATCTTTATCTTTTTCATTTGCATCTCTTTCAATATTTTGATAATTTTGCAAAACTGGATTGAATTCAGTTTATTTCAATTTCATTTCTTTTTGAGTAAAAATCTTGGGTTTGGTAAAGTCTAATTTCAATTTGCGATTGTTTTAATACCTATTTATAATATGATTTTAATACTCATTTAATTCTTGAGCCCATGCTTTAGTATCTGCTGGATCAATATACATTAAACAGATATTATAATAATAATAATTGATTTCAAATAAAAGTATACACACAATATACAGTATCATATATTTAATACTTTCATCAACTAAAGAGTTAATACATCAATAAATTAAATTTCTTAGTTAATGAAAGCTATTATTAAAATTAATTTATACAGAAGAAATATAGTTTGTAGTACATTTCTTTACTTAAGTTTAATTATAGTTAGTTTATCAGTACTAACAAGAGGTTACTTAAGAAAGCCAAATAAAATTGAAAAGCCAAATAAAATTGCACAAAATTTTGATAGTGATTGTATTTAAAGATCAATTCAAACTACAATATAGCTGTTATATATGGTCTAGGTTTAGAAGATTATTCAAATGCTTAAATTGTTAATTCTATAAAAGAATATAAATATAATTTCTTATGTGGAAAATGATGTCTTACATGTGATTCCTAATTATTATCTTTTGCATTAAAATACTTCAATAACTGATTGTAAAAATAAACTAAAGTTTTTTATCCAACTAAAATGTTTAGTCATAATTAATCATTCAAATATTAAGAAAATCTTTGTATGCTTATTTCATTAGAATATTATTCAATAATAAAAAATTTCTCTTTAGTATTAATTTTAGGAATGATCATTGAGTTTTTAAATTTGTAATATGGATAATCAAGTATAAATTATTGTTACGAATCTATAATCTTTTTCAACTTAAAAATATGGATTAATAATAATAATATTATTGCTAATAGTATAGAATTAGTACATTATTGTTTTAATTCTATTTAAAAATCTAAATCTTCTTTTTTTTATTATTTTCTCCAATCAAATTAGTTTTAGATTTATCAAAGATACTTTTACAGATATTTTTAAAGTAAGATACAATCCTTCCAAATTTTTATCACCATCGTAATCTTTCTATTAATATTGAAAAGCACTTCTTTATTATGATGTTAATTAACATAATAAGAATTTAACAATTAAAACAGTAAAAGAGAATTTATAAATTAATGAAGAAAGAGCAGCCTTAAATACATATAAAATTATTAGAAACATTAATAATTGGCCTTATTTCCTTTTAAAATTTGCTCATGATTATTTTTAATAAAAAATAAGTTCCATAGATTTGATAAAGTTATCAGATTAATTTATATTATGCTTTAATTCTTGTTTTAATTTTTGAATTTATTGGGTATCAATTTATTTTTGAATATTTTAGATAATAAATTACTTAAATCTATTTGTGATAACATACAATTGTAAAGGCCTAAATTACTGCTTAAACTCAGATATAAATAGATTATCAACAGCACGTTTAAAGTTATTAAGGATTACAAAATAAATAATACCATGATTATTTATAATCTATTAGATAGGTTCTTTATAGATTTAATAATTTGAAAACTAAATTCCCTATATATTATAATAATAATAATTTTAGGAATTAAAATAAATAATAGAAAGAGATAAATTAAATTTTCAAGAATTCGTTTAAATTTAGAATAATTGAAACAATAGAAAATTATTTACGAATATTAAATCATTTTATATTTTTTTTGAATTTATGCTGACAATCTTTTCATATAGAGAATATATAATGTTTATATAATTAAAATACATTAATAAAATATTTATAAAATATGATTGGGACAGAATTTAAGATCGTTGATGGTTATGTAGTGACTGGGAAATTCCTAGGATCAGTATTTTATAAGTTTATTAGGGTGCTTTTGGTTCTGTTTATAGAGGATATAAAGAAAATGATCCAAAATAGATTTGCGCTGTCAAAGTATTACCTATGATAGAAGCTACAAATAATAAAAACTTTATGAAAACAATAAAAAGAGAAATAGAAATATTGGGGAAAATCAAAAGTTAATATATAGTATAGTAATAATTACCATTTAATAATGAGAATGTATCATGCAGCAAGAACGGCACGCAATTTTTACATATTTTTAGAATATTGTAATGGAGGCAATCTAAGAGAATTAATGAAATAGAAAGGAGGATATCTATCAGAATAAGATGCTTTAACATATTTCAAATAAATTGTTGAAGGCTTTAAAGCAATTTATTAAGAAAATGTAATGCATAGAGATATTAAACCAGCAAACATTCTATTACATAATGGTATTAATGAGGAATTCATTATTAGGTATTGCAAAGATAAGCGATTTTGGATTTGCCAGAATTGTTGATGATATGGAAGGATAAGACAGATTTACACTTCTCGGTACTCCTTTATATATGACACCACAAATTTTGGAATAGAGTAAATTTAATTCAAAATGTGATATTTGGTCATTAGGAATCATGTTTTATGAAATGCTTTATGGTCATACACCTTGGACTGCTAATAGCTAATTATCACTTTTAGATTAGATTAAGAAAAAACCTTTAGTATTTCCTGAATAACCAAAAAGATAATAAATCATCAAGGATTTGATTTAATAAATGTTAATTATTGATGAAGAAAAAAGAATAAGTTGGTATGATATTTTTGAACATCAATTAATTAAAAGTAAGAGTTAAGAATTAAAAAATAAATTGAATCTTATTATAGATAGTGTTTAAGACACTCTTGAATAATCCATTCAAGTCAATAGATTTTATATTGATAATAATCTTGTCTTAGAGTAAGGAAAATAATAATAAGAATTATTTGAAGTTAAAGAAAGTGATGATGCCAATACTCCTTCAGATAAAGATCCAGGATATCAAACTTTTGAAGATTTAAAAGGATTGACTTATAATGATATCATGGAAGTTTAGACTAAAAAATTATAAGAATAAATTACAAATAATAAAATAGATGCCTATCTAACACTATAAAGAAATGTTGGTATATTTGTTAATCTATCAACTAATTACATATTTGATTTGTATAAAGAATAACTTATCAACATTCCTACACATTTATTTTACAGAATTCTTCTCATTCTTTAAAAAAAATAAATGATTATTTTTGAAGATCTTACAAATATTATGGCTAGCAAGGTATTCATATATTTATATAATATAGATTCAAATTAATAATGGTTTTACTGATCAAGATTGGAAATTATATAAAAAAAATAAATAATATTTTACAACTCTTAAAGCCATTAAAACAGATAAATACTATATTAAACCTTATTATGAAGAAATTTCTAAAAGAACATCTACATATTTGAATAATCAAATTGCATAACATAAATTAAATGAATAAGAATAGCATGATTCAAATGAATTCTTATCTATTATGGCTAATGGTTTAGTTTAAGATTTAGCATTTAATTCTGTCTATGAAAAAACATTAAGAATAACTTAAAAAATGATGTATGAACAATTATGTTAATAAAAAAAAATAACAGAAAATAAAAACTTTTTATTAGCTCTAAAATATTTGGTATTATGTTTAAATCCTGAAATGTATTTTAGATAACAAAAACAATTTCCAGATTTTAATAAATTTTATGAACATTATAATAATTTAGAAATGGAACAGCTTTTAGAGGAGATTCATAAAGAGTTTTCTTCATTTTGATGAAGAGATTATAAATAATATATAATCATAATAATTTTATTTAATGTCAATTTGTTGAAATAAACAGTATTATACATTCTTTTCAAAATGATGATCTAATAATAATTAATTATTTATATGAAATATTTTATTTTTATTGCTTTGGTGACTATAAATTGCTATGAAATTAGCTTAAATGAAGTATTAGACTGTGTTGCTAAAAATTGTGATAATGTAATTAGAACTAAAAATAAATAAGGAAAATTTAAAGTGCATTGAAGATTCTACCTGTAATCAAGCATTGAAAGATTTTAATGAATGTTTTTCAGCTAATTAATAAAATGCCACTTATCCCTTTTAAGAATGTAAAGGAGTTTCAAATCTTGAGTATGCAAAACTGATGGCATGTTATGAAAATTGTGATTACAATTTAATACTATCAGAGATTACATTTGCAATGACTATTTTCATATTATAATTGATTAATTGAATACGTATTTAAACTATTTTAATACATAGACTCAATGTTATCTGGGTTTAATTTTAAAAAAAAGTTATTTACTTTTGATTATTAATTTTTAGGGATTTGTATTAATTTTATTATTGATTTTTAGGAGGAAATTTTAAGATTTAAGAATTTTTAAATAATTCTATCTTAAATAGTACTTCTTTGTAATATTTTTCATTAATACAAATAGAAAACTATCATGCTCTTCTATTGTATAACAAATATTATGTATTATTAATAATTAAATTATAATCAAAATTTGATTCTAAAATAATTATTATACTAATTGCTAGAAAAAATAAATGTTTTGCTTCTAAGAAATCATTTCGAAATACAAGATCTTATATTTGGGATGGAGGAATTGCCTATGAAGTGAATATATTATATTTAATCAAATTAATGGAAATGAAATACATTAAAAATATGTGATAGTGGATTAATTCGAGATTAAGTAGAATGTACAAATAAATAAAACTACTTAAATCGAACTCCTTTTAATATGACTCCAGAATAATTTATAATTATAATATGACTAAAAAGTGGGAATATGGGTTTTTAAGATGCAGATATTTGAAATGGTTTCATAATAATATCTTTATAAATATTCTTAACATAACTTTAAATAATATCTTAGAAAAATATTATTTAAAATGGAAAAAAATTAAATTAAATTGAATCTTTAAATAAATTATGAAAGTAGAAGTGATATGAAAAAATAATTTGATTAAAAATTTGATGAAATTAAATAATGATATTAAAGCTTGTTTTTAAATTTGTATAAAAATAAAAGTGAACAATTAATTAAAGAGGAGATATAATATAAGTGCTTAAAAATTTGATCAAATAGTTTTCAACTAAATCGAAATATGTAAAAATTAATTGAATAGTTTTAAAAAAAATAAAAGATGATTTGATAAAAATTATGATATATAATCTTTAGTAAAAATAGAAAAGATTCTTATTAATGTAAAAAATGAGAAGAAAATTAAGAAATTTTTAAATAGATTAAAGGATTCATTAAGGCAATAGGAAAATAATACAACATTCTATGATCTGATTTTAATAAGAAATAGAAAAAATTTAAGGATGATGTGAGCAATTGTTATAAAATTCTGCTAAAAATATTGGATTATTATAGATGAGTTTTTGAAAAAAAATACTGATATTTAAAATTCTAAAATTAAGTAAAGGGATATAAATGCACAAATATTTAAGTAGAGAAGAGTTTAATAATTCTGATATAAGTAATTAGAATAAGTAGATGAAGGGAGTACTTAAGCAGGATGATGTAATTATAATGAATTATGGAATTTTATATTTCAATATTATTAATATCGACATACAATGGATATGCATCCAATAATTTCGACATCGAAATTAAAAGCAATAAAGTATAAGATAATATAAATAAATTGAGTTGCTGTAGTTGGAGATAAAGGAGTAGGTAAACATTAATTAATAGAAAAAATGCTGGATGTTGAAACCAAAGTAAATGATCGAGATATTATGTCAATTGACTTTTTTATATCATATATTTGGATAGGTGATTGTCAATATTAAACAATTCATTATTGGGTTGTTTCTTTAGATTAAAATCAATAATAGTACATAATTATTATTAAGAAAGATTGATGTCTATACCATTTATTCCTTAGAGTGATATTTATGTCATAATGTTCAGTTTGCATAAGAATAGAAGTTTGTTTAATGCTCTTCATGTTTGGCTTTAATTAAGTTCTTAAAAAAGAAATGCTTAATTTATATTTTTAGGATCTGAGTGTGGATAGCTAAGATAATGCGGTTCATTTCATGATATAATAAAAATAATAAGAAATAAAATGATAAGATCTGCACCTAATTTAGAGGAAATATAGAATGAATCATCTTTAAAAGAAATTAGAAAAACAATTGCTTATGTTGATGATTTTATAGATGAGACATTACCAGAAAATGTTTAATATCTAGAAATTAAAGATAATGAACATTAACTATTTAAAATGGTACTTATAAATTCAATTTAAAATGTAATAAGTAATGAACGATAAAAATTGTATTCAATAAGTGCTCCTATATCTCCAAATGTGATGCCTTAATTATAAAAGTTTTTATCTGAGTAAATAAAAAGAAGTGAGCATCTAGACAAGCCAGAAACTCTAAAAGTAATTAAAGAGAAAAGGCAATCAGAAATAGTTCAAACTATAAAAATTGACTAATCGATTAATATTTAACCTATATAAACAACTATGGATCATACTCTTTTCCCTTTAGAATAGAGCAGCTGTTCCTTATAAGTTAAAAAAGAAACTGGATTTTGTTGTTAATTAATATGATGTAAAATATGAACTGACTTGATTATACAATATGTTTCAATTATAACAAATTAATATATTTAATTTTTATAATGGAGTAAGATAGTATTACCATTCTTTCATCATCAAAAGAAAGAAGAATAAAGTATTTTCATATTATCATTTAGAGTTATATTGATTGGAGACTAAAGTGTTGGAAAAAGTAAGCTTCTTGAATAATTGCTAAACGTTGAATCCAAAGTTAATGATAAAGATATTCAAACTGTTGATTTTTTTATTTCCAGAGTTATTTTACCTGATAATTCAGAATAGAAGATATTTATTTGGGTTACTACTGGAGAAATCAAAAATATGTAATGACATTCTCAATAATGAAAATAAATAGAAATCTTATACGAGCTTTTCTAATAAAGAGTCATATTTATGTTATAGCATTTTCTCTCAATAATCCTATTTCATTTGAAAATGCTGTTAATACTTGGTTTGCTTAATGTTATAAAAATGCAAGAGAAACAAATAATTATTATTATTTCATTGGTACTATGAGTGATAAAGAACATCTTTGTGGATCCTATTAAGACATTATATAAAAAATAGCAGATAAGTGTTAGGAACTTAAAATTGAGAAAAATGCATAATCAGTACCATTTCCAACAGACAAAGCATATATAAGATAATCAGCTAAATGGAATGATGATAATATCATTGAATTTGCTAAAAATAAATTACCTAATAATGTGTAAATTTTATATCTTTTAAATTAGATTCTATTCTGAAACTTCAGCCGTTGTTAAATCAGGAATTGAAAGAAGTTCAAGCATTTTTATTAGATTATTATAAGCTGCTGTTAAATAGGAATTTGAAAAAGATGGAATATAACCTATTATTGCTCCAACTAGAACTGATTCTAGATTTTCTATGGCATAGATGTAACACCCAACATCATCTACAAGATAATCAACTCAAACACCCAGTTTATAAGTCAATATCGTAAAAGAACCTGCTCCATTTTTGCCTTTTGAATAACGAGAATCGAATTTGTCTTCAATTGAAGAAGTTAAAAAAGAACAAAATTTATGTTGTATGATTTAATGAAAAATATTTAAATTTCTTAACTTTCTAATTTTTTTCTTGCGTATTCAAGTTATTACATTGATTCAATTTTAGTCTAAGCTTGCACTATCACATATTTAAACTAAATTTATTTATATGAAAAATACTGTATCATTTAAGTGAAAATTAATTAAATTAAATTATTAATATTATTAAATTAATTTATATGGATTCAATTGATGATCTCACTTGCAAATTAGGTTCTTTGAGTTCTGATCAACAAACCAATGATACCTTAAGTTCTGCACATTTAAGAGCAAGTGATATATTATGCGATCTCAAAAAATCTATTGACCTATATAATAAACCACTATTTGCATTAAAAGATTAAGTCTACGATCTATTTTAAACAATGAGAAATATGACAATCAAAGAGAATTATAGTTATCAAATAGCATCAATTATATTTTTGAGTGAGTACCAAGATAACTCTTCTTAAAAAATAGAAAATGTGAAATAAATACTCTAATAATGCACAAATTTAAATCTAAAAACATATTTTGTCATTTTGAATACAAATAATCGTTAACCAAATAACAAAGAACTTAGATAATTAGTTGATTAATTTCCATGTAGTTTAAGTATTGTAGATGCTGAAATTAAAAATATTGATACAGAACTATAAAAAATTAATAAAGAATTAAGAATAGGATCTTTTGATACAAGATTGTTTGTTCATATTTCTACAAATAAAAGTATGAAAATCTTTCTTGAAAATTTAATTACTTCTTTATATAAATTTTAGAAGGGATTGGCTTAAAATGATAAAATTTATTGGTCTTCATGCAAGAAAAATGATTAATTCACTGCTGTAGAAATTTAAGAATAATAAGAAGATTAAAAGAAAGAAGGAAAAAAAAAGAAAAGATAAAAAATGTTCATTGGTTTAACTATATTAATAGTTTTAACAATTCTTTGTTATTTATTATATGTTGTAGTTATTACATTTAAATAATGAATTATACTGATTTTAATAATGAATATAATATAATATGGATCAATGAAATTCTGAATATTCTTATTATCTGGGAATCCAAGGATTGTCAAACAAGGATTTGTGTGAAAAGTATTAGTAAGCAACAAAAATGATTAAGAGTACGATAAAAATGATACTAACATAAAATGCTGCAATAACCAAAGAATAAGTGGAAGAGTAGGTATTCTTAGCAAATTAATTAACTTGAGTAACAGCCTGAAATAATGATATTATATATATACCAATTTTAATCCTTCATCTGGGAAGCAATTTTTATCAAGGTACTTAGAGAATTGAGTATTATGTTCTCTTAGTCCATTCTAAATGAAATAAGAATTTTATTATTACATTTCCATCTACTTCACTTAAATAAACAGCTCCTAAAGCAATACACAATAAGGCAACGATTAATGCAATTCCACATAAGAACTTAGGTTAATGAAATTCAGTCATATCAATCCATTAGAAAATCTACAAAACTATTTAAATAAATTTACTCTATTTTTCATTAGATACAAAATAGGAACAAGGAAAAGAACGATTCCTACACTTATAATAATTATTAAAGACATTGCTCTTTCTGATTTATAGACTCTTTATCCACTTTTAGAGATTTAATCAATTTCTTTAGGTGATAATTTCTAACAGAATTCATTAGTATTAATTTAAATTTTCTTTATGGCTTCTAATGCATACGTATCAGAGTTATCTTCATAGTTTTGATAAAATGGTAATTTAGATAGTACATCAGTCAAACCATTTTATTAATAAGTTTGATGAGCTGAAAATGTATTCAAAGTAACACGATGAGATTGTAAATCTTTAAAATTATCACAACCAATTTCAGGTCTTTTAGCAAGAGGGTAATATTTAGATGATTAAAATTTAGGATTTAATTTATGATTGTAACAAGGAGATGAATTATCTTATCCAATTCCTGGGACAACTTCAATACTAACAATAGGAGATGAATTTTCAAATAATTTGATATAATTATCCGTTCCAATTTTAATAGCATTTCTATCATTATTTCTTGTATTATCTTTTTGTAAACCAGATAATGGACAATGTTTGTTTGATGGAACACAAATATTACCACACTATTAGTAAGAAGTTTCACATGCAGCACCTTGTAATGGTTTCCATTCTGTAAATATTTTAGTACAATATTATTTTTATTGCCATGTTGTAAATAATACAGAATCATGAGATTTCACCTTTTTACAATTAGATTTGTAGAAACAAGTGAGAGAATGACTAATCTCTCCATTTTCACAAATACATCCAGATTATACTCCATCCCATTAACCTAAATGAGTTCTTCCATATCCATCTGGACATTCAACAACATCATGAGTAAAATATGATAACATATTAAGAGCTGATGCAGCAGTTGAATGAGTTGCTACTACAATATCCTCAATTGGGGCCATTTACATATTATTTTTTAGAGTTTCTAATGTGTTATGTGCACCTTCTGGATTGAAATGTTTCACTTTAGAAGCAAAGAGTAATGCCATAATAAGAAGAATTATTATAAAGAATGCTATTGGTAATATGTATAGTAACCAATCTATCAACTAAAAATTCAAATTTAACGATTACATAAGAATATTTCTTAGGTTTTACTACACTTATGGTTTTATTTTATATCGGTTATTACACAATAATTTACTCTCTTTATGGCTCAGGTTACACTTTCACTAAATAACTAGACTATATAGATACTTTAATATTCTGTTTCAATTGGTGGTTAAGGTTGATATACAGGTTTAGCTTAAAATAAGTATTTAAAAGATACTCGGTGTATTTGTATTATATCCAAAAGGTAAAGGCGCTACTTACTACTGTGGATTTATGTACATAGATTGGACGTATGAATTAGGTAACATTGATTAATCAAAATAAAAACAATAAAATTAAGATTAAAAGAGAGTATTCTAAATATTGTGATTAAAATTATATTTATGTATGCTCTTTAATACTGCTCAGAATTTATAATCTGGAGTAGTGTTGGCCTTTCTAAATGCAGGCTTACCACATTCCAATAATGCTATTATAATTATTTATTTAATCGGGTACCATCTTTGAATTGCATACATTTTGATTCATCTTTTGTTCTTAAAACACACTAATTATATTTCTAATCATTTCTTACTTCTTTAAATGCACTTAATTCTCCTGGGCATTCTTATTTCAAAATAATTGTTCTTGGAGCATTTTCATCTTCTCTTGGGAAACTATTAGATGAAAATAAACTAAATGTTATACAAAATGACTTTGCTTTCCATTTAAGTGGATCTCTTTTTAGCTGTAGAGAAATTATATGATCGTGATTCCATTTTAATTAAATATCTAAGATTTAAATTAATCTAAGTAACACATATATATATTTTATTCAATCATTATTTCCTGCTTCTAATTTATTTTACTGCCAAATTAAGTGCTACCTTATAAAGTTAAGAATCAAAAGTATTTTATTACTTCATAGATTTTACTAGTCCTTTTGCAGTAGATGATTTTTGATGATGCATCTATTAAGAAGAAGACTATCCACTACTCTATTTTAACATTGTTGATTATTAAGAATTTGTTACTTATCTTGCAGAATGCGTTTATTGATAATACACAAGCTTTTATTCTCCACTTGTATTTATTTATAATGGTTTATCATTAGATTTTGATTTTATATTGATTTTTCTATTAGGTTCTCTATTTGATAGAGGTTCTTGAATTTTCACTCTTCTAAATTGATTTAGTTCTTTTATGTTAAGTTTTTTTCTAGATTATTATCCCTTCAGACGATTTGTTATTTCATATCTCTAAGTCAGACTTCGAGGATCTTAAGCTATAGATAAACTATCAAAATGAACTGTGCAACATTGCTTTGAATCTCTAATTAATTTTTTAGCTTAAAGTGTCTATAAATCAGACATGACTTTTAATTCTAATTATTACACTTTTTTTGGTAGATGTGGACTTTGTTAAGGAGCTCTCGGAGTAACACATTTAGGTGATTTTAAAAGACTGGCAATTTTTTATTGATTTGGTAACAAGGTAGGATTATTTGAATATTTAATTTCGATATCCCGAGGAGTCTAAGTTTAAAAAATAGGAAAGGTTACAATATGTAATTGATCAGATTTTAAGGATTAATTTTTTTTTTTAGCAACTGTTTTAGGAATTGATGTCTTGAGCATATTAAGTATACTAGTTATACTTGATTTGCGATGTTATAAGATTGGGTTGTTTGATTAAATAAATTATTCTTATGGAGGTTTGTAGTTTTCATATTTAAAGTTAGGATTGGTAGATTACATAAGTTTATATTGGTGGAGCTATTACTTGAAGTTCAGGAATTGTGGTTTTGGCTCAATGATACTTATGCCATCAAGGATCTTCTCGCATTTAGACATCGGCTAAGTTGAGGGTGTTCTGTCTTACTTCGTCTGAGGAGCTAGGTTCTTAAGCAGTCACTTAGTGGCTGGATTATGGCATTGGTGAATCACCCACTATACCTTTTGGTGGTTTGTCTGGATTGTTTTTGTTCTCTTAAGCTATTAACTTGGCTATGCGAAAGTACTCTAATCTTCTCTTCTTATCATGGTAATAGTTTAATGGAATAATGGCTGGAAGCATGAATAATCTAGGTATATCATTATGGAACTTGTTAATAAGATTAAAATAGTACTTTGTAATACTCACCTAGCATTTACAATTTTTCATAGACTATATTAGATTAATAGATTTTGCAAATTAATTCTTCAGGTGTATCATACATTATAACATCTTTAAAGACAATGTTATTGTTTGTTCTACAATTACGTAAGATCTCTGTTATTCCTTTTGTGTAATGGTAATTCTATGATTGTGAGTATTTCAAGAACAAAGAATGACGCATTATTTCTAACTCCATAATACATATATTCTTACCTATCAATGGTGTAGTTTCATCACAAAAATCACATTTCATTTTGAATTTTTTTATGTTTATAAAATAATATAAAAATAATATTCAAACAAAACAATTTAATGGATAAGACCCTATAAAGAATTATTAGATATACCTAAAAACATGTAGATTCTAATCAAAATTGTCATTTCGATTAATACTCATTCAATTACACGAAAGATCTTTTAGGAGAAGGATCTTTTGGTAGGTTATAATTCTTAAGACAATTAGTGTTTATCGAGGAATACAAGGAAATTCCTATGTAGCTATCAAGATTCTCAATCTCAAATATTATGACAACCCTGCCTACAAACAAGCACTTAAAAATGAAATCACTCTCATGATGGAATTATAGAGTCCAAATGTTGTGAGAATATTAGATGTATAATATATCCCTAATAATAAGGCACTTTGTGATTAACATGATAATGAACTCTATTTAATTATTGAATATTGTGAAGGAGGAGATCTACGTCATCTTTTAACTCATTAACCAAACCAAAGATTTTCAGAATCTGCAGCTGTTGCTATCATATCTTAAACCATTTAAGGATTAACAGAATTATTGCATAAAAATTATATGCATCGTGATATTAAAGTAATTTATTAATTTCAAATTAGCCTGATAATATACTTCTTAAGTAAAATACCTATAAAGTTGCTGATTTTGGTTTAGCTGCCAAAATTCCTCCAAAACAAGTCTTAAGAGGTATTTCTATCTAATTATGTATTAGCTTAAGCAGGAACTCCTTTATATATGTCTCCTTAAGTCTTAGAATCTAAAGAATACTCTAATAAATGTGATATTTGGTCTTTAGGATTGGTTTTATATGAACTCCTTTTTGGTAGAACTCCTTGGTTATGTAGAAGTTTTGATACTTATCTTATGGAAATTTAAACTAAACCTTTACAATTTCCTTATGAAATTGAAATTTCACCTAATGTTAAAGATTTCATTAAAAACTGTTTAAAAATTGAAGAACATAATCGCATGAGTTGGTCAGAATTACTAAAACATCCTATGTTATAATTACAAGGAAAATTAAAGAGATAACCTACTTAAGAAAGATTAAATTTTTCTGTTTAAGAAAGAGAATATTTATACAATATCTAATTAGTATGTGCTTAACACAATTTCTAAGCTAAAGATCTCATGAAATAATGTGGCAAAACTCATATTAATTTATAAGAATTTTAGAATATGTTGAAAAAGATTATAAACCAAAACAATGAAGAACTTGGTAGCAAATTATTTCAAAAATTTGATTAATCTAAAGATGGATTAATAAGTGCCTAAGAATTCGAATATTTATTTAGTGAATATGATTTTGCACCTTTAAATACTATTTCTGTTTAAATTATTCATGAATTGTAAGCAATTATTAAAATATATTAAATATCTTTGAAATAACTATTTGTACAATTAGATTAAGATAAGAATGGTTTTCTAGATTAAAAAGAATTTGAATTTTTAATTAAAAAGATTGCACCTAAATTATCCTCTCATAACATTAAAGAAATATTCAAAAATTATGATTAAGATAATGATGGTAAAATTAGTCTTAAAGAATTATAATTTGTTTTATAAAGCAAGAATTATCAAAAATTAAAAATAATCTTGAATAGAATTCGTTAGACTTTAATGAAAAAATCAGTTTCTGTGAATACATTGTTTACTTAAGTTGATAAAGAATAAAAAGGATATCTAAATTTCAAAGATTTTGAATATTTAATGAATAAATTAGATTAATTAAATAGATCTGACATTTAAGATCTTTTTAATTTGTTTGATGAAGATGCAAATGGAAGAATATCATTAAATGAATTTTAAGGATTATTAAATTTATGATTTAAGAAAAAATGTATATATTTTAATTATAATTGAACACTTTTATTCAAAAATTAATAACTTTTGTGACAACTCTAAATTTAACTAATTTAATTAATGAAATACTACTATGCTTTCTTCTTGGTTTTAATTTTCCTGATGATAAATACAGAAGATTTATAAAATCTCACACAGATAGAACAAATAGAGGATACTATAGAAAAGAATAAAAAATTAGCAGAATTTATAGATGGTAGATAGATCCATGATTTATTTCTCTTATATGCAGTGAAAATGATTGATTCAAATCTTAGAATAGCTTATCATAATTTAGAGTAAGTAGCAACATCACTTTAAAATATATCAATCTTACTCTATAATAGGGTTACAAGATCATCTAAAATTCAATCCAAAAGTATTCCATCATAAATAAACTTTGCTAATTATTTTGGTGGTGCTTCAATACTCGCGAGAAGTAAACAATTGCTTGGAGTGGATAATATTTTAGTTGACAATCAAGAAAGGTATTTTATATTTATTTAAATTTAGCTATATGATTACAGAGTGTAATTTAGAAAAATTGTTTTTTGTAATTTGTTTAAAAGAAGAAATCTAATTAGAAACAATATACTTTATCAATAAAGAATTTTACTCATCTACAATTAAAAATTTTAAAGTATCATTCAAGAATAATTATTTTTCTTAGGTATTTGGAAGTATTGTGTATCCTACTGAAAGTTGGGATTTTCTATAGGCATTTGAATCAGAGGATATAAATGAATGGTAAAGTTTTGAATTTGAATCGCATTTTCTTAGATATTTGAAAATAGAAATTATTGATTTTCATCATGCAGAATATCATTGTACTTTAACTTAAATTAGGTAATTAGATTATACTAAATTAATTAGAGTTTTTGGATAAACAGTCATTGGAGATTTAATATAATCTCATAAAAAACATAAATTACAATTACCTAAAATAGAACCAATTAAGGAAGTTAAGAAATAACCATAAAGTATTAAAATTCCATGTAATGAGATAATTAATAAATATGAAAATTCTAATAATTCTACATGTAGCTATTTTGATTATTTATTTGATTTATAATAATCAAATATAGAGCAATTAGAGAGTCCAAATTAATATTTAGATATGATTCCTTTCGAATCTAATCAATCTTTATATAAGGTGACTGCATAAAACATAATTATTTTATCACATAATCTTTAATTGTTAAAAGAATAATTATAATCTATTCGTAATACTAAGTTGAAAGACATGGTAAATCAAAAATAGAACGATTATATGTATAAGTAATTATCATCTGAACTCTAATAATAATAAATTATTAATAATATTTTACAGTAAGAAATAAATTATTTAAAAATTGCTACTGGTATTTGTGTAATAGGCATATTAATTTTATTTGTAGTGTTATGCTTACAGAATAATAAATATAATTAAACGAGGAATTATCGAAATTAATAAATTTTAATTTAAAATTAAAAGAATATCCCAGATATTACTACTCTTACTCCAATTTTAGTGAATGGATACTCAAATATTAATGATGAGAATATTCATTATATAATAAAGAGTTAAAGCAATATTGATAAAAATCATAAAAATAAGAAAAAGAGCAATTTTGTTCATTGATTTATATTTTACTATTTAATTAAAATATTTAATTCATAAAATAATTAATGTTCCCAAGTAAATTGTATGATTTACAATTAACACCTTCGCTGAATAAGTTTAATTCTGATTATGAAAGTGCTAAATTAATAGAGTCATTTAAATAACTATTAATAGAAGACGATAAGGAAATAGTCACATAGGCTATGGTATTGTGCTTAAATCAAAAATTAGGATCTAATGAAAGCAATTTCTTATTCTCTGTACGGCACATGGTATTATTGGAAAGCTTTGAGTGAGATCTCTAATGGCGACGATCTTAATACTATAAGTTAGTAATTGGAGAGGAAAATCATAATTTATGATATTTGTGAAATTGAGGATTTGAAATGTTAAGTGATTAATTTTGGATATAAGAAACGCATATATTTGGCTCGATATTTAAATTACTTTTATGTTGTTGGCAAAAAGGGTACATCTGAAAAACATAAACTTGTTAAAGATATTTTAATGGATGTTATAATAGAAATAATAGGTTTACCTATTAGAAGGCATAAACGATCTTATTCAGATGCATTTAAATATCTATCAGATTAGAAGGATAATAGAACAAATAAAGTAAATGTAAAAAATGTACCTTTATCTCCTTCAAATATATCACGTACTAGTTTGTAAATGTAATTATTGGATGAGATTAATCAAGAGAGTGATCTTTTACTTAAAGAATGTAATTCTTTGATAAATTCACCAGGTCCTTAGAATGATTTATTGTAATCTCTTAATTTAAATTTATAAGAAGGTACAAATATATTATCTAATGTAAATTTATTAAAATTATGTATAGATAAGATATTTTGGAACATTGAAATTTTATGATGAAGCAAGATCATATGGATTTATAATAATGGATATGGATGGTAGTGATTTATTTGTTCATTGTGATGATTTAACTAAAGCAGGGATGAGTAAAGATTTCTTAAGGACAGCTAAACATGGAAATATTATAAGATTTTCCTTTCTTATTCTTGAATATTTTGGAAAATATAATAAGAGTAGAAAAGCTGTTGACTTATAGTTTATTTAAGGTCAACAATATTTCATGTGATATTTATATGTATATTTTACTAATATAAGTTAATATAGTTGTATTAATAAATAAAAGTAGTTTTATACATAATGTTTCTTTTGAATAGGAATTTAAATATATAAACATGAAAATTAGTTATATATAAATAGATAATCACATTTTCTTAGTTCTTAATCTACTTAATTTCTAGCTACCATTCTTATCAAAGATGTATAAACTGATAGCAATAATGCAGTTGAAAAAACTGACCCCAACAAAGAAGTAAGATTAGTAAACATAACTAAATATATGAGAGAGTTAATTATACCCTTCAAATGGATCTAATTGTCCATATTCATTAATTACATGTCCATTATAAATACTCCCTGTAATAAGTGGAAAGAGAGCCAAGGCAGTATTTTACATAACACCTAAAAGACCAAAGGCAGTTCCTAAGATATCTAATTAAATAATTACCAATCATTTGTGGTTTTACTACTAGAGGAATAGAGGGAATTAGAATAGCTGAATAAAAGGAATAACATAATCCAAGAGATAATAATGGTAACGCAGATACTCCACATGCACTCTACAATCATAAAGATTATAAGTACATCACAATGAATCAATAGTAAACATAAATGAGTAATTATGAAAATAACCGTTGTGAGGACTATGAGTAAAGATCTTTATTTAATTTTATCTGAATAAATTCCAATAATTGGTGTAACAAGTGCAGCAAAAACATAAGGAATTGTTAATAATCCTCCTGCTTATTATTAGCTAAAACCAAATTTGACTTAAAAAAATGCGTTACCATTATCTAAAAAGGGTACAAATAAGGCTTCACTCAACATAATGATTATTGATAATATCCAATATGATCCATCTAAATTTTTTAAATCAGATAATTTAATTTCTTCTTTAGCATCATGAACATTATGTGTTTATTCATCTTCATCATCTTCATTATCTTCTTCTTCTTCATCTTAAAGAAATGATTCAGAATAATCACTACTATCAATAGAATTAATATGATTGTTATTATTAGTTCTAAGTTGCATACTTAATTCTTATGATAGATTATCTGAAGATTCACTTTTCTCTTTAATAGGAGTTAAAAATTATGGATTGATCTTCTTAAATTCTTCCATAAGAATTTCATTTTTTTTATCCAAATAAATTAATAGTAAACCACATCCCCAAGAAAAAATAACAATAAATAATCCAATTAAAAATGTAAAACCTAATTCATTATGATTAGCTTATATGATAGGACTGACAAATGAATTCATTGCACTTCCTAATTTAGGTATAGATAAACATAATCCTAAAGCCAAGCTTACCATTCCACCTTCAAACCATTTAGACATTATAGCAGCCTATGCTGCATTTAGACTCTCAGATCCAATACCAAATATACATCTACCTGCTAAAAGTGTACCATAAGATAGAGTATATCCTCCTATTACTACTATTCCTTAACCAAAAATTAGGATGGTAGAAAATATAAATATACTGACTCTCACTCCAATCTTATCTATTAGTATTCCACCAAAAAAAGGAAGGATTATGTTAGGTGCAGAATATATTGAATATAACATGTTGAATTATACATTATTTAATCCCATTTAACTCTGTATCGTAGATTACAATGCCATAGGATTGTCAAATGCATATGCATCACCAAACAATAATAAACAGGCTAATGCAAGAGCTAACCATAAAACCCATGTCTTCTAGAATGGTTATTTTGTTATGTATGATTATTTGATTGTAGACACCTCATCATTAGATTAATTCATTAATTCTTAATTTTATTTAAATTTAATTGCATTATTAATAATAATGAAAATATATACTTGTTATACATTCTGTAAATTCACATTAGTTATCAGTTATCATTCAATTATCAATCCCTATTCTGACTCAACTACTATTTTTATCGTATTCTCATCTAATTATTCCCATTTTTTATCTTCTTTGTTTATAATCTTTGTAATCTTAAAGCTCAACAAACTTTCTCTATTCTATAAATTAATTAATATTAATAATTAAATTACTTAATTATTATGATTTATCAAAAATGTAAACTTTCCTCTTTTTATTTATACTATTTAATCCACTTCATTCACATCTCCTTGATCTTCTTCTAACCATCCATATTATTATTCCAATTAAACCATTTTATCATCTACTATTGTTTATATCAATCCCTAAAATAAATTTTAATTCATACTGAACCAATAGCAAGTGCATTTATGATTTATGCTTAAGTATATTCTCCAGTATTTTCAAACAATGTTTTTTATTAAAACTGTTTATGTTATAATTTAGACAATCTAAAATCAAATCCTAAACCTCCTTCTTTAATTGTTCTACATAATACTGGATAATCCATATCTTATATTATACTGATTCCATTTGGTAATAAATCATGAATCAAATCATTTGCTAACATTAAATATACAGCTGCATCTATATCATCTTATATATCAATATTAGAAAATTTAAATCCATCTATTTAATACTCTGTTATCCAATAAGATATATTTGACAATAATAATCTTAATACTTCCCATTTACCATAATCTAATTGATTCAATCCCTCTTTCAAATACTGAAAAGCACTCCCATCCCAATTATTTAAATAATTTCTTATTTGTTCATGATCTATTTCCATTATCACTGAAAAACCCTTATCATGAATAATATCTATATTTCTTTTTAAATCATCTGGTGTTATTTAATTTATATCCAATTGCATCAATAATTATTAAGTTATCATTATTGTATTGTAACCATTTACTTCTTATACTTCTGTTATCTTTTATTTTATCACTTTCAAACCTTTACTTTGTTATTTTTGTTACAATTATTTTTATTGAAATTCATACCTATTGTCTGGATTCCAAAATATTGCTTAATCTCCCTTTTTTACATTACTCCATACTGAAACTCTTTCGAATTCATTACAATATGTTATTAATTTGCTTCCATGTTATATTTAATGATTATCGTCATCATCCTTTGGAATAAACACTTCCCAATTTCCACCATTATCAGTAGTACAACCATATTCATTCAATTTTAATTCTTTTGCGTTAGGAGCCCATTCTCTATATGTTATTCCTGTATCAGATACGATAAATCCATATTTTTAATACCTATTTTCACATCTTATATTACCCCTTAGCAAAATCTTTTATTGATGATTCCACTTTTATTATTTGCTCTAAAACCTAAAAAAACTTCTCATTTCTATTCTAAATCACTTCTTTCAATTCAGGCTCTTCTATAACTGTTTACAATTAATCAACATTTTTCTCATACTTTTACATAAATTCTTCATTCTCAAAAACTGATTACTAATACTATTCATTAACATTTTACTTGATAAAATAAAGAATTTTTCTTAGACAATTTTCTATTCGGAACCTTTCTAGATAGAGCTGACCCTTAATCAATATAATTCATATTTTTATATATATTATTATCCATATCATATATTTTATTTTTGAACCCTCTTTCCTAAATAATAAAAAACCATTCATGAATCATAAAAATTAATTATTATCTATAAAATCTAAATCTTAAAAAATAAAAACTGAATAAAATAGTTAAAATTATAAAAATATGTTTAGATATTTAACAAATAATAATACAACCACCATATATCAGATTTATTCCAATTCTTTTGTGTTCTGTTTAAATTCGTGAAATTATTTTTATCTTCTTCTTTATAAAGGAATAATACACTAACTCTTTTTTTTTATTAATTTTATAAATAGAGAATCCTTTCTTTTCTTGTGCTGTCTTAAATCATTTATTCTCAAAGGTTATTTATCTTAAAATCTTTCTTATTCTATTTTCTAAGATATCTTTTTTGGATAAAATGATATTTTTGAGTCATTATAATCTTAATCTTCTAAAGTAAGACAGAATTCATTGACATAATGATCATCCTTATCTACTAAATTCCTTATTGGATGATATATATCTTCTTTTTCATCATCTGAATTATGGAATGAGTTAATCTTATATTTGTTTTGCGGGAATATTTTTTTTATCTCCATTACTATTAAATAATTGATTGATCAAATAAATAAATATAATCATAATATTTTAACTCTCTCAATCACGATCAATTACACTCAATCATACAAAAAATGAAGATCAATCAATCCATATTAAGGCGTTGTTAATTAATTTGAAATTGATAATTATTTTAAAGATAATATTTACAATATTATTCAATAATAATTTGTATTTAGAAAATCTATCTGATTATATCTATCCATCCAAACTAATAAACGCTATCTAATTTATGTATTATAATTATAATATTTCTTTTTCTTATTTATCCTCATTTTCTGATCCTAACAATAATGTATAATGATATTATTTCTTTTAAAACAAAGCAATCCTTTATTTTTGATAAACAATATACGTTAAACACTCTGGATGTTATCGTTGTATAGTAATCAGGAGCAATTAGCCGGATATATTAATAACAAATAACTTATAGAAGTACTTTGTAGAAAATATAATATTTCCTCTCAATGATCTAACTGAATTAAAAAATGGTCATAAAATCCAAAAAAGGGAAGAATATGGTTTTTTATAAGTGTGTATAATAGATATAAACATTTATCTAATCTTCTTGTATAGATTTTATTTTATGTTTATTCTTAACTAACAATTATATTTTGTAATTTGAATCGAACATGTTGACTAACAAAGCATTCCTTTTCCATCTATAGACTTTTTTGTAAATGAATAATAGTTTTCTTTATTTTGTATTGTATTGTTCATTAATAGATTCATGAAATTATCAAGTAATATTCTTTTGGGCAATAAAGTCTTCAGAATCATCAAGATGGCTTTAACTCTATAATATTTAGATTCTGTTTTGAGATACCTTATTTCTAGGATGATATAATACGATTTCAAGATTTTATCATCTTTATTTAACAGTAGGACAATATTCTTTTGTCATTGGACAAACTTTTTGGTGACAAGGTTAGATACAAAATAGTGTAGAGATATAATTGAATGTACTTAAAAAAAAATATTCAAACTGAATACTAACAGGATCAATAATGTAAAAAAATATCTATCTGAAATATTATGTGAACTAATTCAAATGAATATTGAATTGATGAATTTTAAAGACTTTAAAAATTTTTCAAGGGTAATTGAGTTTATTTCCTATTGATATATTGATGATAAAATTGTTATCAAGTTGAAGACATTTCAATTATTCTTAGGTACTGATACAATTATAAAAATTATAAATAAATTTATTCATAAATTTATTTGTTTCTTTAATTGTTGACATGAGAATTGTAATCCTTATGTTTTTTAATATTGTTTGAGTACTTATTCTAGAATAGAAATATGAAAAGAATAAAATTTTAAATAGTCAAATTAAATATAGTTTGATTAAATCTAAATTTTAAGTTGGTAATTAGAGTTAGATGAATTATAGAAAAGTAGAGTTAGTTGAAGTATAATTTTTGATTAATAATTATGGTTTATAAAATAAGAAATAAATCATTCTTTTGGACTAGAGCAGGATGGAAGAATAATTGGCATCCTAAAAATTTTAATGCTCCTCGTCCTTCTAGTTCAGAGTTTACAATAGGTATTAGATGTCGTTATGATCATAATTCATTTTTAAGAGGTTTTTATAATAAATTGATTAGATTAGCATATCATTCATATAGGAAGATCTCTAGACATTGTAAACAATATTTTTATGGAAATAAAGAATTAGAAGAACTATTTTAAATGGGTTTAAGGACTTTTTTCATTGTTCCACATATAGCTGAATGTCAAGTCACATAAATAAAACATGGTGGTGAAAGAAGAATGGTTGATTAAATAGATAGAGATTTTGAATTAGTGTCATATAATTCACATCCATATTAATTATTTACATACACAGTATGGAATCAATATTTAGCAAATTAATAAGAAGCCTATGAATAACGAAAGAATGGAGGTAAAGCTATTGAAGATTAAGTTATTGATCATATTAGGTAAATATTTACATTATAGAAATTAGTGAATTAGTAAAAGATGAGAAGAGTAGGTTGGGTCCTGGCAAATAATTAAGTATTGAGAGGACAGCTGAAATTGTTATGAATGTTATGAGATAATTAAGAACTGCATAATAGAGACCAAATTTGAATAATAGGTAAATTGTTAAAATGAGAATGTTAGACGAGGAGATGGTGAATTTGATGATTTCTTAGAATAAAGGAGACCATTTACAGCTCCTAATAATCAATCAGCAACTCATTGAGTAATTATATATTATAAGAATATCAATTAAAATTAAAGATATCATTTATTAGATTATTGGATTAATCTATTGCAGTGTTATGTCTTAATCTTTTTCTATATCTTTTTTATGCCTAATCATCTTCTTCATCTGATTCCTCATTTATGTAATTACTAACATATTAAGTCTGAGTTTTTTTAATTGTACTTATATATTTCTTCTTCTTATTTTGAAGTTCTTTCAAATTTAAATTATCTTCATTATTTTCCTTATTCTAATCATTCTATTTCTTATTGTTCTTCTTTAAATTCATTTTATTATTAAAAAGATGAGTGAATACAAGTTCTTCAAGATTTATAATCTTTTCTTAAAGTTCTTCAAATTATTTTTCAATCACTTCAGAATTATCAGATTTTTATTCTGCTTCTCTCACACTTTACTTTATATTCAATGTTTATTTTTGAACTTTCCAAAATAAATCTTAAATATCAGAAGCTTCACAATCAATCATCTAAATTACAGATTACAATTTGGTAATTTATTATGTTTTATCTTAAAGATCTTTTTTCACTTGAACTAATTGTTATTATACTAAAAATCATAAGATAAATTTACAATCTGAAGAAAATTTTAAGGCTTCTAAACATTACTCTTTTAATTTCTTCATTTGTATATAATTATATAATTATATATATATTATTTTGGACATTCAATTTTATAATGCTTCTTATGCATAAAATTTAACATCTCTATCTGGATCTTCTAATAATTCATTAATAGATCTAAAAAATAATGAAATTAAATTTACTATTTTATTTGATTCAAAGTTTATTAGTTATCAATTTTCTTTTATAAAGATTTTGCCACCTTAATACTAACAAATCTAATATTTGGAACTGGATCTTTTAAACACTTTTAAACAATAGGCCATAATTTATCTTAAGCAATAGGTCCATCAACAGCAAAAGAGATTTATTAGATAGCATAAAGTGCATTGATTCTATAAAGTGATCCAACATCCTTAGATAAAGTTTCAATGCATTTAGATAAGAAATTACCAATAGCCCAGTCTTATTTATAAGTAGCAATCAATGCAGGTAATTATATTAATCCCATAGATCTAACTTCAGCTGCTCTATCTTTTAAAAACATTACGAAAACAGATTCCAATTATTTATTAAAGACATCAGGATTTTTTACAGTCCTTAAAATATTAATATATAAATTAATACAAGGCTAATTGAATGATAGTTTACATAGTTTCTTTCCTTACTCTCCATTTAGGATCATCCATACATTTTTTTAAAAATGGAACAAATTAATTCAAAGCCTCTGGACCTATGGCAGCTGCAAATTATCCTGCTGATTTTGCAGCATTTCTTCTTACATCTTAATTATCATCAGCCATTAAATCAATTAAATATTATTATAATTTGCTTTGACTATACTCTTTTGGTAAGAGTGTAGCAATTTAACCAATAACTTCACATGCATATTCTAATATCTAAAACAATTTATACATTTAACTTATGAAAATGGATCTTTTGATAATAATTATAAAAGAGGAACTATTAAATTTAATTTCTCTGGTGATACAAATTTAATAAATCTTGCCAAACTTCTAACAGCAATGACTCTAACATCACATTCAGTATCTTTTAATAAGTTAGAGAAGATCTAAATAAGTGAGGAATCAGCAATTTCTTTACCTACAGCTTCAGCTAACTATTATTATAAAATAATTAATATTACATCTGCAAATATTTTGGATAATGCTAATCTTACTCTCCATGATTTATCTTCAGCTGATTAAATAATTAGAGGTAGAATATTAGTTTTATTTTCACTACTATTTAAAATTTTTGCTATATTCATTAAACTTTCCATGCATAATAATCTAACTTAATCTTGTTCATCTTGACATAATTATTTAAGAACAGGAATCAAATCTTAAATGACATGAATCTTATCCATAAATTAAGCAATTTCTCCAATTTTAGTAGCAACAGCTCTTCTTACCATAGGTGTTTCTTCACTACATAACTCAGTAAACTTTCTAATGAATATTTAAATTTGAATTACTATCTAATTTTCTCCTTTTAATTACCAGCTCTAGCATATAATGGACACATTAAACAAACTGCAGATACTCGACAAGTAAAATTAGTATCATTTGAAGCTAATCTAATAATCTATAAAATTTGTAAAAGAAATAAATTTACCATTGGTACAATAGTGTTAGCAATATCATTGTCTCCTAAAAATCCACAAACAATTGCGATAGATTTTACAGCTTATTCTCTTACAACAGTTTCATCAAATCCTGCTAATTGTTCAAGCAAAGATAATAAACATGATGACTAATTTGGAATGATTTAACTATAAATATATAATTAAGTATAATTACGCAATATTTCCTAATTCTTCAGCTAATGCAAAAAGTACTTCATCATCTTCTTTCTTTAATAGAGCTAGTTTAATATTTATTGCTATTTACTTTCAAAATATGGTATTAATTATGACTTTATTTTATCACTGCCTAACAAAGTAGCAACAACTTTCACTCTATGCATAGCATTCACTTTTAAATAAACTTCTTCATTCTCCATGTCTTCTTTTAAAACCTCAAATGGATTTTCGCTCATAATTAAATAAGATTTATATATAACAAAGAAATTATTTCTCAAATATTAAAGATAATTAATGAAATCAAATATCATATCTCAAAAGAACTCTGTATATTTTTAATATAAATTTTATTATATATAAGATTATCATTGAACTATAATAATAATCTCTTATTCTATAACAAGAGTAATTGATTTGACAATATTTTAATATCTAAATTAACAAATAATAAAAATGTAATAATAAATAATATTAGGTTCCATTGTTTGTTGTGCTTCATTTCTTTTAATTATCTTAATAATAGGATGGGATGTTGTTGAAATTACTAATTGGGGTTTGAAGTGTAATTCTATTAGTAAATAATGTGATAAACAAATTTATGCTCCAGGAAGATATTTAGTTGGCCCATTTAATTCTTTTTTTAATTTTCCTGGCAGTAGATAAACTATTGAATTCTCAGATGATAAAAGAGCATAAAGTCAACCTCTTAAAACAAGAACTGCTGAAGGTCTTACATTGAGTTTACATGTTTCATTTTAATATTAACTCATTAAGAATGAAATAGCATAATTATATGCTTTAGGTGGATTAAACTATGAAGCCACTTTTATAAGAATGGCAAGGGATACAATTTTATAAGCAGCAGGTAAATTTGAAGCACCTAAATATTGGACTAACAGAAGAAACATAACAGAAGTTATGTAAAAACAATTAGAAGATGAATTAAAAAAGGCTCATGCTAATTGTGTATCACTTTAAATTCTTGATATTGAATTGCCTGATTAATATGAAGATTCTATTGTTTAAACATAAATTGAAGTCTAAAAGAAAACTATGAAATAATTTGAATAAAAAGCTTAAATGATTTTAAATGACATTCTTGTTATGAAGGCTGAAAATGATTAAGAAATCTTTGCTATTCATGCCTAAGCTTAAGCAGATGCATTCACTATTACATAAGCAGCATAAGCTACTGCTAATAAATTATTATTAGAAGCTGAATCTAAAGGTTATGAAATGATCTAAAAGAACCTAGAACTAACTAAAGAAGAATTTAATCAGTATTTATATTGGATTTCTGTTTTAAAATAAAAAAAAGCTAAATTAGTATTCAATCCCAACACTGTATTAACTTATAATATGAATCGTAATTGAATTATAATCATTTACATTTTAAATACATTTTTATTCATAATTAGTAGTTGATTAAATCTCTTAAACGAAGGTACTCTTAATTGAATATTCTAACATCATCAACTTTACTGGCTTTTATAAGATATTCTGTCAAAAATTTTAGCTCTTCATCTTTCTCATTAGAATTCCACTCCAAAATTGGTATTCCATTATCAATTTGTAAACCAAAAGAATGAGCTAAATTATCAACTATTATAGTTGAACTCAAATCTATATCTTTTAAAGTTCTTAAATCTTTAATAAAGAATCCATTTTTTGTTTCCATGCAATGATTTCTCGAAAATATTCCTATTATTTTATTTTATTCTGGATCTAAGTAATCCACTATAACACTTGCATATGATGGTGATGAAGCTGTGAAAATGAATATTGAATAAATTTCAGCTAACTTATTTAAAAAATAATTTGTATATGGTCTTACATTAAAACCTATTTAATTGATGTGAACTTAAGCTTACTCTTTAGAACTACAACAATGAATTAAGGTTTCATCTAAATCTAATAGTAATATTTTTTATTTAGTTTCTTCTATTGGAACTTCTATTTGACGAGATTTTATAAATTAATCACTGGGTCCTTTCAAACATTTGGTTGCATAGATCAAACCTCTTTAAGTTAGTAAAAGATGTTTTTTTAGAGTAGTTTCTGAAACTGATTCACCAAATATTAGATGTCGAAAAGGGTGATTTTTTACAGAAACTTCATATTGTTTTTGAGTTTTTAATTCAGCATCAGAATGAGTTTATTTATTTGACAATACATTTTTAGCTGTGTTAGTAAATAGTTATTAAATTGTTGATGGCTTTGGTTTGAATTTTGATTGTTATGGTTTTTAAGGAGACTTAGCTGAAGGAGTTATTGGAGTCCCACAATCAGAATCATCAGTTTAAAACTCTTATTTATGTTTTACAGAGTTTATTGAATGAGGTGTTGTGCTTTCTCCATCATCAGAATAAAATTATGATTTCTTACTTGGCTTACTCAATGTCAATTTATGAGTATTATAATGTTATTTGGAATTCATTTTTTTAAGTCTATGATATGTAATAATATTTAATTAAATATGTCAAAATAAAATACAATTAAATTTGATTAGAAATCTAGATTTGATAACTCATCTAAAATAATTATATCCTCTTTTATCAGTATTTATTATTATCTAAAACAGATATAAAATTTTTATTAAAATCAAAATGTAATTTTAAGAATTAGAAAAAAAGTATGAAGAACTTGAAGGATAATGGAAATAAAGTTGTTTGAAAGTTCAATAATTAGAGAGTTTAAATTTATAATTAGCTTAATAANGATATTCTGTCAAAAATTTTAGCTCTTCATCTTTCTCATTAGAATTCCACTCCAAAATTGGTATTCCATTATCAATTTGTAAACCAAAAGAATGAGCTAAATTATCAACTATTATAGTTGAACTCAAATCTATATCTTTTAAAGTTCTTAAATCTTTAATAAAGAATCCATTTTTTGTTTCCATGCAATGATTTCTCGAAAATATTCCTATTATTTTATTTTATTCTGGATCTAAGTAATCCACTATAACACTTGCATATGATGGTGATGAAGCTGTGAAAATGAATATTGAATAAATTTCAGCTAACTTATTTAAAAAATAATTTGTATATGGTCTTACATTAAAACCTATTTAATTGATGTGAACTTAAGCTTACTCTTTAGAACTACAACAATGAATTAAGGTTTCATCTAAATCTAATAGTAATATTTTTTATTTAGTTTCTTCTATTGGAACTTCTATTTGACGAGATTTTATAAATTAATCACTGGGTCCTTTCAAACATTTGGTTGCATAGATCAAACCTCTTTAAGTTAGTAAAAGATGTTTTTTTAGAGTAGTTTCTGAAACTGATTCACCAAATATTAGATGTCGAAAAGGGTGATTTTTTACAGAAACTTCATATTGTTTTTGAGTTTTTAATTCAGCATCAGAATGAGTTTATTTATTTGACAATACATTTTTAGCTGTGTTAGTAAATAGTTATTAAATTGTTGATGGCTTTGGTTTGAATTTTGATTGTTATGGTTTTTAAGGAGACTTAGCTGAAGGAGTTATTGGAGTCCCACAATCAGAATCATCAGTTTAAAACTCTTATTTATGTTTTACAGAGTTTATTGAATGAGGTGTTGTGCTTTCTCCATCATCAGAATAAAATTATGATTTCTTACTTGGCTTACTCAATGTCAATTTATGAGTATTATAATGTTATTTGGAATTCATTTTTTTAAGTCTATGATATGTAATAATATTTAATTAAATATGTCAAAATAAAATACAATTAAATTTGATTAGAAATCTAGATTTGATAACTCATCTAAAATAATTATATCCTCTTTTATCAGTATTTATTATTATCTAAAACAGATATAAAATTTTTATTAAAATCAAAATGTAATTTTAAGAATTAGAAAAAAAGTATGAAGAACTTGAAGGATAATGGAAATAAAGTTGTTTGAAAGTTCAATAATTAGAGAGTTTAAATTTATAATTAGCTTAATAATTAAATGAATCAATTAAGGAGATTACTTCTTTAAAATAAAGAGATTAACATCAATCTGAAGAGATTCAATAATTAAATGAAATGGTGACTGATTAGATAAAGTAAAAGAAATAAAATGAAAAAAAATATGATGAATTGGAAAAGAAATATGCAAAACTTAAAGAGGAATATAAGAAATTAGCATAAAAATTAGAAAATAGAGATATATAAATATAATAATAAGAAAAAGAATACAAATAAATAACAGAAACTGCTTAAAGAGATACTTAAGCTTTAATCAGTACCTATGAGTAAAAAATTACAATTTTGGAATAAACTCAAATTCCCAAATAATAGTAATCTAAAAAATCAATTATTGATTATTTAAAGTTATTCTTGATCTCATAAGTTGCACATCCAATTTTCTATATTATGTATAGCAAAAAATAATGAAATCAAAAATTATGATATTTATTTCCTATAAATTTTAAGTATTTTTCTAATCCAATAAATTGATCTTGATACTTTAAAAGATTATAATAACTCAAAAAAATGAAAAACTAAATAAGTATAAACATCTCTGATTAAAAAAAAAAATTATTTAAATTAATCAAACACCACTCTATTCATTTTAAGAATGGTTATTCTCTTGATGAATTTCAGTCATTTCAAAAACAATAGAATCATTGACTTTTGAATGTGGGGCTTCTTCAGTTAGATTAAAGAGATCAGAAGCTTTTTTGACTCCAATTTATTTTCCAAAATCTTCCCATTACTTATTTTCTCTATAAAAAGTATTTTGATTATATACTAAAAAATAAGCAGCAAAAAGAGAGAATCTAAATATTAATAATTATAATACAATACTCCCCAAAAAGCACCAACAATTGAAATCATATCAAATGATGTTTAATAAGTTAAAATAGAAATTTATTGAGTCTAAAAATTAATCTAATTTTGATACCAATTCTGTTCTAAATCCTATTTAATATGCATTGTAAGAATTATAAACACTTACATTAGTAATCCAACTATTTACTTTTTCTGTACTTAAGAAGATTCTAACATCATCTTACCACCTTCTTAAAAAATCAGGCTTTATTGTATATTTCTCTAATTAGAAGAATATTTCAGTCCTAGGGTATAACCCAGGCATTAGAAAGTATTAATAAGTAGAATATGGTACACTTTCTATTGAATTTCCAGTTGTAAGATCGAAATTTGGTGAATTATCCCGAATGTATAATAAAATTCTTCCACTTGATAAATTAGATATAGATTCTATACCCAGCAGCTATCTATGCAATTTCTTGTTAATTTAAACAAGTTTAATTGCCTCCTTGAGTACAATAATTCACTTAAATTCTTGGGTATGTAAATATTTGAGTTTGATATAGAGCTCCTGACATATTTGCAGACTCACTGAGGTATATTAAATGATTATTACCTAGGGCATAAGATTGTATAGTTGGATGCAGGAATCCAATCAGGATTGCAAGATTTTAACGGTATTTATGTTCTTACATCTTTTTTTGAGACATCTTGAAATTTAGTGACTTAAAACATTTCAAAATAGAAGATTGAAGGATCATTTATAGTTTTTGAAAATCTAAAATATGATTCAATATAAATTTTTACGGATCTCCAAAAAAGTATCCAAAAGCTATATCTGGTAATGTTACATTTAAGGCCTCTAATATTTCCTCGTATTAATTTACTGTTGGACTATTATTTGTAATAAATGCTAAAAGTCATAGCTAATACATACCAACTAATGTATAAATAAAATATGCTAAAAAACAACCTATCATAAGAAGACTTCCATATAAACTTCTTCTAGAAGATATCATTTCTGTCTTTGGAACAGGCATGAATTAGAAAAGATCAAAAGAAGCTATGAGTCTTCTTTTCATTGTCACTGCTCCCTTTGTTTCTTCTTCTTCTTTTTCTTTTTTCTTTTTTTATTCTTCTACATTATTGTCAACTTACATAAATAAAAAATATTATTTGACTTATTGTTGTTATCATTTAAATTTACTTTTTTTAATTTCAGTATCTAAATACGAATTATCAGTATGCATTAAGAAAGTAATAATATCTGATATTGATTTATATAACTATATAGATTATTTTATACAAAATTTCAAAATTGATATAATTTATTCAGATCTGCCTTCTTTTAAGAAGTAAGTTTATAAGTTATAATTTCAGCTTATAGATCTCTTTCTCTATAACATAATGTCTTTTTAGTTTTTCTAAATCTTCATTTTCATAATCTCTTAATATTTCTAAAATCTGTTGAATACTTTCACATTTATCAAACTGTTGCAGTTTTAATTTTAGTATTTCATAAAAAGTCGACTTTATATCCTAATTCCTAACTAAAGATATAGGATTGATATGAATTGATTCATCTTGATATTATATAATGTCAACTATTTTATTGTTATAATTTACTGCTACTTGAAAATGATAAGTCAAGTTCCAACACTTTTTCTATAAATATACACAGTTCACTTATATTAATTGTAAAATTGTGATGAATAAATTTTTTTGTCTAAATACTTAATTTAATTTTACAATTATCATTAGTTTGTATGTGTCATCAGGCTAATTGTCAATTTGAATTTCATTTATTGACATCACTAATCCATTATAAGAATGTTTAATCTTTTAAATAGCTTATTTTAATTCTTTCACTAAAATATCTATTAGAATAAATACTATTAGTAAATACAAGTGTTTATCTACAGTACTCAGCATTATCTAAATCAGAAAAAATTAACTCATTTTAAGTATCTAAGAGAGGTTCTTCAATCATTTTTTCATTAAGTTTAGTGAAAGAACCATTTTCAGTTGAAAATTGAGAATTGCCGGATAATGGAGATTATAAGGTATGAATCTATTATTAATAGAATATCAATTTACTAGTTAGAAACTTTCAAGTTCTTAGTTGTTTATTTAGCTATTTAAAATCAAACATTGTTTTTATTCAGATTTTTGTTATTTTAAGACTGAAAAGCATTGCATAGACATTTTATTCTTAATTTCAAACTTTTTTTTATATATATTAACACACTTGGATTTGTATTCTATTTATTTGCAGGCTTAACTAAAAACCGGGAAAACATATCAATTTCACCAAATTTCTTTTTTGCACAAAAATAGATTAGGCTACAAATTTATTAAATGATAATTCTTATATTTTAAGTAGTAAAATTATCATATAATTTTATAAAACTATGTCTATTATATTTAAAATAGAATAATAATGAGAATGATAGTTATTTGAAAGTAAAGTAGAGGAATCAAGGTATGGAGTTGTTAATAATTATAATAAATTTGATAAAAATTTATAATAATTTTTGATAGATCTATTGTGAGTAAGTTAAAAATTGGTATAATAGGTATAATAGAGTAAAAATAGTAAAATAGTAAGTATGAGAAATGTTGTAAAAAAAAAGAAAAAAAGAATAATTTATAATAAAATTAATGTATTTAAAATATTGGATTCTTTACCCAGCAATAGCAGGATGCTTCATAGGGATAGGACATTTTGTTGCATATTATCTATCGAGAGTGTTAATGAATCAAGTCTGGTTTAGGAATACGATGAAATACCTAATGATTGATGATGAGTATAAAATTTAATGAATCAATGTTGTGATATCGTTTATCAAAATTGCAATAATTTGGATGTCATTCAAGGAAGTTATGAAGGGGGTTAGACATTGTGGGAATGTACGTTTGATCTCTTATAATACCCTAAATAACTAAATGGCCTTGACGTAATAGATATGGGATGTGGTTTGGGATTATTGGGAATTCAAGCTCTAAAACAAGGAGCTAAAAGTGTTTGCTTCTAGGACTATAATGAAGATACATTTGAGAAAGCAATATTACCATAATTGAAATTGAACAATCTTGAAAAGAATTAGAATTACATATTTGTAAATGGAGATTGGGAATCACTTAATCTATCAAAAGTTGATATTATTTTGGCTTCTGAAATTATATATAGAGAAGAATATTATCCTAAAGTTGAAGACTTTATTGCTAAACATTTGAGACCAGATGGATAATGTATTATGATAAATAAATTTTATTATTTTGGAGTAGGAGGATCTGTTGCAGGTTTTAAAAATCATCTTACAAAATTAAAAGTTGTTTAAGAAGACATAATAAACACAAAAAAAGGAGTTAAGAAAATGATTATGAAATTATAGTTAAAATGAATGATAAGCATTTTTAGTATTTATGTATATTTAATATATATTTATATATATGTCCATGTATAAATGAATAATAAATTGATAGTAAATAGAGATTTGATTAAAAAAGGTAATGGAAATATATGAATGGTGAAATTTAAATAAATTTTAAATATAAAAAATTGTGATTTATAATGCCACAACACGATTATATAGAACTTCATCAAAAAAGGTTTGGTAAAAGACTTGATACAGAAGAAAGAGCAAGGAAAAAGGCAGCTAGACAACCTCATGAATTGGCAGAGAAAGCATAAAATCTTAAGGGTCTTAAAGTAAAATAAAATGAAAATATTTAATAGGCCAAAATGTTTAACAAGGAAAGATTTAAAGAGAAAGCTCTAATGAAAAAATAAATGTTAGCTCATGAAGAGAAAGATATAGAAGTTAATGTAGAAGATGTAAAAGATGGAGCTGTTCCTACATATTTATTAGATAGAGAATAATAACAATAATCTAAGGTGTTAACAAATATGTTAAAATAAAAAAGGTAGAGTTTATAATTATTAAATAATTTAGATAAGAGAAAGCAGGTAAATGGGATGTTCCTATTGCTAAAGTGAAATAGATGTCAGAAGGAGAAATGTTTTAAGTAATAGAGAGTGGAAAGAGAAAACAAAAGAGTTGGAAAAGAAGAATTAATAAAGTATGTTTTGTACCAGAAACATTTACACGTAAACCTCCAAAATTTGAAAGGTATATTAGACCTACAGGATTACGTTTTAAAAAAGCCAATGTTACTCATCCTGAATTGAAAACAACATTTAGTTTACCTTTATTAGGAGTTAAGAAGAATCCTTAATCAGCTTTATATACAACACTTGGTGTTATTACAAAAGGTACTGTTGTAGAAGTGAATGTAAGTGAATTAGGTTTAGTAACTCAAACTGGTAAAGTTATTTGGAGTAAATATGCTTAAGTAACAAATAATCCTGAATTAGATGGATGTATTAATGCTACATTGCTTGTTTGATTTTGTTAAAAGTTCATAATATTATCTATGTATAATAAATACCTAATTAAATTATAAAGTACAGATTCTTTCTTTTTTAATATATATTTATTTTGAAATCATATTGAGTAAATGAACATTTAAATTATAAATAAAAATATTTATTTAGATGAGTAAGAATAAACCAAAACCAGCTGATGCTAAACCATAGTTATCAAGTATAATACACTTTTTTATTATATATAGAAGCAGAATAGGAAGCATAAAATAAGGCTAAATAGGTTAACGATGTTGAAAATGAAGCATACAAGGTATTATAATTTTGAAACTTCTCTAGAAATAAATGAGAGAAGAAATTAGATTACTTAAAACAGATATAGATGCTGAAGAGAAATTACTTTCTTAATATTAATAAGAAAGAGAAAAGATCAATTACAACTGGATCATTGCTAAAAAAGAATTGGATGATAAAAAAAGTGATTTTATTAATAAGGAAAGAGAAATATAAGATTTAAAAGAAAATCACTTTATGCAATTGAATCTTTATAAATAAAAGTAATTTTGTTATATATTTTAGAATTAAACATTTATTATTTTAAAATTAAGATTAGCAAAGTGATTTAAGAAAAGATGTAGAAGTTACACTAAAATAATTAGAAGATGATCATAGAATGAAAGATAGAGAATTAAAGACTGATATTAGATCTTTAAAAGTTTAATAAAAAGAAGCTGATTTAGCTTAAAATGACTATATGTTTGCACTTAAAACAGAATATGATCGTTAAGCTACTTAATTAAGATAGAATTTTGAAAGATAAGCAAATGATTTAAAAGAAAAATATCATTTAAAAATGGAAAAATTAAGAAGAGAAATGGAGGAAGCAAGAAATAATTAAATTAAAATTCTTTAAGAAAAAAAAGATTTAAGAATATAATAATTAACTAAAGAACACTCAAAAAAATACACAGAAATTAAAAATTACTATTCTGATATTACTGCTACTAATTTAGATATGATTAAAAGTTTAAAAAATGAAATTACAGATCATTAAAAAAAAGAAGAAAAAGACAAAAAATTATTGTAATCAATTGAAAATGAATCTAAAAATTTAAATGAACCACTTAAAGCAATTAAAGAAGAGATTAAATTTTTAATTAAAGAAAAAGAAGAGTAAGCTTAAGTTGTATAATAAAAAGAATAACTTAAACTTAAAATAGATGAACTTGAAAAGAAGTTTAGAAATTTAGAATATGAATATGAAGTTAAATTATAACATTTTCAATATATGGAAAGAGAAAAGAAATCATTAGAAGATAAATTTAACTAAACCATTCAATCAATTTAATAAAAAACTGGTTTACAAGTAAATTTTATATTTTATATAAATTAGAATCTAATTTTGGAAAAGAAAACAGCCGCTATCTAAGAAGAACTTGAAATAAAAGAATTACAATTGAATCAAGTTTTATAAGGAGCAAATATTGATCAAAATACAATTAGTAATCATTATATATAATTTTAGATATAATTACAAGATAGTATTAAGAAATTGATGTTTAAAAGTCAGCACATATAGCTGAATTACAATAATAACTAACTCAAATAAGAAAAGCTCATTCTCATATGGTTAAGGCTTATGATGGTAAATTAGCTGAATTTGTAATTCCTGTTGAAGAACTTGGATTCGATCCATTAGTACCAACTTTTACAGAATGAGTTGCATATATTATATTCAGTTAATTTATATAATGTTGAAAAAAATATAAAATTCAATAAATTATGTTAAAGAATAGACCTATTCTATGTGCTGAGGAGCCTATTGAAGAAGATTAATATTTTATGTAGGCGTTTTAGGTTGAATAAGAAGTTCCTAATGTTAGTGTAAGTATTAGTGAAGCAAGTGATAGTTAAAATGATTCGAAAAAACCCTTTGAAATTCCCTAAGTCTTAGTTGAACATCATGCTAAAGAAAAATAAAAAGATGAAGAGTAATTTACTAAATCAGAAGCAAAAAAGGCTTTTTCTAAATTAGTTTAACTCTTTCATATAAGATAATTTATACATTAGATTCTTTCCAAGAGAAGATTGATATCAAAAATAACGAAATACCATTTATAAGTGATTAATGATAAAGCATCTTCACTTGATGATGTTGATTTTAGAAAATATGCAATTACAATTAAACCATTTATTTCAAGTTTAAAAGAAACTACATAAGCTCACTTAAGGAATCCACAGTAAAAATGATTATAATATTAATTTTAGAACAAATTAATTGTTATTGTAACAAGCGAAAATATTTATAGGAATTTAAGTGGAGAGATTTTATAAGCTCATCTAGAAAATTCCATTAATTAAACCAGATTCAAAAATGAAAGTAGTTTGGGATAGTGTTTTATTTGTTTGCAGATTTTATTTACTATTTACAATTCCAATAGATTTAGCTTGGCCATCAATATAATTGTTATTTTATACACTAGAAGTACCAACTGTGTTATGTATAACACTTTTGATACTTGATTTTTTTGTAAGCATTTTTTAATCTTACTATCATCAAGGATAATTGGTAACAGATAGATTGAGTATTTTAAAGCATTAGATAGGTAAAGCATATGGCTTTGAAATAATTGCTAATATTTTACTTATCGTATTTTATAATATCGCTAATCAGTATGATTACGGCTTTAATGTTTTTGAAAATCCTTATTATATCTTTCTATTTCTATAATTTGTACAATATAACAATATTGCTTAACTTAGGTAATAATTAGAAGATGCTTTGAATTTATCAAGGGAAGCATCTTCAATAATGGAGCTTTCTAAATTATTTGTTTTATTATTTTTTGTTATACATGTTTTTGCATGTTTGTGGTTTTGGGTGGGACTTTATAGTGAGACATATCTTGGTAATAGTTGGCTTGAGGCTAAATAGATTTTAGATAGATCTTTTGCTGATCAATATTTGTACTCATTTTATTATTCAACTGTAACAATGTTCACTGTAGGTTATGGTGATATAACACCTTAGACAAATCCAGAAATGATTGTATCAATCATATTTATGTCTGTTTGTAGTGTTTAATTATCTTACAGTGTAAGCACTGTGAGTTCTATTATTGAATAGATTAGTGGTTTTAAAGAGGAGAAGAAAAGAAAGTTTAATATTATTAATAATTATATGGAATCAAAAGCTATTAGTTATGAGTTACAATTTCAGATAAGGGAATATCTAAATTATTATTGGACAATGAAAAGGAATGATGAATCGAATTAGGAAAAAGAAATCATTGATGAATTATCAAGTAGATTAAAATAGAAATTAATTTTTGAAGCTAATTCTCGAATTCTTTATAATAGTCCTTTTTTTAAAGAGAACTTTTCATTAAATTTTAAAAAAGAACTTGTAAGTAAAATTACTTCAACTACAATTGCTCCAGAGAATGTTCTTGATTATACAAAACAATTATAGGATGAAAATAATTTGTCAATATTTTTTATAGAATAAGGATAAATTGAGGTGTTTATTGAAAATGAATAATTAAGTGAATTATCAAGAGTTAGTAAATTAAAGGAAGGTGAAAGCTTTGGATTTGTAAGTTTTATAACTGGTACTCCTAGTATAGAAAAATATAAAACTATAGGTTTTACTAAATTATTAATAATAAAAAGGAAAGACTTTTTGGAAGTAATAAAAGATTATCCTGATGATTATGAAGTATTTTATTCTTTTTTTGAAGAATTAACATTCAATTCTGAAACAGAATTATTAACTTTGGAATGTTTTTCTTGTAAATCAAAAACTCATAAAGCAATTTCATGTCCTCTCCTTCATTTTAAACCAGATCGAGAGAAGATTATTAAAACAGCTTAATTTAGTATAGAATAAGAGAGAAATACAGAAAAAAAAAGAAAAGAAAAATGTTATATTAAGGCTATTTTGGGTTAAAGTATATTAAATGATGTAGCTAAATAAGTATAATAAGATAATCAATAATTAACATACATATATGAAGAGTAGGATGAAGAAAAATAAGTCACTCCTTAAATTCAATTAAATGAAAACTCAGAAAAATCATCTGAGATAAGATTTACTTCCGAAGAATAGAAAATTCGTATTTTTGATTTTAAGGAAGATACATTAAAACCACCAAGTTAGTAGAAAAAATAATTGTTAAGAAAAAAGTAAACTTTATCAGACATAGGAGAAATTATGTAATTTAGTAAAAAGTCAAAAGAAACTAAGGAGAAGTTTAAAAATATAGTTAAGAAGGTTAATCTTATAAATGAATTTATTGAAAAGTAGGTGGAAGATTCTTAGCAGAGAAGTCTATCTTAACATAAAGAATATCTCAATATTATTTAATATAGAAAAAGTAAGATTTAACACATCAAACATATTTATTCGGATAAGACTAACAATGAATTAGAATTTTTTGAACTCAAACTTAAAATGCTCTTATAAACAGAATTTGATATAATTTTAGATTCATAGAAATCTTATAAATATTTTAGACCAAAAGATAATCTTTTTTAAGTTTTAAGCAGGACAAAAATATCAATGCTATCAAGTACAAATGATAAGCAAATCTTAATATAATAAAAAACTTAGTAATTTATAAAGTATTTATTTTATCCATATTTATACATTTAAAAATATGTATGTAAATAAAAGCATCCAGATTATGTTGGAGAGACAAAGAAAAAATAATTAATGAGAAGAAACAATAGAATATCTCTTGCATTTATAATGCAATAACATTCATCTATTAAAAAACCTTGAACAATATTATTCATATTAAAGTATTTATATTATCGTACTTCTTATAATCTTGACTAAAGTTTATCTGATTTTATTTATAATAAATATGAATTCAATTAAAAATATTGATTTAGAAAATAAGCTCACTGAAAATTCTGAATCATCACCTTTCAAATCTCGAAGAACACTCATTAATAGATAAAACACTGAGACAAGTTTATATTTAAAGAATTTGCATAAAAACCTTTAGTATATAGAATCAATAAGTGCGAATTAAGAATAAAAGAGAGGACTTAAGATAAAAAAAAGGCATGAATATGTAACAAAGTTTATAAAAAATCTTCGATCGACTTAAAATTATTATTCAAAATTAAGTAATTATCATTTTTCATTGATTGATGATTTAGCTATTTATGAGAGTAAGAAGAATTAATCACTTGCATTGAGAACAATAGAAAAAATAATATGTTTTTAAAAATTGATTGAATTTTTGAGTAATTTGATTAACAAATTACCCTTATTTCAACCTGATTCATAATATAAAAGTATTTGGGATATTGTTGCAATAGTTGCTAGACTCTACTTTTTATATTTGATACCATTAGATATGGCATGGATTGAATAAGAGTTTATATTTGAGTTATTTTAACCACTTTCTTATATAATGTTAATTTTGGTGTTAAGTGATTAAATACTTGAATTTAACACAGCGTATTATGAATGTGGTTAAATTGTAAAATCAAGAATGCGTATTTTTAAAAATAGTATTTTACGAAACTATAGTACAGAATGGATTTCAAGTTTTATATTGATAATCTACAGTTTTTTATAATAAAAATATCGAATGAGAATAGATCCTTAAGAGAATATAATTCATTTGTCATTAATAATATTTTTAATTCATGTTAGTAGAGTAAGATAGACAGTGAAACATTATGAGTAGAGTTTAAATGTAAATAAGAAATTATCATCGATGATACAATTAGGGAAATTCTTATTATTTTTATTTTATTTTTTGCATATATTTGCATGTTTTTGGTTTTGGGTATAATATTAGAATATTGTAGATAGGATCTTATAGTGAATAGAATGGAGGAAATAGTTGGGTGAGTAATTCTAAAGTGTAAGATTTGGATTGGAATTTTTAGTATTTGGAAGCATTTTACTTTTCGACAGTAACAATGTTTACAGTAGGATATGGAGATGTAGCTCCTGTTTCAAATTTAGAGAAGACTACTTCAATATTGTTCATAATGATTACAAGTATTTAATTACCGTATTCAATAAATACAGTAGGAAAGTTTATAGAAGAGATAACAGCATATGGAGAGGAGACAATGAAGAAATTGAGTATAATAAATTCATACATGGAGAAGAGAAAGATATCTTTTAATTTATAAATGGAAATAAGATAATATTTAAACTATTATTGGTAAAAATAGAATTAGTAAGAGGATGATGATTAGAAAAAGATTATAAATTAATTATCTGAATGTTTGAAAGAAAGATTGATGGGAGAGGCATATTAATCAATGTTGAATGATTGTCCATTATTTAAGAATAGATTTAGTTAGACTTTGAAATAGTTATTGGTAAAGAAGGTAAGAAGTGTGATATATGCACCTGAATCATTTATAGATAATGATTAAATTTATTTATGTTTTATAGATGAAGGTGAAGTAGAGATTCATTTAGAGATTAATAGATAATTTCCAGTTGGTAGATAAATGAAAGGTCAAACTTTAGGTATTAGTAGTTTTATAACCGGAAAAGGAGCACCAGAAAAATTCAAATGTTTATCATTTACTAAAATTATGTTATTAAGTAGAGATGACTTTTTAAAATGCTTATGTGAATGTCCTTCAGATTTTGAAATCTTTTGTTAAATGAAGGATTATTTAACATTTAATCCAGGAAAATAATTACATCCTACTAATTGTTTTTCATGTGATTCAAATTAACATAAATTAATTGAATGTCCTTTAATTCATTTTGTACCTGATAGAGAATAGATTTTAAAAAAACATATTAAATCATAAATCTAAGAGAGATAAATTAATAGATAGAGAACTAAGTTTAGATATAATAATTGTAGATACAATTTATCAGAATTAACAAAAGCAGTTTGGAAGATTTAATCTTAAAAGTTTGAAAGATTAAAGTTATATTATGATCATGAAGAGATTAAAAGACATTTAAGAAAGAGTAGAAGTGTCTCATTTTATAATGAAAAAGACATTATTTCTGAATATAAACATAGATTTATTAGTATGGTCAAAAAGATAATTTGTATTAATAGATTGAGAATTCTACCTAAAACAAACATTAAAAAAAATTAATAAATGAAAGAATAGTTTTTAATTATGTTATTAGATAGATTGAAATTAGCTAAGAGAAATGAAAGAATATTTAATAAAGAGATTGGTGAGATTTAAGATCTGATTGATAGATTTAATTAAAAGTCAAGTTTAAACGATTTTGAAATGACTCATGAATATTAATTTTACAACAGCACGAATAATTTATCAAAGATTCCAAATCTATAGACTAAGTTGAAAATTGGATTAATAATGAAATTTATGCCTTATTTTCTATATCCAGGAGAAATAATCAAAAGATTTGGATGTAAACCTTCTATACGTAATATCATTAATTATAGAAGAAGGAAGAATGTGATTTTGATTTGAATAATTTATTTAATATGTAAGAAAAAATGTTGACTGATAATGCAGGACTCAAGCTTCTAACTGAGGCTAATCTAACAGAAGCAGCACCTTTTCGATAAAACAACTAAGTTTAATCTTTAGGAAATGAATCAATCATAAAGTACTAAAGAAGGTTAACATTAAAAACAGAACGCAAAAATCGCTATAGAGATTAATTCTGTGATAATCTTAAAGCAAAATCCTTTAGACATAATCGTATTTCAGAAAAATATTTATAATTTGTTGGAGACAAAACCTTCTTTCCAAATTCTTCTACCTTTAACATTACCATTATGCATAAAAACTTTTCATTGCAGTTAGAAATGAAGTTTTTCGAAAAGATCAAACAGTTTTTTTCTAAATATATAAACATGTTAGTTTAATGTCTGAAATAGATAGAACTTTTTCAACCAGAATCACCGATAAAATTAATATGGGATTCAGCATCCTTGGTTTCAAGATTGTATTTTTTATTTCTTATTCCTTTGGATATTGCATGGAGTAAATATTCATTTATGTTTGATATGTATAATTTGACATCCTTTATATTTTAAATGGTTCTTTTAGGTGATCTTATAGTTGGTTTAAATACTGCATTCTATTAATAAGGATAATTAGTGACAGATAGAAAATAAATAGTTTATCATAACTTTTTAAAATGTTTTGGTTTAGAATGGACTTCAACAATATAATTACTGGTCTATTAAATATTGACACAAGATCCGTTGATAACATAATAAATCAAGGATTATAAAATATATCTTACTCTAATTACCTTTTTAGTTCATTATAGTACCATATAAGAATGCTTAGAATATTATGAGGAAGGACTTAATTTAAGTAAGAAAGCCTCATCCATAATAGAACTAATTAAATTAATTGCTGTCTTATTTTTTATTATACATATGTTCTCATGCTTTTGGTTTTGGGTAACTTTATTATACATACTAGGTTGGTGAATATAGTCATAATAATTATGGAGTCAGTTGGTTGGAAGACCTAGTAGATTAAGATTGGGAGATTTAATATTTATCTTCAGTCTATTATTCAACAGTTACTATGTTTACTATTGGATATGGAGATGTCCTTCCTTAAAGTAATTTAGAAAGAATTGTTTGTTGTTTATTCATTATTATGGCCAGTTTATAATTACCTTATAGTATCAATACTGTTGGAGCAATCATTTCATAAATTAGTGAATATGGAGAAGATAAAAAACGTAAACTAAGAATTATTAATTCATATTTGCAAAAAAAAAGAATACCATTTTAATTATAAAGTGAAATCCGCCAATATTTAAATTACTATTGGTAATTAAATAAAGAAAAAGATGCAGAAGAAGCAGATTAAATGATTAAATAATTATCAGAAAATTTAAGAGAAAGATTAATATAAGAATCTAATTCTGTTATTTTAAATTAATGTGCTCTATTTCGCTATCGTTTTACTCCTGCCTTTAAAAGGGAAATTATCAAATCTTTAAAAACTAAAATTCTAGCACCAGAAACTATTATTGGAGATAAAAAAGAATTAATATTTATTGAATCAGGAATTATTGATATGTATGGAGATTAATAATTTAATTTAAAATTACACACTTTCTCTGCTAGCCAAACTATAGGTCTTATTCCATTTATATCAGGTAATTTACAACCTAATACTTATAAAAGTCAAGGTTTTTGTTTGGTTATGACATTATCACATAGAAAGTTCAAAAATACTCTAAAAGATTTCCCAAATGATTATGAAATCTATTGTTAAATCAAAGATTATTTATTATTCAATGGAAACGAAACTACTATTTTCCCAAGAAGATGTTATGCTTGCTAAAGTTCAGCTCATTATTCATATGAATGTCCAATTACACATTATGTACCTGATAGAGAGAAAATAATAAAAAAGCAATCCATTTCATCATTCTAATAAAGAAAGCTGATTCCACGTTAAGAATAGAAGAGAGCTCGACATCCTTCAAAGAAGATTTCTTTATAGTCCTTAACTAAAGCTGCATTCATTGTTTAATAAGAAAATTAGAACATTGTTAAGATATATGATTCCCCTTATGTTATTGAGGATGAAACTAAAATAAATAGTTTGGATTAATATAACAATTTAAAGAATAAATCTAAAAATAGTAAAGAGACAAGGGAAAAATTGATGTCTAACTTTAGACATTTAGTGAAAAAAATTACATTTATAGATAGATATTATCCACAATTTTTGATGATTGTGTTAAAGAAGTTCAGACATGATTAGAATTATTTTAGTCAATAATCTCAGTTGAAGCAGTTATAAATTAGATATGATCATCTAAAATAAATACAAGGAATAGATCCTGAAATATTGAAAAATTTAGAGGTTGCAATAATATAAAATTCAGATTATGATTTTTGTAAAAACAATGAATTTGATACCCCAAAGAATTTCATACATTACAATTCAAAGTTTAATTTTAATAATATAAAATTAAAAATAGATAAGGCAAAATTAAGATTCTTCAATGAGTTTTAGAGATATTGTTTGCACCCAATTTTAATAATGTAAAAATTCCATACAACAAAGATATCTTAAGATTTAATCACACATAAAAGGAGAAGGAATGTATTCATTTGAGGTTATATTATTCAAAAATTATTGTGATGATGATTAATGTGGATATAATATCATTTTAAGTTTTATCTAATCTAGTTGAAAGAAAAGATACTGTCATCATCTTCATAATCGAAATCTGAACCATTTGATTTAGTTTCTGAAAAGCTTGTACTTGAATTTTAATTAACAACATATGGATCTGATGCTTCAGCCATGCTTTCAATAGCAGATTCATCAACTCCTCTTTTCATTCTAAAGTTTCCTCCTTCTCCCCATTGATTTCCCCAACTGTTTTATAACATCCAAAATTTAACACCATCTTCTTCTCCCCAACCATAACATAAAACTGAATGATCTACTTTTTCCTATTTTATAGATGTTAATTAAATACCCATTCAGCATAATCATTAGTTTCGGCTTTTGAATGATAGATACCAGATTCATAATACATGAAATCATAAGATGGTTCAAAACTTAAGACAACAGGTCCATTTTTCATGATTTCTGTCATAATGATTTATTCTGAGACTCTACCGTATGAACCTCCTAAATATTTATAATTTCTAAAAAGATATATAAAATAATAATTAACTTGGTCTTATAAACTTTTGATTAAGATTTTGCTTTTTAGAAATTACATGATCCATCAAATCCTTAATATGGTTCAACTGATTCAGAAACAAGTACTTATTCTTCAGCAAATTTATTTACTAAATAAGGATAACCACCATCACATCCTTGATTGAAATAATTACAATTTAATGACCATTATGGTGATAGATCTACATTTTCACCTTAAATTTTTAATCTTGCTGATAACATTGACATTGTGGCAATTGCATAACATGATCCACATTATCCTTATTATCTTGGAGGTGATAATTTTCTAATTTTATTAAATAATCAATTACTCTTTCCAATTAAATGATTTTGGTAAATCTGTATAATCACCTGTCTAAACAAATACTTTATTTGATGTAGAATCTTATTGTTTAAATGATTTATCTTTTCTAAATCCTTTCTTTTTTCCTAGAGATTTAGCAACTTCTGCAAAACTCTTTCCTTTCATATTATCATAAACCTTTGCTTTCCATGTACCTTCTTTCTAATTCAATTTCTCTACAACATCTTCATGATTCACATCAGATGTCTTTTCTTAAACTTATAAAAAGGATAATGATTTTAAATCATCATCATCCATGAATTCTGGTTACACTATACTTACTGTTTTTATTGATTCAGATGATTCTACTTTTTCAGATTTCTCAGCTCTATAACATCCTTTTTCTTAAGTATCAAGGTTTGTATACCAACCAACTAATGTTTGATCACAAAATGATACTCCTTCTCTACCTTTTGGCTCATATTTTGAAAAAGCAAAATATTTCATATTACCCAGTTTTATTTCAAAACCTTCATCATAAACCATTGTCCATTCCCCTGATTTTTAACTTGATTTAACTTTATAATCATCTCCTAAAGTAACTTCAAAATCTTATGATGGTTAAAAGTTGCTAGAATAAGCCATATATGAAGTCTTGGCTCTATCAGGAACTTCATGACCACATGGTAATAAACCTACACCTTTCTATGTTGGTTTTTCTAAATATAGTCTCCACTTTCCTGCAACCTAATGCTTTAAGCAATGGACAGGCAAATCACAGACTACAAATCCGATCATGCATAATAAGATAACGAATCTCATTTTAAGAAAATATATATATAAACAAAAACGGAATAAATTATTAAAGAAGCCTGTGTTAATAATTACTTTTTGAATTTATTAAAGCAATCAACAATGGAGCAAATAGAGCCGTATTGTGTGTTAACTTATCTTAAGGAGGAACTACACTTTCTTTCGATACAATTAAAAAGGCAATTCTTAATCCTAAAGTTGTGATTATTAGACCAAGAGGAGATGGTTTTATTTATATTGAAGAAGAATTCGATATAATGATTGAAGAAATAAAGATATGTATAGAAGTTAAAGAGATTGTAACTGGAATTTTAACTAAGAATAATTAAATAGATATAGAGAGAATGAAAATATTAATTGATATAGAATTTTCTATTCAAGTAGTTTTTGATAAGGCCTTTGATGATTTTTACAATTATCATGAAAGCATAAAACACTTAATCATTCTTTGAATTTAAAGAATTTTTACTAAAGGAGGAAAATATAAATCAGCTATAGATGGAAAGAAATCAATAAAATAAATTGTACAATTATATCCTCAACTGAGTATTTTAGCTGGATGTGAGGCATTCATAAAGATAATTATCTTAGCTTAGTTTATTATTGTTATTTAAAAAAAGTTCATGGTACTAAAATTGTATGAATTCCTTTTGTTTTAGATGTTTAATATAATATTTATATGAATATTTTAAATTTAATATTCAAACATTACCTCATCTGAACATATCAAACAAATGATTCCATTATAAGTCATATCACTTATTTATATTTTAGAACTTCAATCATCGCTAGTCTGCTTCTATTTTATTTAGATAATATGAATCCAGAAAACAATCTCCTGTCACTCATGTTTTTGTTGCACATAATCCAAGAAGAAGTCACTAATTTGATGGCAGATCCAATTCACCTACTAAAATATTAACTACATCACATATTTATCCAAAAATTATACAATCCACAGAAATTAAAACTAGAATACCTACTTAAGTAAGTGTTTCCATTCCTAATTAGGGTTAAAGTATCCCTATTTAAGAAGCTCTAAAAATTTATTCATCAAAACAAACTATAGATTCACAATATAATTTAAACAAGGTCTCATCATTTTTTCATGAAAAACTGAATGAAAAATCAAACTATACTAAGACTACTACCGGGGAAAGCTAAGAAGAAGAAAAGTCTTCTCAACAAAGTAATCTTTCTTCATTTTCTTAGAACCATCAATCATTTATTAAAAACAACTACTTGATAAAGATTTATAAATCATACAATTACAAAAAGAAATTAAACAAATTAAAGATTTGAATGTTATTAATTTTATTATTTTTAGAAAAAGTACCAAAGTATTGAAAAAGAATATGAGAAACTCTTATAAGAAAATCAAAAATTGAAATCACAAATCCATTAATAATAAGTTCAAATTACATAACTTACCCACTAATAATCTTTGATCTCACCAGGAAGACCATCAGAATATGTAAGTGCATTAAGTGAATAAGATAAATTAAAAATAAAAACTCTACTAGAATGTGAATGAAAGTATATTAATAATATATTCACTTATTTCTTAAATTACTTACATTTCTTATCAGATTTTAATGTTCTAATCTCTTCTTTTACTAGTTTATTATTCTGCCTTAATTCTAAATTATACTTCTTCATATTAATGGGAAAATTTAATTAATTAGGAAAGCTATCTTTTCATTCTTAATTTTCTACCTACATTGAAGGAATTTAATTCATTATATTTTTCTGTTTTTCACATTATTATTATTATAGAATACTATTTGTATTTGTATTTAATAAATTAATTACTTTTAAAATAATTCATCTTTCTAAATGTTTAGTTTCTTATTCAAACATACTTGATGTAAGAGCAAAAATGGTAGTCTTTTTTTCTAAGATATTTTAAGAATATAAAATATTTTTGCTAATTTAGTAAATTGTCATTCTAATCGTATTCTAAAGTTTTACGAATATTATTACTACACGAGAACTTTAAAAAATTTTAATTAATATATTATAAAAAGATATAAAGAAAAAATTGTATAATATCATTTATCTTTTTTGTATGAGAATCTATTTTCTATTTAATAGAAAGAAATTCTTGTAATTTAATAGACTCAAGGGATTTAACAAAAAAAATAAGTCTCCTATAAATTCTTATTTTTTGTGTTTATTTTAAAATGCAATTCTTTTTTTGATAGTTTATTATTGTATTTTCAATAATAAATTAATAAAAAAATAAATATCATTAAAATAAATTAACATTAATAATAAATCATCCTCCAAAATCTGATGGTAATCTATATTATCCAGGTCCAGGTGATCCTTCTCTATGCTATGAAAGTATGCGTTGTGCTTTAGGAAATGTATTACATTTGCTTGCCCCAAATTTAGAACAAAAATATGTTCCTAAAGGATCTAGGTTACCAATTTCTCTATATGTCCCTGGTCCAGGTGTAGAATCTGAAAATTTTCTATCTGAATGGGCTTTAGGAGGTGAAAGAACTACAGCTCCGGAACTATTTATTTGATAGCGTCATTCAAAATTACTCTCGATAATGACTAAGGGCATACTTTCCTCGACTATTTATACTGGGTGGTAAATTGTATTCGCCACTAGAATAGGTTCATAGGAATACGGTCCAGGTTTTCTATCTTTGCTTCTTCTGCTTTTTAATCGCTATCCTATACTATAACGAACGGCTGACTAAATTTCTTTAAAATTATATGATCCTGGCCCAGGTGTTTTTTAGACTAATCCTAAGAAGATGCTCTCAAATTTATTTGCACGCTTGAGAATTAATATTAAAAAGTTACATCTCTACCCAAACCCATTGTCCATCCATGTTCTCTAGCTGTTTGAACTTAATATGAGTTTGGTGCTGGTGTTATAGTTTCTTAGGTTATGTTCATCTTCTTTCCATATCCTATTCCTGCAGCTCTCTTACTCAATGTTGTTGGCAATTGATATATTGGAGGGCATCTAAAACTTTAATTTACAATTTTATACACATTATCCTTAGGATCAACCCAACGTTTGGCCTTCGAAAAAGTATACATTTATTTTGTTTTGCTTGTATTTAATGGAGATCTATTCACAGCATTAAAATCCATTTTCTAATTAATTTTATATTGAAATTATTGCTCAATTATAATCGTTTCTTAAATTCCTTAGCCATTTAACAAATCTGTTTACATTTATCAACTAATTATTACCTTATATTTTCTTTAAATTATTTTTATCATGAATTTAGCTCCTCGCAGAAATATTAAAGAAATACTCCCTATTCAATAAAACTTCATAGAACCTAACCATTATTAAACATCATTCAAAAGTCCTGTGAATACTCGTCAAAGATAACAAAGACCATCGAAATTACCCTCATTTAAAATGTCTAGTGGATTATAGGTTCAGGTTCCTGTATCACCACCTGTATCACCTTTATGGAGGACTCGTAATATGAGTCGTGTAGATTAAAGAATGTTAAATGTAAGTCCTTCTTAACTACCTCAAAGTCCAAAATATCAAATATAAGTGTAGATCTTTAATGAACAAATATTAGTGAGTTTATGTAACTTAATTAGTAAAAAGCATTAAAGAGAAAGATCAATCAAACAGTAGTGAAAAAATAAGATATCTAAACATCTGAAAAGTTGTTCTCCTGGTAATCCTTAATTAGAGAAGATGTAAACAAAGGTAGTTTTAAATTTTTGTTTGTTCTTGGAAAAGGAGGATTTGGGAAGGTATGGAGAGTTGAACAATGCAAGAGTCGAAAGTAATATGCAATGAAAGAAATGAGTAAAGCAAGGTATATAAATATATGAATTGAGAATCTTATCAAAGAAGTCTGTACATTCTGTAATAAATGAGAGAATTATATTGAGTAAACTAAGACATTCATTTATTGCAAATATTCATTTTGCATTTTAAGATAGAGATCATCTTTATTTAGTGATGGATTTATTAACAGGTGGAGATTTAAGATATCATATAGGAGTGAATCGTCGTTTTACTGAATGGCAAACCAGTATTTAGTTAAAGCAATATATAGAATTTGTAATAGGTTGTTTATTAGTGAGTTTGGAGTACTTATAAAACAATAATATCATACATAGAGATATAAAGCCTGAGAATGTAGTATTTGATAAGAAAGGTTATCCAAGATTGACAGATTTTGGGATAGCAAGAGTATTGAAAGCAGAGAATAGTTAAGAAACAAGTGGGACTCCAGGATATATGGGTTAGTAAATTAATATTAAGTCAGATAGCACCAGAAGTAATGTGTAGACAGAATCATGGAATAGGTGTAGATCATTTTGCATTAGGAGTAATGATACATGAATTTATGATTGGAAGAAGACCATATGTTGGTAGATCTAGAAAAGAAATTAAAGAAATGATGTTAACTAAATAGGTTACTATTAGAAAATAAGATGGTTGGAGTAGTGAGAGTGCTGATATATGTAATTAGGTAAATGGATATATGATTATAAGTTATTATAGAGAAAATAATAAAATAGATTAGGATTTGATGGAATTTAATCAATTATGAAACATCCTTGGTTTTAAAATATGAATTGGTAAAATATAATGGATAAAACTCTACCATCTCCTTTTGTTGAATTTGCATATTCGGAAGATTAAGACTTTAAGAGATAGATTTCATCAGACCATGACTCTTAGAATGAACTTATATAAGAAAATATGAATGCTTTAAGAAGGGATTCAATTTAAGAAATGTTCAAAGATTATGAATATAATGATCATAGAATGACTGGTAGTACTAATTCAACTCTAATTATATGATAATTTTATATATTTTATTTATAATATATTAGATATATATTAATTATATATATATAAATATATTTAAATATAGCTAATAATAAAATGGATAGATGAAATGATTTGAAAATTTATTTAAAATTTAATGTTTGAGAAAGAAGTCGTGATTGATGGCAAGGGCCATTTGTTAGGTAGATTGGCTTCTTATATTGCCAAGGAGTTATAAAGAGGCTAAAGGATTGTTGTAGTCAGAACTGAATTGATTTAACAATCAGGTATAAAGTTGTTACTATAACAGGTTCACTTTTCAGAAATAGAGTCATCTTTGAAGAGTATCTTAATAAAAGAATGGCATTCAATCCAAGAAGAGGATACAAACATTATAGAACTCCATCACGATGTTTTTGGAAAGTAGTCAGAGGAATGCTTCAATATAAATCAAAAAGAGGAGCCGCTGCTTTAGAAAGATTAAAGGTCTTTGAAGGTGTACCACCTCCATATGATACAAGAAAGAGATAAGTTGTTCCAGATGCTCTCAAATTGATTAGACTCAAGAATCATAGACCTTTCTGTTCTTTAGGAAATTTATGTGCCTCAGTTGGATGGAATTCATAAACTGTTGTTAACAGACTTGAAGAAAAAAGAAAGCAAAGGTATCGTGCATTTTTAACACTTCAATTAGAGGTGCTGCCTATTACAAGAGAAAGATTACCAGAGAAAATCTTAGAAGAAAGGCCATTGGAGCTAAAGAACTTGCTACAATCAACTCAGAGTTAGAGAAGTTAGGCTATTGAAATAATATAATAAAATCATGTACATTTAATCTTTATTATGTAAAAAATCGATTATGGTGTTGAAGTTCATATTAATCAAACTCTCTATGCAGGGAGATGTTTATTATAAATACTTAAAACACCAGTAGTCTCTTATCAATATTAATAACAATAAGCTAAATTCCTATTAGCTATTGATCAATAACAATGGCCATAAGCATAATTATTACATGGTACAAATTGTCCATGCTTCAATTAAGAATTTTAAAATAATGAAATTAAGTAAAGCAAAATAAGATTGGCTACTGTGGCTATGTTATGTGATAAAAATGATTATTTTCTAATCACAAGAAGGCATTGTCAAATGAAAACATTTCCTAAAGCTTGGGTGTTTCCTGGTGGGATGGTAGAAAAATAGTAACATCTAGAATCTGAATGTTTGAGAGAAGTTTTTGAAGAAACAGGTATCAATACTTAGTTAATTGAAAATTAAATGGAACTCAAAGTTTTATATGAATCAGTTTATCCAACTAAATTATAAATAGGTTAATATCCATAAAAACAAACTCTCTGCATTTTTTATGAAATTAAACTCAATGAATCATATAAAAACATTTAAGTAAAAATTTAAGAAACAGAAGTTGATGATTATAAATGGATTCAAAAGAATTAATTATTAGAAATAATGAATGAATCTTTACCAGATGAATAATTTAAAGAAATGAGTGGAATCTATCCAAATCAATATGGTTCTGGAATTGGAGAAGGACATATTAAAGCTTTTGTACACAGTTATAAAAAATGAAACAACAACAAAAAAAAAAAGAAAATTAATTATATAATAAATATAAACATGAATTCATTAAAAAAATTTTATAAAAAAATTGTCACAAATATGGGTAATAAGATGGCTTCTACTAAATAATCTGAAAATAGTAAAAAAGATAAAAGTAGTGATGATGATGACAAACTTAAAGAAGTAAAAGGTAATCCAAAAAAGGAATATTACTAAACAAGAATGTTAACAGGTTAAAATGGCATAGGTTTTGAAGAATTTGCAAGGGATTAAATAAATCACTAAAAATCATCTAGTATTATTTAAGAAGCAGCTAAAAAAGTTATGGTATAATGAAAGAAAATATATTTAAAAGATATAATGATTAACAAATCTTTAAAAAATATTATAATACTATAAATCATAGGAAAGAAATTTGTTATTGATTTAGCAATTTTTATGCATATCTAACTAATCCTCTTTTTTAATGTTCAACACTCAAAGCAATTCCATCTCTTTCATGTGTTAATCTAATTAATTCTAAATTGGTAGAGAATTTCCTGCTTCTTAAATTTTCTGTAAAAGATGTTGGGATATCAAATTTCATTTCTAAACGTTACCTAACCATTTCTTCTAGAGGCAGTTTTTTTTAAAAGTCATTTAATTTAATAGTAGGTTATTTGGTTGAAGTGGGATGTACTTTTAAGGATTATAATTTAATTAAAGTTGTAGTTTAAGTTTGTTTTAATTGTTATATTTTAGGTATAGGATTAGATTGGATCATACTTTCATATTCATCAGCCACAGAGATGGGTATTGGTATTTCAAAGGCAAAATTCTTACCTTTAAGAAATTGTTATAACATTTCATCTAATGAGATATCAATATCAATTGCTCTTTGATTTGGTATGCATTCTAAATTATGTGATAACATATATTGATTTTTAATTTATCTTCTTTAATAATAAAGAGGATTTTAACAATGGATTAATTTGATAGGAAAGTTAACAGCTTTAGAAAAGATGTGTTATCCGAGATTTGTCTCTTCTTATGGTAACATTTTAATAATTTATTACATACCTTTGGAAGATACCATTTTCATTGCAGACTTTTCTTTTTCTATAGTTCCTTTCATACTTTTCTCATGTAAAGACTTAGCTGTTTTTAATTCATAATTTAGAAAACATAATTTACCTAATTCTTCATAACAATTAATTTCTTAATCGGTATCTTTTAAATGCCACGCATATTCTAATGACTGAATGTATATAATATGAAAGGATTACTTTTTTAATGAATATTTTGCCCAAATTATATTTTTTAACATATTTACACAAAATTCCAATCTAAAGAAATGTCCATTAAATAACATCAAATTATCTTGTAAATTCGCTTAGAAATTTACAATGTTATAAAAAGAGAAGAGCCTTAGTCCATTCTTAGAAAGATATAAATGTTAAAGCACTTAGGCGCATAAAAGTTATAAGTAAACTAATACTATCTTATTCAACTGCAATTACCATCAAGTTAAGCAAACCTTATCAAACATGTTAGTTACTTTCAATAGCTCCAATTTATTCATTGCATTGAATACTATCAGCAAACTGTTATTCAAATTAATTTAACATTACTAATGATGATCTAATCGTTAAAGGCATTTATATTGTTTTCCTTGAATATATATATGAATGTTCTGGACTTATTGAATTCTTACGAAGTCTAGGTATTGATCTCAATGTAGTTGAACCAGATTCTTTTGGTGAATTAAATTAATCTATCTCATTCAAAGCTAATATTTAGTTAAATGTTTTAATATTATGTTATTCATTTGATTATCTATATGATGATTATTGACTATCAAACATATCTGATTATGTTCCTGTTAAATTTTTAATTTAGAAGGAAAAAACTCTTCTTTATTTCTTTTCGTTCATTATTTTATAAAATAAAAAAGAATTTAAAGAGATTAAATTACATTAATTAAAATAAGTTAAGACCTGTTTAACTTTCCCTTACCCCTTTTGTTTCATCAAAAACAACAATGTCCAATTTAAATCAATAGTTTGCTTTATTATAATCATCTCAATAATCCTTGATTGATGAATAGAATGCAGAATTGCCTATACTCTCCTTCCTAAAATAAAGAAGACCATTAAAAGCCAAAACTCAATTGACAGTAGAAGTATATATATTATTTTTAAATATTTTTCTAGAATAACGACTTTGAAATCGAGATAATCAACTCTAAAGTAGTATAGAATAGTTTTGCTGTCTATGAAATTAGAATTAAAAAAGGAACTCTTTTCTGGATATTTCAAACTAGATATAGTCTATTAGAGAGTTTGAATTCAAAATTATCAAAGAATCTCAAATCTCATCTACCTAAATTTCCAGAAAAAAGACTAATTGGAAATCTTGAAAATGATTTCATAACATAAAGAGGAAAATAACTTGATTCCTATTTGAAAGTATATTTTTATATTTAATCTATCTTAGAAATTATTTAAATTGGGAAGGAGTGAAAATACAGTACGAGAATTCGTACGTCAATCATAAAAGGCAGCATTTATAATCAATGATCCAACTGCTGTTAAATTATTCAATCTTGATGCATGAAATATAATAAACTAAAAATAAAAACATATAAATATCATCAATCATTTCATCTAAGTTCTATTCTTATTATACAATTTAATCTCCTAAATTCCTCTGTATTACAATTTTGAACTCATTTTTACTTAAAATCTATCCTTTTTCTAATTTAAAATCTGTATCTTAAAGACATTATAAAATCACATTATAAAATCAAATTTAATTATTTTATAAAACGATCTTCATTCTTAATCATTTTTTTATTTATTTTTAATTAATTATTAATGTGTCATTCTATTATCATCTAGATCTATAAATATATGTTAATAAATATCATATTAGATGAGTTCTTAACAATATTTAATATAGTAGTAATATTTATTTTTGTAGATCTTAATATTTTTGTTTTATGAACTCTCCTCTTGATTATCATTATTATATTAAATACTTTCAATATATAAAGGAAATATTAGATCTAAGAATGATTTTAGTGAAATAAAATAATGTATTTATATATTGTATTGTACAATATTGGAATCATCATGCTTTTGTGATTTCTGTCTTGAGGTTAGCAAATGAATCTACTGGTACGTACTAAGCAAGAGTATAGTACTTTCCTTTTCCATCATCTTCTTCCTTCTTCTTTCTTTAAAGTCTTGCAAAAAATAATTTTAATAAATCTACCTAACTCTAATTCTTCTTGGTAAATTTCTAATTCCTCTAGCCCAGATTGCTTCATTTAATTATGGATCAACTCTAACATCTTCTGTCAACATATTTCTTTGAGCTATTCCAATCAATCGAATCAAATACCAAATCTTATTATATGGCTAACTGCACGTGGAGCCTTTCTCTTGAATGTTTCTTTATGAACAGCTTTATGAAGATTAACAGTATAATCTCTGCTTACTTCACCTAATGGATTTGGCTTTCCTTTTTCCTTTTTGCCCATAAATTAAAATAAAATCTTTAATTTTTTTTAAATAAAGCAATGCTATACATACAATCAATCGTTCTTAAGATATTAAATGACAAATGAATTTAGTATTCAAGATATTTAAATATTATGAGACAAATGATTAACATGATTTTCAATCCAAAAAAAATTATCTCTATTTTTCTTATTCTTTATCTAATAGATCTATAATATTATTAAATTTATATTCAATAATAAAATCTTCTATTAATCATTTTTTAACTTAAAATTATCAAAAAAAATTATGAAAACTTATAATAAAATTTTCTAACTCATTCATAAATATCTAGCATTTTAATTTCTATTTATATCCATCAAAAATAATTTTCGATATAATTTGATATGATTCTCTATAAATTTCATTTAATAGTTAACTTGATAGATTTCGATTATATTATAACCATGAGAATTTTATCTAATTACATAATAATATCATTAATATTTTCTATCAGTTTAATGATACCTTAACAATAAAATTTTGAAGAAGTAAAAAGAATAGAGATCTGTAGGAGCAATACACAAATGACTGTTTAATAAAGTTTCTAGAATCTTGAACAAGAAAATAAGTTTTATTATATTATAGATTAAGTTTTCCTGAACACCCTAATCCAAATTTTGATTAGCAAAATTTATATAATTTTAATGTTAAAGAATCGTCAACAATTAGATAGTTTGCTCCTGTATTAAAAAAATAATAAAGTGATACCTCATCTGATTACAAAAAACATTAAATCATATAAACATAAAAAAGTAGCTCCAGAAATATGGAAATTAATCTATAAAGAATAAAATTGAATCCTATTGAGGAATAATAATAGATATCTAAGGTTAATTTAGAAAATTAATTTAAAAGCAAAAATGAAGAACATCATTTGATAATTAAATGTGATGATACAAATGAAGATTTAAATGAGATTATGTAAAAAATATAATATTAATTTAGATTTTAAATTTAAGAGAAAGATAATGATCCTGAAATTAATAGTTAAAACATTTAGATATTGAGTTTAACTTAAAAAAAATCTTTAAAAGAATAAGATTAATAGAATGCTTGTTCTATTTGTGGTAGCAATAATGCAGTTAAAATATAACTGCTTGAATGTGAGCATAAATTTTGTAAGTATATATTTAATTTTAAATTAAAAGGAATTGTTATAAAGACTATTTAGAAGATAAGATAAAAAATGCTAAAATAAATAATATTTATTGTTTACAAGAAGGTTGCATAACTAAATTTCCTGAATCTGTAATAAAGGAAACAGTTAGTGAAACTAAATTTGCTCAATATTTATTTTTTAAATATAAATTAGAGATTGAAAATGATATGAATAAAAAATGGTGTCCAGCCAAAGGGTGTGATTTATTCGTTGAAAGAAATCCAAAATAAAACATTGTTATCNTAATAAAATTTTCTAACTCATTCATAAATATCTAGCATTTTAATTTCTATTTATATCCATCAAAAATAATTTTCGATATAATTTGATATGATTCTCTATAAATTTCATTTAATAGTTAACTTGATAGATTTCGATTATATTATAACCATGAGAATTTTATCTAATTACATAATAATATCATTAATATTTTCTATCAGTTTAATGATACCTTAACAATAAAATTTTGAAGAAGTAAAAAGAATAGAGATCTGTAGGAGCAATACACAAATGACTGTTTAATAAAGTTTCTAGAATCTTGAACAAGAAAATAAGTTTTATTATATTATAGATTAAGTTTTCCTGAACACCCTAATCCAAATTTTGATTAGCAAAATTTATATAATTTTAATGTTAAAGAATCGTCAACAATTAGATAGTTTGCTCCTGTATTAAAAAAATAATAAAGTGATACCTCATCTGATTACAAAAAACATTAAATCATATAAACATAAAAAAGTAGCTCCAGAAATATGGAAATTAATCTATAAAGAATAAAATTGAATCCTATTGAGGAATAATAATAGATATCTAAGGTTAATTTAGAAAATTAATTTAAAAGCAAAAATGAAGAACATCATTTGATAATTAAATGTGATGATACAAATGAAGATTTAAATGAGATTATGTAAAAAATATAATATTAATTTAGATTTTAAATTTAAGAGAAAGATAATGATCCTGAAATTAATAGTTAAAACATTTAGATATTGAGTTTAACTTAAAAAAAATCTTTAAAAGAATAAGATTAATAGAATGCTTGTTCTATTTGTGGTAGCAATAATGCAGTTAAAATATAACTGCTTGAATGTGAGCATAAATTTTGTAAGTATATATTTAATTTTAAATTAAAAGGAATTGTTATAAAGACTATTTAGAAGATAAGATAAAAAATGCTAAAATAAATAATATTTATTGTTTACAAGAAGGTTGCATAACTAAATTTCCTGAATCTGTAATAAAGGAAACAGTTAGTGAAACTAAATTTGCTCAATATTTATTTTTTAAATATAAATTAGAGATTGAAAATGATATGAATAAAAAATGGTGTCCAGCCAAAGGGTGTGATTTATTCGTTGAAAGAAATCCAAAATAAAACATTGTTATCTGTAAGTGCGGAGCATCAGTTTGTTTTAATTGTGGTTAGATAGCACACTAAGGTTTGTTATGCGAGGTAGAATATAGAATTTAAAAAATAGTAAGCTATTGAAGACGATTTTAGAAATGCAATAAATAAGTATAGCATTAAATATTGTCCTGGATGTAAGGCTCATGTTCAAAAAAATGCAGGATGTAATCATATGACTTGTATTTAATGTCATTTTTAATATTGTTGGGTTTGTCTGTAACCCTATTATGAATATCATTATAGATATTGGTCATTAAAAGGTTGTGCAAGTAAATTAATCTATATATTTTAAGTATGGTCTAATGGAAGATTCAAAACAAATAAAGTTGTTAATCATCCTGATGCAATGAGATGGATTTTCTTTCTACCTCGTTTAATTCTTTTTCTTTTAAGAGGACCATTATTAATTTTAAAGTTTCTGTTTATTGTTGTAGGGAAATCTTTTATTAAACCATTTTAGAAACTTAATAAAAAAGTATTTAAAAAACTTTTCACTAAATGTGGTTCAAAATTTTGGTATTATTTTCAATAAATTTTGTTAGGTTGATACGAATTCTAATTTTTTTTCTTGCAATATTCTTAGAATTATTCATTTTGATTACCGTGCTACTAATCTTTCCTTTTTACTTGTTATTCTATAGGATTTTTAAAGAATTTAAATGGCTCTGTATTAAAGGATGTGCTTATTGAATATTATTGAATTTTTATAAATTTACTAATATTATAAAATAATTAAATGGATATTGCTAAAGAACTGGGATCAAATATTCAAAGATTACTGTAAAGATGATCTCTTATTATTTAATCATAAAACAATAGGAATTTATTGTAGACTTTAAATTACTTATTTGAACTTTTTATCTCATTTTTCAACAAGGAGAAAATTTATAAAATTATAATTATCAATTATTTAAATATAGAAAAGGAGATAGTTCAAATTAATAAATTTTATTTAAAGTGAACAACACAAATACAAGTAATAAATATTATCAAGTTTCTTTTTATTAAGAAAATATATTCTAGCTAAAAATATAAAAGAGGTTTGGTGTATTTATTATTATTAGAAAAATAAAATAAGTCTAAAATTTGATAAAGTAAGAAAGAGAGATTTTCAAAATTAATTATGATAATGAATATTTATTCTAAGATTATGAAATAATAATTGATAAGAGATTTGATTTATTAGGAATAATGGAATAATTATTAGGAATAATGGAATAATTTGTATGAAAGTTCTTAAAATAAATGGTAAAAGTATAAAATGTATTAAAGAAAGAGAAAATGAAATTGAAAAGAGAGGTCTTGAGAGATTGTATTTTGTTTTTGGATATAATACTTTAATAAGTATAATTATATAATTTTAATTAATTTAAAGATTGATGCAAAATGGAGAATTAAAATTATTAAGGATTATAAAATTGAATTTCAGAAAGGATATGAGAAGGTTGAACAAGATCGAATAGGATGAGTAGATTTACAAAAATATAGAAGAGAGATGGGGAAATTTCGATTTTTGATTAAATTTTTCTATTGAATAATTGTTTCAAAACGATATTGGTTAATTAAAATGTAAATTGAATGAATAATTATTTAAGTTAATAGAATCTCATATGATTATGAGTAGATAAGAGAGGAATGTTATTACTGGAACCTTTTTTAATGGTCAGTATTGAGAATCTATAATTTTACTCTACAAATATAATAATTAATATAAAATATGATAGCTTAAAAGATTGAGAGACATTTCTTACAAAGAGTCTAAGCATAATAACAATCAAAAAATAATATGAAATTTATTGAATAAGTATCATCCCAACTGATTTTAATATAGTCCGATTCATTTTTTTAAGTCGATTAAGAAGCTTCTAAGTTATGTTAAAACAATGTAGGATCAAAGAGAAATGTATCAAATAAGTAAATTAAAGAAATTTAGAGTTAAACTTAACAATTAGAAGAGACTTCCAAAAAAGGAAATGTTTTGTAGAATGATTCATAAGTAACCCATTACTGTTAACCTATTTAGACTATTACACCTTTAGCTGTTCCAGAAGTATAAGATCTTGAATAAATTCCTAATCTTGATGATAATCTATTCCCAGTTTAAAATTCTAAAAAGTATTGTCTTTCAAATTATTTCCTTAGTAAATAGAATCTTATTAAAAGAAAAGCCATTCGCAAAAGATTTAAAACTCAATAAAAATCAGCAGTTATTATAGACAGTAATAATTCTCTTCCAACATCATTGGATTTAAAATTAGAAGGGGAAGCATTAGAAAAGAATAGTACAGATAATTAGTCTTTTTTAAATAATCAAAAACCAACTCATGAATCTAAAGAACAATCCATAGAAGGAGAATTAATTAAATAAATTCAAAAAGAAGATTTTAATTAACCAAAAAATAGAATAAATTACTATACTGATAAATTAATTAACTTGATAAAAGGAGATTTAGATGATACATTTATGGCATAAATGTATATTAATCATTTTATTCAAACTTATGGTATTCTCTAAAAATTAAAGGTTTTAAAATAACCATAAAGTTATGAAATTTTAAATAAAATAAAACCTTAAATTAGTATTAATATATATTAATTTTTAGTTAAATAAAAAACATTGGTAATTGATCTAGATGAAACATTAGTACATTATAATGAATCTACTTTAATGCCTAAAGATCTTGTAATAAATATTAATTTAAACAATGGATTAACAATTAATGTAATAAGTTGTACTAAATTAGGCTGAAATTAGTGTTCGACCTTACGCTTAGTAATTTTTATAAAATTTGGCTCAACATTTTGAGATCATGATATACACAGCCTCAAATGAAGATTATGCAAATTAAATAATTGACTATTTAGATCCAACATAATAATTGGTGAAATATCGTTTCTATCGAAATGATTGTATAAATCTATACAAAGGATGTCATATAAAAGACTTAAGAACTTTAGATAGAAATTTAAAGGATATAATATTAATAGATAATTCAGCTTATTCTTTTGCATACTAACTAAATAATGGAATACCTATTATTCCATATATTGATAATAAAAAAGATGATGTATAATTTTATATTAAATAAATATTAGGAATTGATAGTATTAGAAAAGTATTTAATGGAATTATTAGAAATTGATGATATAAGAATAGAAAATGAAAAGAATTTCCACTTATAACAGATATAAAATAGTAACTCAATATAGCAAGCTGTTAATTACTTGATACATAATAAAAAATGATTTTATATTAATTCTTATATCTTCAATTTTGTAATATAATTCAATAGATTTTAGAACTTCTACGAACTTCTGAACGTACTTCTTACTTTTTTTATTCTTGCATAGCTTTATCAGCAGCTTCAACTTAAGCCAATTATCTTTTTAAATTAGCTATTTTTTAAGAGCTTTCAGCATAATTTTTTTCTAGATTAGAATATTTTTTCATCCAAGTTTCTACTTCATTTGATGCATAAGTAACTTTTTCAGTAATAATAATTTCATATTCTTATCTTAATTCTTCAAGTCTAGCTCTTAATTCATTCATTAATTGTTCATCATTATGTATTTTTTATTCTAATTCTAATTTTTAAAGTTCTAAATTCTTAACTTTTGTATCATCTTAAACTTCTTCAACAGTTTCTTGAAGAATAGTTCCATTATTCTTTCTAATTTGAATTTATAATTCTAAAATTTATCTTTCTAATGTAGCACATTTTAATCTCCATGGTGCTTCAATTTCTAAAAAGAATTAAAAATAAATAATATACCATCAACAGTAATAACTTATAATGGTCTTTCAACATGTCTAAATTCTTAAACTTAAGTTTATGGTTGAACAGTCTAAATGAATTATATAAGAATAGTTTTACCACTGGTTTTTATATTACAGCAGGTTAAACAGTAGGGGCAACCTTAAAACTGACTGGCTAAATTGGAGAAGCAACTTAAACACCAATTGGTTAATAAGGTGGTCTAATTGTAATAGGACTTTAAGATTGAACAGGAGCTAATTGTTAAGAAGTAACAGGCAAAATTTGATTCTATTACGCAGGTAGTTAAGTTTGTAATAGTTATGGTTATTATAGAAATTATTATGACTAAGGGACTTAATATGGGGAGCTCTTTGATAAATCATTAATATTACAAACTATTAATTGGACTAATAGGTTTAAGGTGATTACATTATTCCATTTTATGGAGATTTCTGATATTGTTATGGTATTCCTGGAGAAGAAAGCTATTATAATAATTTACATCTTTATTTACATATTGACTCTAAATAGGTGAACTTTAGTAAATGTTGTTTTGTTAAAAAACTTATTATTATCGGGGATCAGTTTAGTACATATTTAAAAATAATTTTTATTTAAGTATTTGTAAATTATTTCATTAATTTAATGTATTTCATTGGATATTTATTCATTACTAATTAAAACAATTCAAGAATGGGTTCTATAGAACGATTTCAATTTAAAAAATTATTTATTTTATAGTATTAATATGTCAATAAACAATCTAATATTAGATAAGTTATTTACTATAGATTTCATTAAACTTTGGTTTATATTGATCTTATTAATTAAGTTAACATTTTATTTTGTTTCATCATATCTCAAAATAGATGTCTACTATAAACAAAGTAGTAACTTAGATTCAATCAAAGTTTTTATATTAAAGATCTTAAAGATGTAATATTAATTCTTCCATCAGAATTAGATGAAATTGATATATAACTCTCTCTCTAAATTCATGCACTAGATAGAAGTTGCAAAATTGTAAGAACTTTTTAATTATAGTTTTAGGATACAAAATATTTAGCAAAAGAATACAAATTTGAAACTCTTAAATAAGCATTTGTATTTATGAATACAGTTTCACATTTGGCTGATTAGATGAATCGCAATTATGAATTATTTATTTAGATTATCCTAAATGGATTAATTTTTATAATAGATTAAATGTTGAAATAACCACTCAAGATATTAGTAAAATTTGAATTAAAGATGTGATCTTAGCTCATTTAATGGAATCTGTGTGTAAAGTTGTTAAAGAATCAAATTTAGAAAACATTGCTGAAATTTGTAAGGAATCACGTATTTAATTGATACAAATTTGGAATACAAATTACTCAAAATACTAAGGAGATCTTGAAAAAAAATCACGATATTTGAAATTGAAAAAGGTTATTATAATAAATAAATAAACTAAAATATATATTTAATTAACACATAAATAGTTTATTAGAGAAATTAATTTATAATTATTAAATAAGTTTATTCTAATTGTCTGTTTGTCCATTATGGCTTTGAGAATTCTTATCGAATGGAGAATTCTTATTCAATTAAGAATTCAAATTAAAATCTAAGACTTTCATACAATATTAGAAATCGCATTTTCAACCACTAATGAGGAATAGTATAATTTTTTTAAAAGTTACCTTACCAATTATATTGCAATTAAAATATTTTAGATTTATTGCCTTAAATCTCCTTTTTTGAACTATCTTAATTCAAGACAATCATTGCTACATAATATAATTTTTTAGGTGAAGTATCTCCATATTCTTTAAACATGTTGTTGTTATTTATTTCTATTAAACTACTCTTCTTGATCTTACTTAAAAAGCACTTAATAATAATTATAATACAATTAAAAAATATTATAAATGAACGAAATATGGTGATTCAATAATTCTAAATCTTTTTGCTTAATCTTTAATCACAATCATTTATAAAGAAGCCAATTAAAACAAAAACTTCTTTCATTTTAATTGATGCTTCAAGTAATGATGAATGAACTCTTTTATTAATTTTTTATATTTCTTATGATACTTTCCCAAATTCATATGCATATTCACCCTCTAAATTAATGTTATTTATCTTTTATTTTAGATATTCTAAATTAATTTACCGATTTGATTCTTAATGAATAAATAAATTTATTAAAAAATAACCTAAGGTCAATCTAATGACATTAAAAACTTAAATTTCTAAAAAAAAATTATGAAGAAGTATTTGCAAAAAGATTAGTCAATAATCTGAACGATTAGGTTTAGAGGAAAAAATATTAAAAGATATCTTAAAAGAAGAAAAATAAAGGAAAAAGATTTAGTAAATGAACTTAAAATAAGAATGTTATGACTTATGATTATTTGTTCATAAACTTATTATAAAAAATTAAATAAATAAAATTCTGATAATTTCTTTTTGTTTTAATAAATATTAATTTTTGATCTTGAAAATTTTGGATCATTAAATAAAATTATGAACAATAAATAATAAAATCCTTAATGTTAGGAATCGATACCATAGAGTAAATCAAATTAGTAAAATCAAAAAAGTGAATCACTTAAATTGAAATAACCGTAGCATGATTATAGCAAAGGAAATAGGTAATAATTTAAATTCGATAAAAAGAACATGTATGGCAACTGGAAAAAATGGAATTGATTTCTACATTTTAGCCAAGATTGTTTAAAAAGAACATTCTGAAACAATATAAGCAGCTATTGAAGACTTATTTTGATTTAATAATGTTATATAAATTATTAGTTTATTCTAAACATTATATCCTTCATAAACTTAAATATAATAAATTATTTGATAATCTATCTGCAGAAGTTAAAAGAGTTAATTATTAATGTCAAATTTTTCAAATAAAATTATTTTATGCATGTTTATGAGCAGATATAATTAATCAAAATTTATATTTAATAAAAAGTAGAATAAAATAAGGGGAGAAAAATAAAATAAATTCATGAATAGTTAGTTTCAAAATTGATACAAAGTTATAAGATATTATCATAAAATTCGAATTGACTTATTGCAATTAGAGATATGATTAAATTAAAAATTTAAAAGTAATGTAATAAATAAATTAAAAAAATTTTAATGAATAAAATAATAAAGAGAATGGCAACTAAATAGAATATAATAAATTTATAAATTGAAAATGAGAATAATTCAAGATAAAGTATTAAAAAATAAGTAAAATGAGGTCCTAGAATAAATTATAATAGTTAATGTTTTTATTTGATATTATATAGTTAATATCACAATTACTATAATTTTTTTTCAAAATCATCCAAATCTTGATTACCTTATTATTGCTAGATCTTTTATTGTTAAGGAAGTTGCTTATTTGGTCCTGCTTATTAAGCTTCCATTTAATAGATTAAATCATCAGCCTTATATAATGTAATAGAATACTTATTATTACATATCTCCCAAATCTACATCATCATTCATATTTTCCATAGCGTCATCCATTTATTCTTGAACAATTCCCATTTTCATCATGTCTTTTTATAGCTCTTACATAGTTGCTTATATCTCCTTTACGTTCATTAACTGATTAATATGTTTCATAACACTTGAAATAGTTCCCATAGCTTAAGCCATTTTAATGTTAGCAAACATATTATCTATGCCATACATAACATTTTGTATCTTTCCTTTATTTAGAGCATTCCTTTCTTTTTGTTTTTAACACTAAATAACTTATTTTGCATAAGTCTATTTAATAAATTTATCAGCTTTGTCACCTTTCTTTATTTCTTTTTGAAGCTAATCTTCTGCTTTTTTCCTTGCCTAATCAATTTAAAAATTCTGTCTTTAAAAAGTAAATTAATTTAGTACCTTTCAATTTCTCTCATCTCTCTTTATAATTCTTTATTCATTGATCTTTATTTATCTCTTAATTCTTCTTTGCTCATAGATTGTAAATTTTTTTCAGCTGCTTAAGGAGCTTGGGCTTTTTTAGTTCCAAAAAAACTCATAATAAATTATATATATAATAATGAATATTGTTATGAATCATAAAGGCGTATTTAAATGAAAAAATTCGTATTCTATGTTTTAACGAATAATTTATCCTCTATAATAGCCATCAATTTTAGTAACAACTCCTTTAAAATCATACTCTTCTTCCGCTTTCGGCTTAAGTTGGGTTGTAGTTTAATATTGAATATTTGTAGATGGTGCACAACACTATCCCATAAATTTAATATAAAAATAATATCAATTTTTGGTTTGATAATTTACTCCAGAATAAAATCATTTTTATTTAATGAACTTCTATAGACAACCTAGACTTTACAAGGTTTTTAGCATTCATCAAAGCAAAACAATAAACTTTGTATTCAACATAACTTTGTATTCAACATAACTTTTATTTTAAATTATATTTGATACCTGAACTAATATTTTTAAGATCAATTCTAATATTTTATTTTTATTTATTTCAAACTTACAAATAAGTATGCTCCATATTAATATAAATAATCAAATTATTATTTGATTTCTCTGCTTGAGAACATTAGAACTATAATATAGAAATTTCTGAATTAGACTTTCTCATTATTTTTTATAATTAAAACCATTATATTATCTAAGTTTCATTATTTTCTAAAAAAAATTCATCCATTATAATCAATTTTTGATAATCCTTAGTTTAATTTAATTGTCATATTTTCAATTTGGCAATGTAAATTATTAAAATGATTATGATCATCTAATTTATTTATTTATTGGTATTGGAATATTTTTACATTTAATCTTCTTAAGATTTTCTAGAATTAGATTGTTTAATACTCTTGAAATCCTTTCAATTAATATTAAAATTAATCAATTCTAGATTATAAAGACAGAATACCATGTAAAGTTTAATTGTATTCTGAAACACATTGCACTTATAAACTTTTTAAAAATTAGTATATGATATTTTCATTAAATTTATATATAATATATAAAAGGTACATAAACAAATATTTTTTGAAAATTGAAATACTTCTTTTATTCATATTGTAAAGCCATCGCCAAAACGAAATTAAATTTCTATAGAAGCAGGTTTTAAGAATAATAAGAAAGAAGGAAAATTTAAATCTGAAGATTTCAAAGAATAAGTTGATGATTATTTAATACTTAATGTATCTTATACTATTGTAAATCTCATTTGGCATTTTTCTTAGCTTCTTATTATTTTTTGAGTTGATTGGCATCAACAAATACAATAGTCTTGCATCTTTTGATGACCTTTAACCACTTCAATTTACACTTAACACATTCAAGTCTAAATCGATTAATAAATGATATACTTTAAGGCAACTTTCTTTGTTGTCTTTGCCTTCTTTCTGAAAATAGGTTTGGTTTGTCCTCCATAACCAGCTTGCTTCATGTCGTACCTTCTTCTACCTTATGCAAAAGGACTTTCTTTGCTCTTTTTATATTGGGACACTTTGCAACTTTGATGATTTCCACATTTTCTGCAATATGTCTTTCTGTTTTTGGGGACGTTCACCATTTATTATTTTTTTAATAAAATTTAATCATTTTTTTGAAATCCAAAAATATTCATTATTTTAACATGATTTAGAGATTTAATATAATTATTCTCTATTTATAATTCTACCTATAATCACCTCTTAGACTAAATTTCAAATTACTGATTATATCATATAATATATTGCAAAAAATATAAGATAAAATCATTAATATTAATTATAATTTCTACAATCATTTTACAAATAATATTTGATTAATTCCAAATTTTATTTCTAATTATCTATTACATGCACATAAACATTATATTATTGAAATAAATTTATATTATATATCTTTTGAATCTTATTCTTGAGCTTTGTGAATTTCATTATACTTTTATGCTTTTCTAAAAATTAGTCAATCTCACCTCCTCTATTATTGATTATTCAACCAAAATATTCAGAATCTTTTTTATACACTTTAATCTTCTCAATTTTATCTTTTTCAATCTATTGTTGAGTTTTGGAATAATTATTAATATAATCTACAAAATGATAAGTGTTATAATCATATTATTTAAAAAACTTTGTTAGGATTTATTAGACTCAATAATATTCAAAGTTTAATTAAAAATCAAATCATTATTTTTGACTTTATATTAATTTCTTAAAATATGATAGTTCTGTCACTTGTGTATAAAATCTATTTAATTATTATTTTAATAATAAGAATTAACTTTATTGAATATAGATTTAACATTAGATTTTTCCATTGATAGAATTATACTAGAAAATTGCATTCAACTTTAGTAACAAACTTAAATTCTACCGTAATTTCTAAAAGATATAATTCATTATCGATATTCATTAGAATTCTGTAGACTTCCAACTCTATTTTTAATATTCTCAAATATAGATAATTTTTAAATCTTTATTTGAAGTTTATAAATTCTATTTTTTTAAAAAGAATAATTCTTAAATTTTTCCCACCTTCAAATCCTATATTTATAGAAACCTTTTTTATTTCTATAAATTGATGTTATGATGTTATTCATAATAAGATTAGATTGTTTCTTTTTTACATTTATTCTCTTAAAATAAATAAAAAATAAATTTGTAATTATCAATATAATAAAATCTTATCATATTATTAGTTAAAGGGAATTTATATTATTGTGATTTTTAATTTTTTGATTAAATTGTTAATACATAATGTCATTAAAGTTTGCAAGTGTTTTGAGCATTAAATTTATATAATTTTTAGGTAAATTTTGTAATAAAATTCAATTTTATTACTAATAGTAAAAATAGGACTGGTTTATAATAAAATAAAAGTGTAATGAAGAGGAAAGTTGTATTAGAATAGAAGTTGTAAAATAAAAGAAAGATGAATAGATAATGAATATTGGAATAATTAGTTTTATTATTGTAAATAAAATTGTAGAGTGTCATATAGTTAATTTGTTTATAATTTTAATAGTTATTTTATTATTAATATGATGGCCCAACCTAGGTATTTGTAGAAAATGGGAGATACATTTTCAAATAGCAAAGACTTTTATTCTTTTCATTAAATATAACTAATAGGTTGTAAAGTGCAACCTCAACGACTGGAATAATTATAAATTTCATAGCGAACAAAAGTTGATTAAATAAAGGGAAGAACAAGTTCAGATATATTTACAAATTTAATAAATAGAGGGATAATTAATAGTGAGTAGAAAGAGTTAAATAATGAGAGTAATGAGAATTGTATAAAAATGAGAGTAAAGTTAAATGAAGATGAAAGAATGAGTTAAGAAGATTAAAGAACACCTTAAAATACATAAAATGCGGATGAATAAGTGAAATGTAAGTATAGATTTAATTTATGATAAGCAAAGAAGATGTTACCACCTTTAAAGATAATTATAGATAAAGTGAAAGTAAAGGGGAGATAGAACTAATCAAAAGAACATAAGGAAACAATTAAAAGTTCATTTATTGAGACGTAATTGATATATTTATATTTTTGAAAAGGCCAACGATACAAAAATCATTAATTAGAAAATATAGAGCATTTGGATAAGGTGAATAAAAATCAACTATAGAAAATGATACAAGTGTTCATAAAATGGGAAGAACTTCATCAACTCCTTTAATGTAAAAGTCAAAAGAAGAGAAAGAAGATCATTTAACAAGTAGATCAGGAACTCCTTAAAAAGAGTTATTTCATTCAAGTCCATTGAAAATAAAAAATAAATTATAAAATAAACAAGTAGTAATATAAACACCATAATCAAGAGGAATAAAAGAAAAAAAATAATTAAATGGTTTTTATTCTTCTTAATCATAATAATAATAGATAAAAACTATAGATATTTAAACTGATAAAAAAGTGATACCAAAGAAAAAAAAGAAGTAAAGTTAAGGATTAGTAATGTAATAATAGAATTAATAAAAAGAGAAATTAACTTAACGTCATACATCATATAGATGTTTTATCAACAAAATCAATTTTTCAAATAATTAATGTATTTGTTGTCCACCTAAATTGGAAGTGCCTTCATATTTTTATTATGTAGGTAAGGGAAACAATGGTAGTCTTATTAAAAATATGTTTAGATAAAGATGGTGGTGGTAAGAAATTGAAACATTAGATATCACTAAAGTAAATATGTCTTGGACATAACTTAAATAAAATATATGTATAACTTAATTGCATCCTTTTATTCTTGATTCTAATCTATAGACTTCTGAATCATTTCAATTAAGTCATGAAGAAACTATTGGAGATACTAGTGATTCTGACATTGAAGTTAAACCAAAATAATTAAGTATGAATGGAGGTCTTTAAAAGTCAAATACATAATAACCATAAAAGAAACCATCTAATTATTATTCTTTAAAAAGAATTCTAAACCCATAAGATCTTTAAAAACTTATAAATTATATGGAAGAAACTGGATTTTATGATACTTAATTAATATTTAGTGATTGCACAGATAAATTGCTTAAAGATATTAAATCTTACACTACTAATTAACGATAAGATAGTAAGACTTTTCATATGCATAATCATATGGAAGATAATTGGCATTTAGGTAATAAAAAAGCTTTATTTTACAATATGAAACATTATTATCAAATCATTAAAGAAGATTACAATAAACTACTTCCTGTCACTTTTCATGTTCAAAAAGGAATCAATGATATTGAATATTCGAAGTTTTTCGAATATTTCAATAGGAGAAATGAAGAAATCAAAGAAATTGAAAGAACAAGAGATAGAAGAGATAAAAAGAAACTTCCTATTAATTTATGGATCATTAAACCTGGTGAATTAACCAATAGAGGTAATGGAATCACAGTTTGCAATGATCTTAATGAAATTAATAAAATACTAAATGAAGAAATTCAAGAAGGTAGACCCAGAACTTACATTGTATAATAATATATTGACAATCCCCTTTTATACAATAAAAGGAAGTTTGATATTAGGTGCTATATGTTATTGACTTCTTAAAATGGAATTTTTAAAGGTTATTGGTATTAAGAAGGATACATTAGAACATCTTCAAAAGAATTCACTACTAAATGTTTAGATAGATTTGTTCATTTGACTAATGATGCTGTTTAATCTAAAGATTAGGATTATGGTAAACATGAACCTGGAAATAAAATATCTTATCTTGAATTTTAGAGGTATGTTGAAGTTAATCATCCTAATACTAAATTTAATTTTTTTATTGATATCTATCCAAAAATGAAATCTGCTGCTCTGGAAATGATGAAAGCCACTTATGGAAAAATTGATCCACATCGCCGAATTAATAGCTTTGAAGTAAAATTTCCTATAAATATTAGCTCTATGGATTAGATTTTATGATTGATGACAATTTTAAATTATGGTTAATTGAAGCAAATACAAATCCTTGTTTAGAACTATCATGTCCTCTTCTAAGTAAAATTATACCAACTATGATTGAAAATCTATTTAGAATTGCAGTCGATCCAATTTTCCCTCCTCCTTTTTTTGAAGAATGGCCTTAAAATAAAAAACTTTTTATACCTGATAATGTTGTCGAAAACAATAAATTCGAACTCATTTTTGATGAACTCATAGAAAAAAAAAACATGATCAATCTATTTCGAGATAATAAAATAGAATAAGAATGTTTTGATATTGAAGAAGAAGAAGAAGAGGAAGAAGAAAAAGATTGATTATATAACTTATTGTAAACATTTATATATAAATTATAATTTGTTTTCATTATTATTACTCACTCATTAAATCTATTAAATTAATAATTATTCCACACAAATTCTAATACACACAAAATATTGTACTACAATTTGGACTCTAATTTAATAGAGGCTTTTTTAATATATCATCTGATAATTCTATCTTCTTAATTCTGAAGATATAAATTCTCAGAATTATTTGCAATCGTCATAATTTATTTCATAATATAAATTTAGGGAGCCTTTAAACAATATTAAAATTAGAATTGTAAAATAATTTATTAGGTGATTTTGATTTAAAACAATTAAAAAGAGTGTTTAATCAGCGAGAAATTGGCTTGTTGTATCATATCTCCAAAAATTTATAATATTTAAACTTAAATTAAATATTTCTATTTTTTTATTTAGATATAAATTGTTTCAAAAGTAATTTACTCTAATTTTAGTGTATCATTTAATTCAAATAAAAAAAGGTTTAATCTTTCTATAATTGTTTAGATCAGCTTAGATCTACTTATCAGATTAATATCTTTTTTTTGAGTCAAAAATAATTTTAGTCTAAATGATTGAGTTTTTTATTGCACTTTTTACCCAATAACTATGGCTAGAAAACTACTAATAGCAATAGCTATAGCAGATTTACCTAAGAGAGAGATCTATTCTAATGATTATGAAAACATAGAAGCTAAATTTAGATCTACGAATATATTTAATAAATGATTAATTATTTTAATTAGTGTATATAAATTCTAAAAAGCTGATAAAAATGTGAATATTTCCATTAAAAAAATATTTAAAAACAATTATTTGTTAAAATAGTGGGTTTCTTTAGCATAGTAATATTTGATTCTTATTTTTTTTATTATGGCGTTAAATTTATAGATTGAGTTAATATATTCAGATATTTAAGTTCTATTAGATAACAAATAGATTGATTGCTAAAAGTCTCGAAAAAAACCAGTGATAAAACCTTGATGGTGACAAAATTAATAAACAAAAATTACATTTTGAAATTGAATAGCTATAATATTCAATTAAATCAATTAATAAACAGTGATACATATCTAGCAGATATATAAATTAATTTTATATAAGATTAAATAATCAATACAAATTGTAAATTCTAAAGGGTTGTTTCTAAGTAAATCTAAGAAAATTTAATAAATATCATTATTTGAGTGATCA